GAGTGCACTGAGGGCCACACACGGGAAAGAGCAACGTAAAGCTCATGCAGGAGGCAGAGAGCGACATTCCAAACATTTCCCTGTGAGTGTCCGTGCTGTTCGGGAGCATCGGAGCAGGAAATGGAGAGAGGAGGAGGGGCGGTGAGAGAGCGCAAAGGCCACAATTAGCTGAACATTTTAAAGATGACACTTCACTGGACCGGTGACTATCTCACTTTCAGATGAAGTCTCCTAAAAAGGAAATCATTCCGCTCCGCTGTAATCTTCAGCTCTCACATAATGGAAGAGCTTGTTTTGTCGGAAATTGCTTAGCTTCCAGCTCAAAGCACAAAGGTGCAAATGCTGTTTACGTGATCCCGGGGAAGGACAACTGTTTCCGGAGCGCATCATTTGGAGACACGAAGACGGGCCTGGGCTCCGGGGTCAGTGCTGTGTAGATGGTCAAGAGCGGCAACGGCTGCTTACCTCACAGTAATGCTGATTAAAGAGCCGGAGCAGAGTGCCGAGGCTGCAAATAACTGTTTTCTAAATAAGCGTCTTGTGGGATTGCGGGTTTCTTATAATTGGGCTTGGGAAGGTCCAAGGCGCAGAGCTAGCGGGAGATGTCAACAAACAAAAGCAAAATGGGGAAGTAAAAGGAAGGAGAAGTTGGGAAATCCAAAAGCTGCCATCACCGCTGGAGGATGAAAAACAGGTTGAACCGACAAATCCCGATGATTAAAGAAGATTGCTCTCTTTTTGAGGCGTAACCAAAGCAGAGCGCAGACTAAACAGACGCTAAGGGGCACACGGGGAGTGAAATGCTAAACTCCAGAACGACCTATGGGCAGCTACATTGTCGTGTATCCCCATTAACTGTGACGTTCTATTGAAAATGACTCACTGGAAGCATCAGTAGCACTTTGCCCGCTCGCTTCCCTCCCTAAGAACAAAACATTCACACGCGTGCTGCACAGTGCACTCACGCAAACACGCATGTGGGCAGACAGACACGGTTTTAATGCACGCGTATCGTCCAACAGGCCGTGATTGTTAGGAAGGAATCAAGCAAACAAATGATGTGATTATCTCGAAGCACACCGGCCTGAATATTATCACCACATCAGTGGGAGTCATTACGCATTCTTTCCTTTTCATAGTTGTGGGCTCAGAAGCGAGAGGGGAAACAGAGGCGCGGTTGTTACGGATGAAACACAAACATGAAGCATTTTGTCACGGTGAGAAAGTCATTGAGCCTCCGTGGGTATTTTCCTGTCATCTCTCACCAGGCGATCCCTGAGGGCACTCCCTCCCCAGGGCCGCCGCCGCTTCCTTTTCTCTCTCTCTCTCTCTCTCCTTTTTTAAGTATAAGCGTACAGGAGGCATACAAATGATCACGAAGCACGAGGAGAGCCCGATAATACACGGGTCCCCATGGCAACAACACAAAACGGCATGCGCTCACCATGGCAACAGGGCTGGCGAGGGAATACGGCGGAGATGGGGGGCTGGAGCTGGTCCTGGCCTCCGGCTGTTTGAAGGGATACGTGCACGCCGGCAGCAGCAGCAGCAGCATCGGCGAGTAGTTCACTCACGGCACAAACGCCGACATGTTACGAGCATGACAGACCCGTTGTACAGGAGACCTTAAAGCTACATTGGTGCTTTTTTATGTAAACAGTGGATGCCGTGACTCAGTGCAATGTGACAGAAAAGACCCACCTGTGCAGGTCACTCTTTCAACTCTTTATTTTGTTTCAATAAAATGTTTTTGTTCACACTCGTAGCTCTCATTAATCTTGCTTTTTTAATAAAATACTGTACCCAGTGCAAATCAGATGGACAAATGAGCAACTACCTGGCATGGTGGGTGATTTTGCAACTAAAGAGCCAGATATTTCTCTGAGGGGGGGGGGGCAGAGCTTAGGAGGGAGTGTTTATTGGTTTCTGCATTTGCCAGTGAGTCAGAAACTCATATGGATGATAATGTGTTTCCATGACAGCTGGATTTGTGGAGAAAAAAACAAAACACTTTATCATGTTTTTACCCTCCTCACACACACAGAGCCATTTCAAGGCTGCATGTATTGTGAAGACAGGAGGCCTAAACACTGAGGCGATGTCATATCCGTATGTTCCAACAGTACAAAAAGACAAAGTCGTGGGCCGAACTGTTACTCTGCCTGGCAACATTTTCCAGCTGGCTTCGAGTGTTAGTGAGTTTAGAGGTGTCTAAGAGAGCTGGATTTTGTTTTCTTCCAACAAAGCCATGCTAACTCCCCCCCTCCTGTTTTCCTTCTTCGTGCTAAGCTAAGCTAACCGGCGGCCATTGTCTTCTCACCTGACACCGCCGAAAGGGGAACGAGCGTATCTGCGTGAATATTCAACCGTTCCTTGAAGCGACAACTCCACTTTCCTCTCCTGAACGCATCCTCAACCCAATAATCACTCTCAAACGTCTCCCTCCACGATGGAGGAGCAGGAGGAGCAGGGATAAGGAACTGGATCTTCACTCGTGCGGTTTGAGTCCACAGTCAAAATAAACTCTAGAGGCTCTAAAGAAAAATCTAATCGCTACGCCTAAACGAGACATAATTAATGCCACACATGAAATGGGCATTTCACTAAAGGAATCTCCCTAATGGCGCTGGTTGTCGGAAAAGTATTATTTCTTTCATCGGTCCCTTTAATTAAACAGCGAAACACAAAGAGACACACCGATATGAATCACTGTGGTTTAAGCTGCTTTTCATTCCGGCAGCCATTAAAAGAGGCCTCGCTTCACTGGGTTCTACGTCAACGGAGGCTGAATGGAACTGTGTTGCTGTGACCTCAGGAGACTTTCTGTGAAAGTGGTGGTGTGGGGAGGGGAAGGAAGGGAAGTGGGGGTCCAGATGACATCTCGAGTGGAACTTATGGAATAGGAGAGGCACGGGCAGCTCAAAGTAACATTTGGTGCTCGGTGTATCAGGGGGTATTTGGGGAAACATGTAAATTCTTTCACTCGGGGATGTGGGTGATTTCTCTCCGTTGATGTCTGCTGGTGGAATAACGCCAGCTGGTGGGCGCGGCACAACGAGAACCCGCCTGGCTCGACGTCTCCATCTAATGACCAAGTTTTACATGTGGGAACCTTCACAAAAACAAGGCAGTCATTTCTAGAAGAAAATGTTATGTCATGAAATATCTTTTATTGTGTAATTTCTGCAATTTTCCACTGAGGGCTTTCAATACCATCAATCGATGATCAATATTGTCGTTCTATTATATATCAACTTTTCCGGTTTTTAACATCTCACTATTTCTTTTTAGAGAAAACGCTATTTGAACAAGCCATTACTTTAATTTGTTTTTTAAAAGCCAGTCAAGCGGTATACGTACGTTACTCGTATGTGCTGTGATTTAACATTTTCTCGCTAGACAAATGAACCCATCTCTTATTTTATCACAAGAGTGCCATCATGTGTCGCAAACTAGTACCACAACATCACAGTGCATATTAAAGCGCGTTACTAACATTTGTATTTACCAAACGTGAATCTCCAAATGATGACATTTGGCTTTGGCTCTGTGGGAAAAGTGGAGAACAACTGTCTTCCATCCCAAAACATTTGTTTGTGTGGCATTCTCCGCTTCGAGGGGACGGATGGTAGCAGTCGATAAAAGTAACACTCGGCAAATTTATTCCACGGATAACGCATGATTCGTTTAATCAGAAAGTTGTGCACGAGACAACCTCCTCATCACACCCACGTACTGTTATACCACTCACGAAAGAAACACACACATGACCGACGGTCAGAACTTAATATTATCAAGCACAAAATATAAAACTAGCATCAGTCTTTGACATCAATACGTAGCGGCTGCAATGTTATTTCTGTTGCACAAAATGTTTGTACCTTCTATACACACAAAGCACACGTCCATTTTACCTTGTCATGATATTGCATAATAAATATCATTGGTCCTTTAAGACTTGGGAAGGATTCGGACGCGTGTTGGCAGAGAAAAGACTCAGTCCAGAGAGAATAAATAAAAACGAGGAAAGGCTGTGAGAACACGACCTCGAAGGGCAGCCGTGCATGTGTGTGTGTGTGTGTGTGTGTGTGTGCGCGCGCGTTCGGGGGAATTCGGGTCTGTAAGTGTGATTACGTCACTCACAGGCCGCCACATAAACCCTGAGATAGTCGTCCGTCACCAACGCTACAATACTTAGAAATGGAAGAAATCTAGCTCCTACATGTGACACCTGTGCAGGAGGGTCATGGTGAAGTACGGAATATTGTTCATGGAAGCTGTAATTACGACCTCTGCTCTTCCTCGTGAGGTGGGCGTTATAACAAGCATCTCAGCCTCAGCGGGAAAATAAAGTAAAAATGAAGCGTGGATGATTTTACTTTTTCCGAATGGGATGAAAATATGACACGACGTTCTCCGATCCGTCGTCTCACCGAACCTGTGCGCCTCCCTTTCATCCGCTTCGCCCACGTCCGGCTCATCCGCTCGGGCCGGTGATCCGAGTGGAAGACGTCACGCGGTGGACGCAGGAAGCAGAGTAGCAGTCTGAAAAGTCTGTTACTGTAAGACAGCATCTCTGTGTGGGGAGGGTTGTGGTTGGAGCTCAGCGGACTTGTGTTTTCACGAAGGAGTAACTGGCTTTGTATCCCCTCCGCCGCCCCGAAGCCTCCGGTCGGCTTTCTGTAGTCGCAGGAAAACTCGCCACAGTTGGAGGAGGTGCGACTCGCCTGCCTTCCAGCGACGGCGCCTGACTCGCGCCCCCCCTCCGAGCCGCTCCCGTCGTAGCGCTCTGTGCCTTACACCTCTTCCCCAATGAGCCTGCGCTCGGGCTCGGCCCCCGGACCCCACCTTATCTGTACAAAATGGCCCGTTGTTTAGCGTCTTTCGTTGTCTCCGCTTTTGCACTTGGTTGCTTCTTCTTCCCGGTTTTATGTCGTTTTTTTCTCTCTCTCTCTCTCTCTCTCTCTCTCTCCCTCTCCCACTCTCTCCCACTGTCTCTCTCAGTGTTGCAGGAGGAAGTTAGTTGCCGCGTTGATGTCGTTGTTTGAAGCTCTGAGGGCCTCGAGGGCATCGCTCCTGGAAAAGCCCATTTCCACCAACAGGGCAACCTGAGGGACAAACGAAAAAGAAAAAAAAAAAGCATCAGCTGGGACGGTCGGAGAAGTCGTTGCACGGGGAAACGGCGAACGCGGCGGCTCTGCACAGACGAAGGCGTGGGAGGGCCGGAGGATCCGCTTTATCAGTCATTCTGTCCAAGAAGATTTTGAGTCATTCAGGCCCACGAAATAGTGAAAGAAATGTACGCGGAAACGCACACACGCAACACCCACTGCTCCTCTGCGACAGGAGACGGGTCCGACGGAGGGGACTGTGTGGAGGCCGCGTCTGAGCCTGGGGAGGGGGCTGCACTGGGGGACGGTTCTGTCCTCTTTGTCTCAGGGTGGAGAACAGCCTGGTCCAGCCGAACAACCCGGACTACACGCACACGCACACACACGGGGGGGGGGGGAACATTTCAGTCATTTCTACACGTACAATAATGGTGTTTTATCCGCGTGTTAGTGCTGCAGCAGTTCTGGCGGTCCATCTACCGGAGGCTGTGGCCTGTTGTTCCTCGTGGACTCGTTGTACTGGGCCAGCAGCAGCTGCTGGTCCAGCACGTCCATCCTCTGCTGCCTCTGGATGTCCAGAGTGGCCCCCATACCCAGCGGCGCCTCACCGCTCGGCTGGGCGCCTGCACGGACGCGGATTGTTAACAGCAGTGAGGGGTCTTACTTTAGCTTTAATTGCAAGTAACACTTGGTCACGCTGGATTTGTGCACGCGATTCCCCGGCGGTCGGACTCACTCGAGAAGATCGGCTCCAGAATATTCCGTCCAATAAAAGACACGCAGGCAGGTACAAAGATGAGCTTCTGCATCCAGAGGACATTGGAGTGGTAAAGGCCACCTGCGATCTAGAAGGCGCAACAAAAAGAAATAAATACATTTTTAGTACTGATGTCAAAAGCCAAACATGTATTAAAGAATACAAAAATGAATAAAATGAACACCAGGCTTTATCTTTGCAGCAATTTTCAGCTCCTTTGAGTTGTCCGTGTACCTCGTACCGGTCATAACGCACTTATTACACTTCTCTAAATACACAGTAAATAAAATGTTCTTTACTCACCAGTCCGCTGAGTGCGAGGAGCCACATGAAGGGACTGGAAGTCAACAGCTGCCCCACAGAAGGACAAAAGGGATCACAAACAATCGGGGTCACAAGAGCTGGAGAGTAAAGGATACAGCTCAATAGATACATACATTCCTACAGCAGTGGAACGGGGGGGGGGCTCACCTGCAGGCCCACTATGTAGACCAGAGACTTGTTGGTGATGTGGATTTGGCCCAGGACCTGAGTGACTGGGACCCTGGGGATCAACCGGTAGAAAGGCACAAACAGAGCGAAGACCGGAGCCAGCCTGGGGGAGGAGGAAGGAAAAAGTCAAGAGGATGGGGACGACACGAATAGAAACAGCATTTCAGGGCATTTGGGAACGATGTTACGCTTTTTTAAATTTATTTTTTTCCCTCTGTAGAGTCTGTAGGTTACACCGCAATAGGAGGCCTTTAAGAACGGATACCGCCCCAAGGCTTACAGTTAGATAGGATCCTCGGTGTCCATGACAAATTCATATAACGAGACATAACTACTGTGTAGGTAATTTATTTAAGTTTAAACCTATTTAACAACATATTTCCTGCACAAAACTAAGTAAATTAACTAACGGCCACGACCGCAGATCTCTCGCTCTCTCTCTCTCTCTCTCTCTCTCTCTCTCTCACCGTCGCGCTCTCTGCGCAAAGCGGTTTAAATGAACGACAACAATAAACAAATGCTGAGTGCTGATCAAGAGGTTCGTGCTAGCGATTTAAAGTCGCGATTCTTGTTCCCAAACATGGCCGTCTTCATTCAGTGATTGAAACTGAAAGTTTTACAGTACCGACATTGAACGCTCCGAGCGAGCTGTGCTGTCAACATGGAACTTTTCCTTGGCATGAAACGGCAAATAATCAAAGCAGTGCATGAAGCTGTTGTAGCCGATCTAGTCTGTTTTATTCATGCAGTATACAGTCAGTAGTCAGGCATGCGCCCGGCCGCTAAGCAGACAGTCGCGCCTCAGTTTTTTTATTTTGTTATTTTTTTATTTGAATATTAACAACTATTCAAATATATATTTGAATATAGAATACTCGTTGACAGCCCTACTGCTGAGGTTTGGCATGTTGGCACTGCGGCTACTCACAGGCCTGCAGGCAGTTCCTCCACCTCGTAGTCGAACAGAGAGCGGAAAGCCCGGGCCAGCAGGAAGTCCGTCAGCGCGGAGAGACACCACGTGGCCAACAAGAAGGACTGGAACACAGACGGTGAATAGAACACAACAAAGGTATCGCTGTCAAACGGTGGTTGGTGAGAACTCGTGTTGTATATCGTTGATTTTTTTTTTCCTTCATGAAAGTAACAAAACGGCACAACTTTAGATTCAACTCGTCAAGTTTTGGAAGAATCAAGTTCGGAAATGTATAAATTGGTTGACGTTTTTCGGTACTCACGGCAAACTTCCTGCTGCCAAAGCGCCTTTCAAAGATCCGGAAGTTGTAAATGAGCAGGGCGCTACAGAAGGAGTCCTTCACGTCGAGACAGACCAGCCTGCCGAACAACAAACTCCACAGCTGCAGCACAAAAGGTAGAGCAAAGTTTCCAAATAACAATTAAAACAGTACCACAAAATAATACAAAGTCAATTAAAGCTTCTTTTTTTTTTTTACTTCCATCAATGTGCTAAACGATGAGTGTGTAATCTCAGATTCTGTTCAAAGATTAGTTGTGGTTTCAGATGGGAATTGGCGTATTCTTCCCAAAGCAATGACCTCTGACCCCTCAGTTATGTGATCACAAATGGCTGATGTTGCCAGTTGTCTCTCGTCCGCCCTGATGGAGCTCACACAACAACAACAACAACAATGCGAGATTTGAAGCTGCTCCTAAAACAGTTGCTTCTGGTGTTGGACTGGGTCAGCGCCCAAGTGGACCCTAGTGGCGTCTCCTTGTCTCCTTTACACGCCGCGGCCCCCCAGAGACGTACCCGGTGGTGCTGCGTGACGGCCTGCAGGTCGTACACAAACAGCTCCTGGTACTGTGGCAGCAGGGCGAGCATCACGGTCAGCCCGCTCAGAACCAGCAGGAGGCCTTTGGACAGGGGAGCCTTGTCTGTGCACAACACACACACACACATTTATACTTATTACACACTTATTACACACTGATTGCAGTGAGATCAGTTGCCAGCTAATTTGTTCATTGGAGGTGGGGGGGGGCAGTGTGACGTTAATAGGAATAGATTAGATTAACCTTTCCACACACAACTATTTTAAACGATGACATCCCAATGGGAACCAATCGCCTTCCGCTGAATGGAGAAACAAACCCGGATGGATGCGAGTTGAGGGAACGCAGCTGCGGAGTTTGAGCTGGTAACAGTTAACGTTAGCGTTACACGCTCCTCCGGGTCAATGAATGACAGCGCAATGCTAACGCCGCTCGGCTAGCAGCTGTCAGCCGTTAGCGTCGCTGCCATTGAGACTGACAGGGGGGCGGCGAGAGGACTTCCTCGGCCCCGGACGTCGCTTAAACTGCTGCTTCCGGGATACTTACACAGGCCCCGGGAGCCGGTGGTGGTAAACATGGCGTTCGGGACGAGTTCACAGAATCCACACGAAACCCCGTTGATCCCAAAGGCAACGAATACAACACTAAGACACCGCGATAAAGTTGTGGAAGGGATCCATGCTGTGAGTGTGAGGGCAAAGGGGATCAGCTACGGGAGCTCCAGAAGCCCAAAAGACACCGCTTCGCCTTCCGCTGACACCAGACTGAACGGGCCCGCAGAGGTCGCTGTTGATCCGCGTTGATCTCCAGATAGTTTATTTACTGGTAATGCCCTTATTCTAACGCCATAGAAAACTGTCTCCACTTAATAATTTCTAATTGATTTGAATAATAAAGTAAAAAGAAAGAGGATGAAATTTTTAAAACTATTTTTTAATTGTTATCTTGGTCCTCAGGGATAAATTGCTGAAGGTATAACTTCTACTACTGTTACTACTACTAATAATACTGTATAAAGAAAAACAGGTAAACAAACGACCTAAATCGTGTTACTACTAATATTAACAATGCACTAAGTAGTAAAAAATACATTTTTGAATACAATTCAGAGTAAAATAATAAAACATAACAAATAGATTAGAATACAGATTGCACTTCAATAAAAGATCAATTCCCCTGATGGGAATACACTGTCTGGATCTTAATGTTCTTGTTCCCTAATGCTGCAGTTGATTTATTTGCTTGATTCTTACATGTTTTTGTTTGTTTAGTATACACTTATTGTTCGTCACTTTGGATACCTTTCAGCTAAAATAATGTAATTCTAGCACCACTACTTCTACTGCTCCACCTGCAGCACCTGTGTCTTGCTCACAGGCATTTCGGCAGGGATACTGCAGCCAGATCGTCCTCTTGCGAAGGGCAGCCTCCTTTCCCACAATGCCATCCTGTTGTTATCCTAAAGAAAGGTAGTCCCAAGCCCCGAATCATTGGTGTCGTAATGTATGTCATCCATGTCAGATATGACCATTCGCCCCGCACGTGATGTGTGTTTATGGGTTGGATGTGCAGAGAAGGAGCGAACAGGGAGTGTTTCCTGCTTTGTGCTCAGCTTTCTGACAGAGAGGTAACAGTGTTAATTATCCACGGCGCAGTGAGCAGGATGTGGCTGCACAAACTACAGATTAATGGCTTTTTCTTATGGTCCTTTTGGCCTTATGCACACAATGTCACATCTTGTCAAGGTCCAGACTTCCTACGACTGCTTGCACTGCAGCCCGACAACCGCGCGCACACCTTCACGGCTGGCTGTGATTGCTCCTGTGGCAGTTGATCGAATGCTTATGTTACTTCCAAGTGCATTTGAAAAGATGTGGCCAACAGCTGCCTAATAGCGTTGCATTTCCCCATCATCCACAGATGCCGTATGCGTGTCAGCTCCCATTGGTTAGTTCCCACCCATTAGGTCTATTTGGCTGCATGTGGTCAGATGTGACTGCAAAGCAGAGCTGAGGAACAGCTTGCTAATTGTGTTTCAGACCTTCTCTGTCACTGATGTGAGAGTGAGGTCTAAAAAGGTTGCTTTGCCCCTGTTCTCAATCAAAGATAATCAGATTAAACAGCACAGAGATGTGCAAATGTGTCTGTGTGAGTGTGCGTTTGTGTGTGCTTACCAATAAAGAGAGTCCAGATTTGGAGACAGCCTTGACTCCTGCTGTTTGCTTTGTTCATTAAGAGGAGATGAGCAGATGGTTTGCTGGTCTGTTGTGCAGTACACACATGCAAACACACACACACACACACACACACACACACACACACACACACACATGCATGCTTGGCCCTGTCACCTTAGCTTTATCCTCCATTTATCTTTTCCATTGCACATCTCTCGGCAGGACAACGGTGACCGGTGAATTGTGAGGGACGCGCGTACGTCTGCGTGCGCTTGCACGTGTCTGTGGAAGCGCAAATGAGTCGAGCGGCGCTGAATGAACTCACAAACCTTTTTAGTGAAGACAGCCTGTGAGGTGGTCATCTGAAAAGCTGATGACTCATTCATACGTTCGTTTATGTGAATAATTGCTATTCACTTGTCAGCCACTCTGTATTCAGGAGGAATTGCTAGTTACCGACGTATTGTTTCAGTCCTGCATCACAGCTTATCTGCCTGTGTCCGGGAAATGGCACGCTGCACATTTACACAAGGTTGCATGAGAAAGTTCTGGTCGACTTCAAGGGTTTATTTTTGCTACAACCAATGGCTTAATAACAAAGGGAACTATTACTTCAGAAAGCTTGTGTGTTTTGTCTTGAGCGTCTACTGTGTGTGCGAACGTTGAACAGCATTTTGTGGTACTCAATCCCTTACATAATTTATCACATAGTCATTTGTTGGCCATCAGAGGAGGATAGGATTCAAATATCTCCAATGTGTACAGATAAATCGTTTTTTTCCAATTTCTAAATTACAAGTTGAGCTACAATTGATGTATATATATATATATATATATGTTACCAGATCATTTCATGACCGCAATCTGAAATACACAACTACTATCAATTATTAGTTTAATTTGTTATGGCTCCGTTTCCTGCAATGCTAATATTTGGCCTGCAATGATGATGAAATAGCCAGAATTGACTATACAGCAAAAATAATGTTCCTCTTTTTCTGGTCACATCTTTCATTCATTTACTTAAGAATTTATTGGTCCAAGAAAGCTTTTAAAGTTCAGAGACGGGACAAAAAAGAAATGAGTGGAGAGAGAGAGAGAGAGAGTGCATCGTCATCATGTTTCGCTAAAGGTCAGCTCACATGTGACCCTGCTCACCACCTTCCTGTCTGTCTGTCAATATTTACGTGTATGTTTTTTTGGAGATGGTGCAGTAGTCAATGTCACATTGCATCTCATTTCCTCACATATGTACAGTCTTGCAAGCAAATGGACCTCCTCCTCCTCCTCCTCCTACACACACACACACACACACACACACACACAAAAATGACTAAACAAAAAAAACTGCACATATAAAATAAGGAAAAGAAGCACTGACGCAATTTGATAAAAAGAATTTGTATTGTTTGTATTGTCAAACTGCACTACTGCATAACATACACAATACGTCCTTTACTGACTGTACAACATGCCAATATGTTTTTGTGATAGTAATAATAATAATAACAAAAATGATAACTATATATTGTATATGTACACAACTCTCGTGTCCAGATAACCAACACTGACAAAAAAACAGATATGGTCGTCTTCATCTAGGATCTAAAAACCTTGATTAAAAGAAACACGGTCAAACACATCATCAGATTGAAGTACTGTTTCCACTACGGCCGAGATTTGGTGATAAATGCAATAAATTAAATGAGAGAACAATGGAAAAGTTCAAATGTCACCCTTGAAATGTAAGGGAGTCCAGTTTGGGGGGGGGGGGGGGCGGATATGTCCATCACGGGTTTCCACTGCGCTGCCAAGCATGCCTGTCTATTGTATTGTTTCTCATTAATGAGAAAATCTTCATCACTCCGTTCTTCCATTCATCCGTCCATTCATCCGTCCGCGCTTCCACCTCGTCTTCAGTACATCCCGGATGTCTGCAAGAACACTCTGCCCTCTGAAATCCAGAAAGAAATCCAGTCTAATAAAACACAACCAAAATTCTATAAGTTATACTGAATGTAGACCAGGTCAGATCACAATGGCTGAAACAGTAAGACTACAAATGCATTCATACAAATATTGATATTGTCCCCTATAACCTTGCCCTAAGCTCATTAATAAAAGATCTTTATGAAGTAAGGTTCAGTTGAAAGTGTTTTTCGGCCCCTGATCCCTGTTTTCTGGCGATTAAACTTGCTGGCACAAAGGAACCCCGTCCTGCCCCGCTGTCTGACAGACAATCCCCCTTTAAATGATTTATTACTGGGTGTTAATTATGCAAATGATGTCCAAACAAACTCGTCACGAGGACAATTAAGACAGCCGTTAATTAGTGGCCAGTTCTCTTCTTGCTTCACTGACATTCAATTAAAAATTGGCTTTGAACAAGCCACGGCGTCTCGTGCCGGCGGTCCTGGCGCGGCGCGCGGCAGAGGTGGGCCGCCGCCATGCACCCCTCCGACGGGGGCCCGGGCGAGAGAGAGAGAGAGATCGCCGCCGTTTCTTTTTCGGGCCGTTTAAGACGTTACGTGTGGGGTGGTTTCATTAATGTCTTCCTGGGAAGACAATAATGTTGGCAAAATAAATAAATTAAAACGCCCGTCTCCATTAGGACGGTCGCCCCGGTGAACCGCCTCACGCTTCGTTTCATTTTGCTCAACTTCTCCCTGTGAAATCTTTCAAACCCCCTTCCAGTAGAGTGGTCAGTTAGGCATCAGTGAGTAATAATGAAATCTGCTGTCCAAGCTCAGTTGATGGGGGCTAAATAAATTTCCCAGCAGCAGGTTTGTTTCCAGATTCTTACACTGAAGAGTCGTTTTTAATTATCATTCGGCGCAGAGCCTTAATGTGGATTCATTCATTTCAAAGCGAAAGTCAATGTAAGAAAATTCAAAACTCTGTAAAAATCTTTTTTTTTTACATTATCATTTCTGCAGTGACAGTAGCTGCTACCCTTCTAATAACTGCACAGCTCCAACATTTCTACTGCGTGAAGCTGTTTTCTCAGACACGCACCAAAGAAGCCGCTTGTCTGTTTTCTGGACACTTGTACCTTGTACTGTTGCCTTGGTGTCCATCCTGTTGTCATTGTGATTGCTCCCGTCCACGTCCTGGGTCACAGACTCCGCGTGAGGCGGGGCTGCCGATGATTGATGGCCTGCAATTTGGTCATTCATTAATAAAGAAGCTTAATTGAAAGGGAAATGAAGAGTCGAGGCTGCACGGAAGGCTCGCGGTGACATTTAATATGAAAATCAGAATCATGTTGCATGTTGCTCGAACTTTCGGGCTCACAGAATAGAATAAAACTCCATAAGGAATTCATGATATTGTTTGTGCGTGTTCCTGTACCTGTGTGTGTGTTGGCAGTGTGCAGCAGGGTGTGCTCTGCCTGATCACGCAGTTTGACTTCCTCCTCCAAGGCCTCCTGTAGTCTCCTCTTACTCCTCTTCTCTTTCTTCAGGCGCTTCTGGATCAGAACTGAACAGAGAGAAAAAAGAAGAGGAAGACAAAGAAAATGATAAAGGATGTCAGGTAAATGCATTTTGTGAATCAGGTGTGTGTCAGATGCTTCAAATACTTTAAAACTTGACTTCATTTGTATCCATACGAGCAATAATTTGTTTATTATACGTCTGCTTCCCGGTTGATTTACATCCTGAGACGTGAGGGACTTTGAAGGTATTATGAGCTCGTTGTAGAATATCTCAATGTTCGAGTGGCAGCCTGTTAATGAGGCTGCCGCGCTCCTCGCTCACTTATACTGAAAGCACAGCACATGACATCAAACCGAGGACTTTCCACGGCTCTGTGGCAGCAGGGTTCACTCTCCCTAAGATAGCGCACGTGGCGCTTGATGCGGGGCGGCCCACCTCGGTTTTTCTGCTCCATGCTAAGCTGCCGCTCCAGCGTCTCCCTCAGCTCCCTCTCTCGGACCAGCTCCATTTTCAGCTCCGTCCTCTCCATCTGGTCCTGCTTCTCCTGGGCCCGGGCGTTCTCTATGGCAACCCTCAGCAGACCCTGCTTGGAGACACACAGGCACACATCAACAGGTCACACACTGATCAGGAGCCAGGAGAGGCGTCTGTCTCCTTCAAACGCCTCGCAGAGACAACTCCTTCCTTCACCTCACCCTCAGTGAACACGTTGACAAAGGCAAAGTTAGTCTTTTTTACTTTCAATCAACATTTTGATTTTTTGGATTTTTTGCTGCAGTGAATACGGACAAAGAGAATTTAGACCACCTGAAGATTTCAAATAATTGGGACTAAGGCGGTACATGTTTTACTCTGGTGTATAATTCCTGGAAAAGAGCAACTTAAAATACATTTGATAGCTATATTCTATCAGGTCAGAGGAGGTAAAAAAACACCTTTCTGTAAAAAGAAACCCGGCCAGTGAGAGCTCTCATTGTGACTCCTCTATAACAAAGACATGTAAAACATGAGAAGCAGGTCAGCACACGCCCATCCCAATTACTGCACATCTTAAATGTCGGCCTCGTCTGCTATTTACCATTTCAGGAAATCCCAAAGAGTGGCTCATCTCCCTTCCTATTCATCTCGCAGTATAATAATAATAAAGCCCCAGCAGAGCCTCACCTGGATGTTGGTGAGCAGGGTCTCTATGGAGGACAGGCCTTCCGGGAAGATGAAGGGAGTGTGGTGGAGACCTGCTGGGAGCTTCTGTCCTGCGGGGTAAGATACCCTCTCACAGCCTGATGGGGGTTTCTGGTAGACTTGTCTATCACAGCTCTGCCTGGTTGTGTGAGCGGCCAAGGAGCTGTTCTCTGGAGGGCAGACGGAGACATTTTGATGTGTGTGTGTGTTAGTTGAAGCGGTTGAACACAAAGGGCTCGCAGTTTATTCTACTTCACTTTAGTATCACGGAAATGAGTTCCTCACAAAAAGGCACAGTTCACTCCTGGTTGAGTCAGATTGGCTAAAAACTACAGGGCTTAGCTGTTTACAGATCAGAGGGTTAAGGAAAGGTGTGCATGTGTTTTAAGGATGTCTGACGAGAAAGAACAGAGGGGCTCAGGGATCAGGAAGGTATCGGGAGGTGGACTCACGCATTGGTTTATAATTCAGGGTTAAATATAGACCTTTATCCTTCAAGCAGTGGTATACGGCAGTGCAGAGATAGAGATAGATCCTTTTTTTTCTCTTTAGTCCTGCAAAGGACTAAACACAGACTGTTCAAATGATATGTAAATAAAGTTGACACACTGTCTTTTTACGTGACTAATGTTTGTCTCAAACCTACAAAGGGATCATCATTGCAGCAGCAATATGCAATCAAGGGTGAATGCTAATTTCTATGAGTACATAACAAACATATCCAGTCCAGCAGCAGTTGTTTACACTAATTACTGTGTGCGTGTTCGCATATGCAGAAGTCCTGGTTTTGAGTTTTGAAAATGTGGTTACCCTTTATTAGATGGCACTCTGCCTATTGATAATGCGCCACAGCTTGACACCTCCCGTAGAAAGAGCTAAGAAGCTGCATTATGGATGACCATCTGCTAGTAAACCTGAGGACTGCGCCTTCCTGATTCCTGACAGTAGGGGAGATGAAGACTAGCCATTTCCTTTTGCATTTTTTTTTTTTTTTTCCATCCACACAAACACACACATCAGGCAGTCGCTCGCTTTCTGCGCTCGCTGTCATCCGAGCCACTGAGGACGGAGACGTCCTGGGAGTCCGACGCTTACTGGAGCAGAGGCGAGGGTGAGCGTGCGCTGTGATATCTGGCACTTTTCTCGGTCTGTGACAAATGACAGTGTTTTCCCCACTTAGCTGACCACAGCATCTTCTGCTCCAAACCCACCCGCCTCCCCCTGCGCCGCCTCGGCCTCACGTCTTGGCAACTGTCACATTCAAGGTGTTTCACAGATGAGAAGCAATACCCCCCCCCCACTCCCCCACCCCTCTCCACCTCTTTCTCCCTCTTCCTTGCTAAAAGCATTGCTCTGTAGAGAAAGGTAATTAGCAGGTGCTGGCGAGCTCAGCGGAGGGCATCCAACTACACTCCCGTGGCTCGCACACAGACGCACACACACACGCTCGTAGCCGCTGAAGTGCGCAGTCAGCAGCGTGGTTTCCCCGGGCTCCTTGGATGTGACTGATCCTTTATTGAGTTACTGTTTTACGCCTACTTTACCTCACACTCTCACACACACACACACACACATGCTTGGCATAAATACACACACACACACACACACACACGCACACACACACGGCTGCCAGCTCGTTTGATCATTTACCCATCTCCCTAACCAAGGTCACTGTCTGTTTTTCTCTTTTCTCCCAACTTCATCTCTCTTTTTCCCCCCCTCTCTTATTCCTCTCCCACCCGTCCCCAGGGCTAATGAACTTCACCACGTGAAGACTGCCAGTCAGCGGAAGAGAGCGGGAGGGAGGGGAGGGTGGAAGAGAAGGAGAGAGACAGACAGAGAATAAAATTCTGCTGATGTTTGGTTAATGGGAGTGAGGTGTCAGGGATGGCCTCTGATCTTTGCTGCATGGATACGTTGTTCAAAGACCACTGAAACAGCACACACAGCCAAAACTGACTCTCTCACACACACATGCATACTCACACACACTCAAGATTATCATACAATGGATTGACAGAATGACAGCGCTTGGAGTGTTCTTTGAAAGTCTGTTGGATGCACAATGAACCCGTCTTGTGATGTTGTAGGTCGAACACAAAAGCCTGCAATCCAGCAAATGTACATACGTTTCATTTGCATGGAGCAAAATCAATTAAAAATCAATTGCATAAATGCAGTGTGCCATGCATGGCTTTCACGTTTGTTGGTGCCATCACTGCTTTGTCAATATGTTCACAGATACCTGACAGCATCTGAAACCTTACCTGGGAGGCCTTTGTGATTTTTAGATTCGATTACTGAATAATGTGATTCGGTATTAGAATACATTTAGCCGGGCGCGTGCACACACATACAAACTCTCAGTTTCTCTCCCTCTCTCTCGCCGTGGATTTCTGCTGACTGTTTGTCCTTGAGCAGTCCTCATTAAGCTAATGCAAACCTCCCTGACAGAGAGAACCAAACAACTGACGTTGCAGCGCCGTGGCAACGCGGGGCCCTAACGACAGGGAGGCGGTCGTTATGCAGATGAGGTCCAGCTGAGAGCACGGGAGGCCGCCTGGCTCGTTAGGCCGCGGCCCGGCAAATGACTCGCTAATGTAACACTGCTTCTTGGTCTAATGGAGCCCTGTTTTGCAGAATTATTTGTCTTTGCTCGCCGCGGGAAGCCGGGAGGAGGAGGAGGAGGGGGGGGGGGGGGCACTGACCACAATGAGGAGAGGAGGAGATGGGGAGGACAGAAAAGGTGGGACAGTGCATCCTTATTGACCGGTTACTGAGATATTTCTACCCTTTGACTTTTCAAATAAATTTAGAAATAGAATAGAAATAAACTAGCACAAACTTGTCTGTAGGATCACAGGTGGAAACCGCATTGAGAGACAGTTGATTCAACAGAGAAATAATCAGTACTCATTAATAATTATTAAATGATTAATGACTGCAAGAAGAAATTCTCAGGAAACGATGGGACCTGGAACTTTGAGGTCTAAGCTCACATTGTCATTCAACATATTTGAGTAATGTGTCTTGTTAACCGCTCATCCAAACGGCTTCACACTCGACCCCGAGCTTCCTTCGGTTCTGAGCAACACGCCGGTCACCACATAGTTGCATCCCCTGGCAATGTGCATGCGTCATGTGGGTATGCTAGGCTCACGGGATCACCTTCACTTTCCATTGTGATGACGTCACACAGTTGCGAAACTTGCACAGACTTGCACGCATCATAAAGTCTCAGCAGAAGGATTCGCGATCGACCTCTTCTACGGATTGAAGTGTCTTGTTAACAGTTTACAGACGGCTCTTTTACAGTGGTGTCAAATGCAAAAAATGCTTTTAAGATTATGTTCTGCAAAAGCGCCAAGTTGCAAGATCTCCAGTGCTTACAATCGACGGTGCAGTTCCTCGAGTCCTCACTCACCCACCCACCAAGTGTCAAGTCAGTCGGATGAGTGGTTGGTGAGAAAATAGTGAAACATTAACTTTATTTTAAAAAACAAAGTGCCTCCCAACCAGGTCCAACGCTGACATCATCTACAGGACAATAACAGTGAATCTCACCTCTGTCGGCGTGGCTCCTCTTGTTCTCCTTGCTGTACTCCATTGAGGTCCCGTCGGGCGAGTGCCCCAACACATTGTGACTTGATGACAGGCCGTCATCCTGTGGGTCTGAAACGAAAATACAAAACGGTCAACTACAGAAACACATCTCGGTGTAATTGGAGCCACAGCTTTTCCTCTCTTGACCACCGGTCGGTACTTACGTGTGGTTTCCCCAGAACGCTCTGTGTGGGACGGTGAACTGGACACACTGCTGCTGTGATTGGAGGACATCTGCGCTTCCTCCAACGAGGGAGAGGGGGACGGGCTGTCCAGCACTCGCTCCTACCGAACCACAAGAAGTGTCAGATTGGTATGCTGATGAGGATACTGAATTCCAAAACCCAGAAATGTTCGATTGTTGTGTCATCATAGTGTTTGTATGCTAAAACAAATGTGCCGAAAGACATATCCTGCTATGACCAAAATGTAGCAGCTCGACAAATCACATAACAAAGAATATATTCTCGTACAAGCTTGAGAGCATATTGGTATCCTCTAAAATCATTGGTGGGAATCATTCAAGAGATTGAACAATGAGTTAAAATAATGACCGAAGACGTCATTATTTTGGCAACATTTCCAGTCCTTCCAAACCTCCTTAAATGATTTGTATGGGGTGAGATGCTATTTAAGGAGAAGTTTCTGTCTGATATCTCAGTGTATCTGGTTACAACATGGTAGTGATCCAGAAACGTGAGCCTGCCACTAGACCATTATCATAGAAGCTTGACTATAAGCTCTGCATGTACAATAATCCAAAGATCTTGAATTGTAGGGACAGAAAATACGTCTGTGCGTGCTTATTTGATCTGGGTCACGTGGCGCTTAAACAACTGTGTAAGTGAAAGCCGCGTCATGCGTGGACTCTGCCTGGTGGTCAGATGCCCCCCCGCCGACGGTCCTCTGAGTTCACCTTAATGACGGAGGTGGGAGCCCTGGGGGGGGGCTTGGCGTGGAGCTGCGCCATGCTGGCCAGCGTGCTCAGTCGGTTCATCTGGCCCATCGCCATGGAAACGGAGGCCGGCGCCAGGCTGGCAGGAATCAGAGGATGGGACATCATCATGAAGGGCAACTGATCCAGAACTGGTGGGGGAGAATAGAAGAAAATGTGGAAGATAAGAGAACGACTGAGGGAGGAGGAGAGCTTGACTACGGTAAGAAGATCGGACCAGCAGCTCTGATTAAAGGGCACCAAAGCTGCACCACACGTGCACCCCGACACGAAACACCCCCGATGCTCCTTCTTCTTCTTTCATTCTGGCTTCAGTTGTATTCATCCATCGCAATGCAAGGTCTCCGCTCAGCCCCGTGCAGTGCACCGACCTGAACGGTGTGAAACCGGACACCAATGTCACTCCTCTGTGAAGTCAATATTACCTGGCTGACCGCTCCGCTTCGAGACCACCAGTCCAAAATATGCTCGAGTGCGGTCTAGAGATGTCGGGTGTGGAAAAAGATAAGAAGAAAATGGGAGGAAGAGGACAGAGAAACAGTCCCCCCCCCTCGCTCATTACACAAAACAAAACCACAAACCTCTCTGGAATAAAAGAAAGATTTCTTTCTGTGTTCTTGACGACAACCCGACACGTTTTCAGCGGTGAAGTCTTTATTATCTTGGCCAATCTGCTAGTCGCGCTCCTCTCGATACCACAAGCATCCACTATCTTTAAAGAAAATCCTTCCTCTCAACAGCACCCAAGTGGGTTGTTGCAGTCCCTCTATTCATGAAACAAACAATCCCGTTTTTTGGGGGGTGGGGGAGAGAAAATGACATAAATATTTATCATTTAATAAAAGGAAAAACAAAAACAAAAGAAACACAGGGAGGAAGTGGAACAAAAGAAGCTGATGGCAGTCCTGGTGCTGGGCCAGCAATGCACGCTGGGTAATTATAAACACAAAGGAAAAAATCTTGGACTCTATTCCACACAATTGTCACAAATAATAGAACGAGTGCATGGAAACGAGAAAGAGAGAAAAAAAAAAAAAGGCCATCCAAAGAGAGGTGATGAAATAGAACAAATAATGGAGGGAAAGAAGAGAAAGAGAGGGAAATAAAAGAGAAGGAAGAAGAAAAGGGCAAAGCAAGAAATAAAGGCCGAGGCGTTGACTTTACGAGTCGGGCTCGCCGGACATATGTGCAGTGCTTTTGTGCATTTGGCAGATTAGTCTCTCACTCGCCGAGCGCAGAAACCAGTCCAAACAAAAGATCCGTCTGAATGGAGCTAAATAACCAGATGCTCCGACAATAAACTAGCAGCCAACTCCAAATATTAAGCCCTGGTTTCAGAAACCAGCACTCCACTTTTGTAACAGCCCCCCACCTCCTCCACCCATCCTCCCCTTCCCTCCACTCCCCTGCAGCCCCACCCCTCCTTCCATAATTTCATTTTCTCTCGCCTTCCTAACTCTGCCCCCCCCCCCCCCATCCCCATCTCCTCACTTTCTCTCTGCCCTCCCATCACTCTCTCTTATGTTTCATTAAAAAACATCAAAAGTCAAAGTGCCTCTCTTATGTTTATCCAAACAAACCATTACTGTAAACAAACAGTTACTGTAAATTTCCCAGAAGATCTTGTTAAATGCAGAAATGGCTGCTCCCCGCTCCTCCCCGGCCCATAAGGTGTCACACTCAGCATTTGTGAGTGTGTGCGTCTGTGTAATCGGAGATTGCCTTTGTAGTGGTTGAAGCCCTGGTAGGGGCCTGTCCTTCCCATAAGGCCGTGGGTGGCGGTATGGAAAAAAACACACCGTTCTTACGTGTGTATGTATGCCTGCGCTGTATGTTGTGTGTGTGTGTGTGTGTTTCCACTTGACTCTATCATTAACAGTGATTAGGCTTTACATGTTTATAATGGCTGGTGGTAACCATGCCACCTAACTGCGCACAGATGCCGGCAGTTGTAACCGAGCGTGTTACGACGGCAAACAATGCTTAAGGCTGGAAGCGCAGACACGGGTAGAGAAAACTATTTACTACACACAGACCCACACACACACACACACACACACAAACGAAGCCGAAACCTGAAAAGGTACCCGGCTCAAGCATTCAGCAATTTTACTTTTGTCTCAAAACACAAGGACAATTTCCACCTTTTCATTTTTGTCCTGAAGCCTTGCAGTGTGCGCTTCATGTTAAGAGTGTGTGTGTGTGTGTGTCTGTGTGTGTCCCGGGTTGATAGCGTATTCCACACAGGCCTCCATAAGCCCCGTCATCTGTCTAAACACACTGATGTCGCTTTAACCTGTCGATAACGGCGGGGGCGGTGTGGCCCGTGTGTGCGCGCGCTTGTGTGTGTGTGTGCGCGCGCGTGTGCGTGCTCGTGTCCGTTCTCCCATCGATTGTCCGGCATTTGTCGTTTGCATTCAGGATAGTGAATTAGAGAGAAGACTATTGATTTGGCTTCAGCCCCTCATCTTATTCATCTCTCTATGATGCGGGTGCGCTTGTTTTCGTCCACCTCGCTCTTCCCTGACTGCGAAAAGCCACGGATCAGTTTTTTAAATAACGTATGACTAAATATTAGACCAGCGCAAGTAGCCAAAGGAATGAGAACACACGGCTAACTTACTGTAAGTCTGAAAGGCAAAGGCTTCTCTTCCAGTAAATCCTGATCTAATGCTCCTCAGCCGATGCCATGCGGAGCCTAAGTAACGCCGCTGGTTCGGGTCGGTGCTCTCTTGATGCGATGAGTAATCTGTGCGGATGATTCGCCGTGTGTTTTGGTGCTGCAGAGTCGATGACCAGTTGTGTTTACTCATCTCATTGAATCCCACAAGCATGCAAACAGTTCCAAGCTGCAGGAAATGTTCACATGTGTCACAATCAGAAAAAAAAGGAAAAACTGGTGATGAAAAAACAATACATGACTGCTAATTGCTGCTGCTGTTTGTTTTGTTTGTAAGGAAACGTACCGGTGAGGAGCGGTGATGTCACATCCTGCTTTTAATCAGCTTCATTCAAACACAGCTGCTCCAGTCGTATTGACTTGGCATCCCAGATGTGTACAGACAACAACCGCGCGGCGCGTCCCACACAGCCGCCGTGTATGTTTGTGTGTGTGTGGATGGACCCAAGAGGACACTCACCCAGTCCGTGGCCGTGATCGCCGTTCTCCCCGTTAATCCCGCCATGTTGATGGTTGCTGTGGTAACTGGCCAGGGCCTCCAGCTTGATCTTCTTGGCCAGGGCCGACAGATCTGAGAGCGCGAGAGGGATATGTGTACGGAGAGAGGCAGAAACAGAAAGAAGCCCAATCAATAAGAGCCGGATCAATGGCCGCGGTGCAGGATTAGAGCGGTGGGCAGGCAGGAGGTTGTCATGGGAAGACAGGGGCCAGCCATTCATCCTGACTGCACCGCTGCACCGGACATTTAGTCTGCCGGGGGATCGCCGGCGATGGGAACAAGCCGAGACATTCATCTCTCCCACGCAGGGGGGGGGGGGGGGGACATCGCGTCCCAACGCACGGCACACAGGGCGACACTAACCGCCGGCGGCCGCGCCACCTTTTGGCCCGCAGGGTCCATCTTTGTGAGTAGGAATTAAAGAGAGGAAAATAAAGGTGCTTTCTAATAGAGGGGTTGTGCACAACGGAGAGTGACAAAATGTGGCCGGGCCTTGTTTTAATTTGTGTGCTGATCCTCAGCGAGGTAGTTTGACCCCCTTTAAAACTCACTTATGCCACAGAAAATGAAACATCTCTCGCACTAATGCAGACAAACACGGGGGGAGGGGGGATTATTAAAGTTAGACGAACCCCGCAACTGTGCAAACACGACTTGAGGAAACGCAAACAGGCCGTAAGTCTCAATTTCCTGGATTCATCGGAGCATTTGCAACAAAGTGAACCCGCTGAGCATCGCGTCTTCTGCGGCGGACGGTCTGTCCGTCCGCGACGCAGACAACCACAACAAATGACTCCTCTTCTTCTCATCTCCTCTGCTTCTTCTCATTCGTGCCCTCCTCCCTGCTCTCCTCCCATCCCCTCTCCGTACTTTACCTTTTCAAATGTCAGCATCACAGCGGGACATAAGCCACCGTGTTGCCTGCGTGCGTGTGTGTGTGTGTGTGTGTGTGTGTGCGCATGAGGCGAGAGAAAGAGACTAAGGAGGATGACATCAAAGATTTTCCCTGCCTTTTACGCTCAAATGTCCTCCCGCTCTCCGTCTCTTTCTCCCCTCTCATGTGGCCAGCTCTAATCAGTAGCGCTGACATTGCTGCCGTGCCCTCTCCTTTGGTGGAAAAAGACTCTTTTCCCACTGAGAAAGATGCTCTTGAACAGTCACGCATACACAACACACACACACACACACACACCCTCTCAAGCACCTTTGAACAGCGAGAGGAAGCAGAGCTAAGAGAAAATGGCTTCTTTTGAGGGAGGGAATGAAAAGATCAGGTTGCAGTGAAGAGCACAAAGCCAAGGGCAACTTTGAGAGCGGCGAGGTGCCAACAATTACTTTTCTCCCTTTCTCTGCGCTACAGACGCACACACAGACACACTGTTTGTCACGAGAACAAGCAGCACTGTGGCCGTCAGAAGGCAGTTGACTGAGACTGTAAAGGAGACAAACTCGAGATAAGAAATAATAGATTGAGGAGGCAATTAATGTACTTGAGAGACATTTACAGAAGAAGATTAAACATTAAACATTCCTGTTTGTGTGCAAGACTAAAATAAAAGCGTTCTCAATGGCTTAAATATTAGGAATCTTGGACTCTGTGTACTTATAATTCAAGACTAAAAAAGGCCAACTTGCAAGTTATGAGTCGTTTCTTGTGTGTCAGCAGAGCGGATGGTAATTCTATTAATCAACACACGGGTCGCCTCCTGCCTGCTCGCACTATTGATAACGGGTTAAATGTATCATTCGGCAGGAAAAAGGAAAAAGCGCCGTGCCCGTGTCTGTCCTGCACAAGCAACCTGCTCTTTTCTTTAAACTGATGGCAGTAACTCAGCTGGCTGCCAAGTCCTTGCTTTCACTTTCCGACAGCTGAAAAGAGAACAGAATTTGAACTTTGCCAGCAGCTCCTATGAGGGCTTAAGCAACAATGTGTCACTAATTCACTGTTTAAAGCAGCTCCTGGAACCCAAACAGGGATTTACACTTCTGTGCAGTTCTGAAGAATTACAAACCTTGACCTTATGGAAAACAAAAAGGGGGATTTAGAGTCAGAGAGGCTTTCTCCTTCTAATGGATACTTGATGCAGAATACACTGGCCAGTAAATTGACTGTTTTTTAAGTTACTTTCATCACCAAATAACATATTAATATATTATCATATGTTGTAGATTGACCAAATAGCATAGATATAAATGATACATTCAATCTATAAATAAGGCATTGATTAAATTAAATGCATCTATTTGACTCAAACGAGGAAAACATTTCTTGTTGTACTAATTCTTTAGAAATCATTATTTTTTAATAATGTATTCTTTCATTTACTCTGACCAACTATTTTACAAATTTCCAAATTGTAAACCTTTGCATTGAACAACTGTAACTAAACTGCCCCTAACTGCTATTTGTGTTTTTCTATGAACACAGGCTCTAATGTTCCTGAATAAACATCATCAAATCTCTGTGATTTCTGCGATGGTATATAGATCTTCTCAGTGAAAGTAACCTCATTAATATTCAAAGTGAGGGCAAAAGGCCCCAATATTTTGGTGATTATATGATATAAAGAAAAAGAAATAGAAAATAGTTAACAGGAAATTGTCAAAAATCTACAAACGGTTTTGCATTAAGCAAATAAAATGGAGGAATATCATTTTAGAAGTTAAGTAATCTAACATGAAAAAGAGAAAAAATTGTGATTTAGTGAGAAATAAAGCTAAATCAAAACATGAATTAACTATTAAAAAAGTGTCTTTATTTTTGGAAATTGAATATGTCAGGTATTGTTTCTCTCGTCCGATGTTGTGCGTTATGTGCGCCTGCGGTATCGTCTCTACAGTACTCGTGTGCCCACAGGTACGTATGTGCGTAGTGCGGCCTGGGTGGTCACCTGCAGGAGGTATGATCCCAGCATGCACCAGACCGCTGTGGGACAGCATGTGGTGAGTCCCGCCCTCTGTCGCACTCTGCAGCCTCTTGGGCGGTCGTCCCGGCCTCGAACTGCAGGCAAAAAAACAACAAAAAAAACACACAGGTTAACATTCGCCACGAGGCCGTTTACCACTTAATGCTCCCTCGGTTTCTTCGTGCTGTGACTGAGATGGGTGGCCCCGGGTTAGAGAATCTGCCCCTCCGCCTGTAAACCTCTGATCCTGCTGAAGTGTCAACAAGCAAAACGCTGAAACCCGAGCGGCTCCAGGAAGGCTTCTGTGCAGCGGATCTGACCTCCCCGCGGATACGAGCAAGCAAAAAAGAAGTTTCCCCTATGGCATCAATAAAGCACCTCATTACTGTTCAGCTTACTCATTCATTTGTTTGCTTATTAAATGTGTTTGCTCGCCTCCTTCCCTCTCCCTCCTTTTTTTTTTTTTCCCGTCATGTCACAAATTTCCTCGATAAAGGGCCGCGACTACAAGCAGATTCACGTGGTTTGATTGAGCCGGCCATGCTCAATCAATCCTGGAGGAGCTGTGTGAAAAGCTGTCAGACATCACTTTGGCTCTGACTAAACGGTGTGAATGTCCCGACAGGGGAAATGACACGGGCCACATCAGGCTTAATGACGGACCAGCTCAGCTCATCTCCTTTCAGAGCAACCTGACAGTGGATAACATGGGTCCGTGGGCAAAAGATGCGTCTGCAAAGTGTGTCTGTGTGTGTGTGATATTAAAAGACAGAAACACAAGAGGGGAACAAAAAACACGTGACGTGGAGATAAAGAATCCAAAACAATACAGATGAAAAGGGAGATGGAGGGAACCGTGAGAAGATGTGTGTGAGAGGAGAGGAAGTGTAGAGAGGGAGTGTCCAAGAGAAAAGGTGGGGAAGTAAACTAAAAAAAAAAGAAAGAAAGAAGGAGAGATGGACTAGCAGAAGCAGCAGCTTTCTAGCGTGGGGTGTCTTTGAGCAGATTTTAATTAGAATCTAATCCAGCCGTCATTAAGGCCCCATAAACGAAGCTGTCAGTCAGGAGATTAATGGCGCTTCATTTGCATATTGCATATAATTCATCAATTACCCGGCAGAAAGGACCAATCCCCTGTTGACACACCCACTGGCTGAGAAAGAGGGGGGGGGTGTATAGGAGGGGGGGCAAAAAGACAGAAGGAAAGATTGGGTAGTCACTAACTGTGGGAGAAAAACAGGTAGCTTGTGTGTGTGTGTGTGAGTGTGTGCGCGTGTGTATGAAGTGTTCAAAGGTTAATTTGATGAGCCGATGAGCTCCACAGTTCCTGCCCTCAGTTTTAATGAGTTGTTATTATTGTCTCTTATTATGGGCCCAGACCGACTGGGATGTGACAGCTGACATCAGATATCTCACACGTGCGCGCACACACACACACACACACACACGTGCTACACACAGGCGCGCAGACATTGAGAGAGACACACTAAGGTAAATGTACACTTATTTACACACACACACACAAACACATCTACCTTGGGAGACAGACAGACGGAATGTGCAAGAAGGATAAAGATGTGAATGCGCGTGTGTGTCTGTTTGTGTGTGTGTCTGTTCGTATTGTTTTTTCAGAGGCACATTCGCATCACACACCCATTTTTTTTTGCATTACAAATAGAGGCATACTGTGCTTAACAAAAGCAGGAAATGTATTTTTAGTTCTCAAGTTGAAGGTAAAGCAACATAGTTGCAACGCAACTGATGTAGGAACACCTTAAACGAACACACACACACACACACGCGCATGCACACAAATGCAGAGGCCAACACCGGTCAGGGGAAATAAAACACACACAGACCACAAAGTCTGCGGTTGTTTTTTACAGCTGCCGCTTCCTTTTTCCTTACTACTGTTTATTTGCGCACACTAATTAATGCCCTGTGTGTGTATGCGTGTGCGCTGGTGTGTGTTGCGGCCTTGTTAGTGGGTGTGTATATGTTGCATTTTAGCGGGCATAAAGAACTGGAACCTAATTTTGTGTTTAGTCTGCAAGTGCGTTGATACATCAAAGTGACCCGTAGAGGGAGGTCTACGTGTGTGTTGAGCATGCTTTGTGAGTGTGTGTGTGTGTGTGTGTGTGTGTGTGTGTGTGTGAGAGCTTGGAGAGCACCGGTTCCCTGAGGTAGGATTAATGAAAAAGCCTTTCATGGAAAAGTCATCAAGCTGTGGGGATGGAATGAGAGAGAGGAGGGGGGAGAGAGAAAACAGTTCATTGTGTGTGTGTGTGTGTGTGTCTGTGTGTGTGTATAAGGTGTGTGAGTGCGCAGAGGAGGGGGTGTATGGCTTATGACCTCTTTGTCTCAAACTTTAATTAAAATCTCACCCAGACGTCCTCCCTCATGCCAATGCTTCGGCCACACACACACACACACACACACACACACAAACACGCATGTAAAAAGCTACTCTGTACATTGAGTTCTCCCATCCAAGCTTAGCTTAGTGTGTGTGTCTGTGTGTGTGTGTGTGTGTTACCTGAAACATGAAACGCCAAACATGGCAGCTGGAGCTTAGCACAGGTGGAACAGAAACAAAACATAACAAAGATGACAGATCTTTCTCTTCCCCGCTAACACACATACATACATACACACACACACACACACACACACACGCGCACACACAGTGTGGAAAAAGACAAGCAATGAAAGCAGGGGAAGTGTTGCAGTCAAAACAGTGGAACAGCTACTGACTTGGAGGGACTGAGGTGCTGATAGGTAGCAGCTGTGTGTGTGTTTACGCGAGTGTGTGTAGGAGAACTAGCTCAAACAAGATTTTGTTTGGAATATATTAGCGCCGGTTTACGGCTCCCATGCTCCCATCCTTTCAATCTGTGTTCATCACGCCGGGTTTGTATTCGCCGTCACGGTCCGGTTTGATAAATCATATCGTCGTCGCCGTGCGCAGGGAAGTCGTATGCTGCTGGTCAGAGGAGGCAGGGAAAGATTGATGTTGTGATCTTCCTCTCAGAAATCGAGGGCTGGCAAAAAAAAAAATTGACAAATAAAAAAAGCTTTTATGCGGCATTGTTATTAGGAAAGACTGTGTGATGATGTCATGAAAGAAGCTGAAGGGACAGAACACACACACACACACACAGGACGTTTGATCACGGCAAGAATCTGATCTCCTAAACTGATACCGCCTTGCATTCCTTTCCCACATTCCAGGGTCAAGACGATGTCAAGATCGTGTGTGTCTGTGTGTGTGTGTGTGTGCACTCTATTAAAACCTGTCATAGTGGAAGAAACGGAGGCCCTCTCCATCTCATCGCGCTCTCCGCTATAAAACATCAAAAGAGTGCCGAGGTTAAAGTTGAGATAATCACCCCACCCTTACACACACACACACACACACACACACACAGACACACACAGCCCTCCCCTCCACCCTGACGCTGCTGACTTTGACAGTGAGTTATGGCATGGCAGTGGGGCTCGGCTTTGAGTCCACCTTCCCACACATACGCGCAGCTCCGGCTCGCCGCTGCCAACGCGAGCGGGCCGAGGTCGCGCCACAAAGGGACACAAAGAGCTCGCTATTGTTGCACTCCGCAGGCCGCTGCGTCTCATTTATCATTAAGTGTTGGATTTAACTACGTTGGATTTTGTTGTTTTGTTTTGCAGGTTGACTCTGCTTCATCAATGTCTGCAGTTGCTGCAAAAAAAACAACAACAAAAAAGTAACTAAACCTAAATTGCAATAGAACAAAACAAAGCCTCCTTTTTACCTCTCGTGGTGTCCAGCCGCACAGAACCTGAGGTGCAGAGTTTTCTTCTTACAAACTTTATTATTTTTTTTGCGGTGGTTGTGCCATTAGGAAGAACAGACCCCCCCCCCCACCGTTTTTATGGGGACAATTCCGAAGAAGAAGGAGGTCTAAAGATGAATTAAGGCATCTGAAAACTATTATCTTTACTATAAAGTAACAAAGAAAGGCATTTGCTGTACAATCACAAACAAAAATCCATTAACCTACAAAAATATAGGCAAACAAAACCCAGACTACCTGCACGGTAAAGGACGTATTTGTTATTTAGCGGAACGTTTTCTTTGTCTCTGGATGTTCACAGTGATGAGTGTTGATATTAAAAACATCACAAGCGATCCTGTTGCCTTTCCACACTGACACCACATTTATGTCAGGGGCGGCACTTGTGTACACTACACAAAATGTACAAACGCCATTTGTGTACAGTATGTGCGCGCACACACACACACACACACACACACACAGTTTGACCTGAGCGAGCTGTTTGATGTATGTTCCTAACAGAGAATGAAACTGTTCCTTTGTTAAGGGAGAAAGAAAAGGACGGAGGATCAGGTTGCCTCCTACACGCCATGTTCTCTCTGTGGAACTAATGTCGTTTAGCAGCGAAAGCCAGCAAACACACAGGCGTGACCGTGTGAGTTTGTGTGTAAGGAGATGACAGAGAGAGTGTGTGTGTGTGTGTGTGTGTGTGTGTCTCTTTGTGTTTGTGTGGCACCTACGCATGAATTATAACTAGGCTTTGACTGAGGGTGAAGTCTGCCCTTCTTCATGGTTTGATGAGTCAGTGGTCAGGGAGTGTGTGTTTGTGTGTGTGCGTGCGTGCGTGTGTGCACATAAGGAGTGAGGCAAAGTGGAGATGGAAAGACGGTGATAAACAAAGGATATTTGAATTATTTCTGCTGAGTTTAATCTTTTAAAAAAAGAAAAGAGCCACCGAGTGAACAAACAGCCACGAGACTAAACAGGAGGAATCCGTGTAAAGCGTTTTGTTCGACGTGTGTTAAACAATCAGACAACGCCGTTGTTTTCCCCCTCCAGCCTGACTGGAAAATAATAAGTGATGGCCGTCTTAATCAGTAACAAAAACCTCAGTGAGCCCTGACAGAGAGGCGTAACATCATGTTCCTGGAGATGAACCGGCCTTCCCCGCGTTAACGATCACCATCCACTTTTACTCCCACCTTCTCCTGTATGTTGAACCATCCACACCAGGGATTACTTAGAAACTTCTACTTTGGGGGGTGGGGGGGGGTGATGCTAATGGCCACAACAGCACCCTTATTTGAAGCCCTCGGACAAAGAATCACGCAAGTCGTTTGAAGATTTCCGTCGAGTGATGTTTTCAGATCTCATTAACTAAAGGCTGTTTGAGTGTTGTGTGGATAATTAGAGACGGCGGCGGAGGCTGTGTGCGTTTTCAACCGTTGTATAACAACGTTCCCATTAACGCCCCAACTCGGAAGAAATCCCAAAAGCAGAGAAAAATGCATCTGGATTTTGTCTTTGGTCGGAAGGGCCTCAGACGTTTAAACAGGTGCCGCTCTGTGCGCACCTTCATAAAAGGTTAGTCTCTTTTTTTGTGTCTTTTGTATTTTTTTTTCCTCAACAAGTCACAGCTTAGAGATAAAGCGCCTGAATTATTTGATTTACGCCCAAGAAAGTCAAAATAAGTAGGTAACACACTGCTAAATCGGGGGGTTGGTGTCTATCTGTACACATCTTGGCACATCCTCTTTTCTATATTTAATAGCAGGTGTAAATTGGATCATTCATGCTCCAAGGAGCAGGGATTAACTATCAAATAATATAAATTCCCCAAACTACGGCTAATCCGCACTTTTTCTCAAACCCATGCTGTCGTGAGCATGTGGTACGCGCGGCGGCAGGCTGAGGCGCCAGGGAACTACAAATACCAGCCAATTTATGGCCCCCTTTATCCAAACGTCTGTGTGGCGCATTGGATTGATGACCCATGTAGTCGGTCACCATCAGAGTTCTGCAAAACAGCCAATTTACATAATCGCATCATAAATACCGAGGATTCATTTAATCATCTCCTCTGTTCTGATGCTCAGGGCTAAAGAGTGTTGATATGATAAGACAGCGAGTTATTAAGGAGGGAGAGAGAGGGGGGGAGAGAGGGGGAGGAGAGAGAAAGCAAAGGGATCAGTGAGTGAGTGAGTGAGCGAGCGAGCTTGTCCTGATTTAAGCTGCCGCTTGGGGCCAAATGAAAATTAATTAATTTCTGTGAAGAATCAATTTCTCAGAATGACAGTGTCAGATTCAGTGTGTGCATGTGTCAGTGTGTGCGCGAGTGTCAGAGAGAGACGTGTGTGTGTGTGTGTGTGTGTGTGTCAGAGAGAGCGAGAGATCATGGTGTGTGATAACACGACAAACTTTGAAACATTATTTTATTAGGATTACTAAAATTCCTTAATCGACAACATCGCGGCTCTCGTGATCTGTTTAAGGTGGTAGTGACAGGCCCAGGAGTGAAGCAGTAAATTAAGAAATGGAAAAAATCAGTTGACTGCGCGTCCAGTCGGGCATCATCAAATGGTAAACAACCGCCAATAAATATGAAGTAAACCATTTTACAAGATGAATGGATTCCTTGTCCCTGTGCGATGCAGTTTACAGGTTACACGATGGCTTGTGGAATAGTCGATTTGTTTTTAAATGGGAGGCATCTCCTGCAGGTATATCGGAGCAAAGATACAGCAAAGTCCTGGAAAATCACAACGATATTACGTTGTTGCAAACTTATTGTTAACTTGCTCACTGACAATTTGCACCATTATTTAGATGTTTGGTGATGAATCCTGTAAGTCTGATACAGTTTTAATATGTCCAGCCCCCTTAAAATAAACTTATATTTTACCTCATTCGGGTGCTACCTGCTTTTAGATACCGGCCCAACCTGTTGCACCCCAACATCTCCGCAGGGGGTCACACCGTCACCCCCCCCCCTCCCCTCCCCTCACCTCGCGTTGGTGCAGTCGTTTTAGAGCGTCTCGAAGTCCTGCCTGGAGATGAGCTTGCACCGGTTCACCCCGGGCTGGATGGCCCCGAGCCCCCGCAGCACCCGGACCTGCTCCACGTTGCACACCACCGGGGCGATGTCCAGGCGCTTCAGCTTGGTGTAGACGGTGTGGAGCCCGCCGACCAGGTGCTTGAGAAACACGTCGAACGCCTGCGGCAGGCAGATGAGCTCCGTGTCCTTCACCGTGAACGAAGCCAGCTTGGCACCTTTCACCTCCACCAGTTTGCACTCGTTGTTCTGCGGCGTGCTCTCCACGGGCGACGGGGTCGCGTACACCGGCTTGCCGCCGCTGGACACCGGAGCTCCGCCGTTTTTCAACGGGGTCCCGTTCGCCAGCAGGAGGTCCGCCCTGAACTGGTGGAGCAGCGCCTGGTGCGCCGCCGTCGGAGCCGGCGAGGAAGCGGCCGGCGGCGGCGGCGGCGGCGGCGGGGAGTCGGTGGCCGGAGAGACGGAACTCGGCGCCGGGTGGTGCCCGAGTGTAGCGGCGGGGAGCAGAGCCGAAGCGGCCGGAGATGCCATGGTAGTCATGTCCGAGCGATTAAAAAAAAAAAAAAAAAAAGTAAAAGTAAACTTCAAACTATTTTTTTTTTAAAGAAAGTAACTTTCCTCCGTGAAAAGGCCGTTTCCCTATTTTAAGGCGAGGGAGGGAGCTGCGCGCGGAGGAGAGAGAATATGAGGTGGGGAAGGTAAAGGGGGAGAAGAGGAGAGAAGAAGAGACACGGTCCGTGTGTGCGGGGGGAGAAAAGCGATCACATAGTTGAGTGAGAGCGAGAGGAGGCTTCGCCTCCGAGCCGGAGATGCTACTGTCCCATTATCATAAAGGGGCGGAGCCTGCGTTTGTTCTTAGAGAGAGAGAGACATCAACACACAGGGAGAGAGAGAGAGAGAGAGAGAGAGAGAGAGAGCGCGACATCAACACAGAGGGAGAGAGAGAGAGAGAGAGAGAGCGACAATAACACAGAGGGAGAGAGAGAGAGAGAGACAGACACACCAACACAGAGGGAGAGAGAGCAAAGATTAGCCTACATAAACTTTGGATAAGCCTATTTATGAACGCCTAACGACACTTTAGTATTAATGTCTTCTTTAAGGGGGTTTTAAACCTTCACGACATCCGCTTCCCACCGCATCGTTTGTGACTAATAGTTGTATAATTGTAGCCTATTATCTCTGAAAAAAAAAACATGTTTTTTATTACTTTAGTTATTTGTCTTGAGAGGAATTTATTCTCCGTGTTTAAATGGCAGATGAGAGACTTGTTAAATCTGATTACAGCAAAGGAATGAAATAAAAACAGAGAGCCTTAAATAAACATACTTATATAAACTGCATTTTAGGGGTTTATATTGTGTTTTAAATCAGTTAAAAGTCAAAATCAGTTTAATACAATTTAAGAGAAGTATGATATCTGTAGGATTTAATGACAAACTGTTTTTTTTGTTTGATGATAAGAATAAAAGCGTGTTTAAATTATGGGAAAATCCCTTGCCAAATTAGTTGTTTTCACCAATTAGTCATTAACAGTGGGAAAAAAATGAAATATGTAAATCCGGTGCCTTCCATGAGTACGTTTTACATTGATTTCATGTTGCACCTCATTCCTGCTGGGTGCAGTTGTTTTGTCATTATTATAATAATATTTGAACCAACTGTGATCTTAAATCAACAAACAAAATATACATTTGAATCAAAGGGATCCACAAAACGGTCTAACCAGAGAGATGAGAGGCTGTAAAAACATCTCAGGGCAATAACCTTGTCTTGACAAATTGAACCTTTTTACCTGTCAACTGTTTCCTCATCTCCACACACACACACACACGCACACACACACACACACACACAGGCACTACCATCATTTACATATGGAGCTCGCAGTCCTTTCAAAGTGGCTTTCACGGAACATTGTGCTGATAATGATCTTGGTCGTGAGGGAGAGAGAGACACAGATCTCCAGAGACTCACCATAAGACAAGGGGGGAAGAGGATAAAACTCCGACTGTACTCCAACTCAAAGGACTTTAACACTCTTTTCCTCCCGACCCCCCCCCCTCTCTCTCTCTCCAATAAGCCCTCTTGTGTTTTTTAATTGGCAGAAATTAATCTTTAGGATGTAGATGGTAGATTTACATTCATTAAAAGTCAAGAGAGGAAGCCAGGCTTGATGCTAATCAAATCTGCTTAATTATGCTTAACATGAGTATCTCCAGGGGAAAAGAGAGAGAGAGAAAGAGAGGGAGAAGGGGGTGGAGAGAGAGAGAGAGTGAGATAGCTAACGCAAACTTTTTACTTTTTTGCCTTTGATAACTCCTGCTGAGTATGGCCTTTTCCCTGCCAAAAAGAAATGTCACGACTCTCTTTCTCCATCTGTAGAAAATACACGATAAAAGGCATCGGTGTTGAGCAGAGCCGCTTCACTCGCACCTTTTAAGTGTTTAATATAGTGAGACGTTCAGCTTTAACCTCCCCGGGCCGCAGTGCACTGGGGGGGGGGGGGGCGTCACCTGATAATAGATTAACTGATATGAACTCAGTTAGCCCGCGAATGGTGACATGAACGCGGGCCTAATGAGTAATACGTCAGCCTAAAGGACTTATCTGTGATTACAACCTTAGATGGGAGATTTCGTTAAATTTTTTCATTTCGGCTCATCCATCAACGTTCTGCTAAGCAACCAGTTATTAAAAAAGAACCCCGTTTGCAGGAGGTTGCAGGATGCCCTGGTGGGAAGTGACCTTGTCTCACAACAGGGAGGTCACAGGTTTAATTCCTACAGCAGCTATTGTGCTTAAACTCACATGAAATTAAACAATGAAGCCCTACTTGCTGCAGAATCCCTCCAGTAAGTGAAGCATGAAATTACAAGGTGCCGTCCACAGGAGAAGAAAGAAAGACATTCAAACATAAACTGTAATATTAAAGGGGAACTCCATCCCTTTTCACTCATCAAAGTTTGTTTGCAGAGTGCTGCTCACCTGGCCGGATTCTTTCCAAAAATCCGTGTTGTTTGGCTTCCGGCGCTTCACGGTGCATTTGTGTCGGAGCCACAGTGGTCAGATGGGAGGAGATCCGTGCAGTCACACGCGTGGTCCTTCAGGTGTGCGTGTGACGCTCGTTTAATGGCGGCTCTTTAAAGAGGCTACAGCATAAACGCTGCAATGGACATCACTTACATTTCCTCAATAAATTAGATGTTTTGTCTCTTCACCTGACTTGCTTCCGCCGGACTTTGGTCGACAGATGGTTCGTCAAATCGGCCGCCAAGTCTTTTATTGAAGGTTTCTCAAGTGATGTCACTTTGGATTGAGGATGCGCGGCGTGGTTTTAGAAAGAAGTGAGACCTCTGCAGCTCCATTTGCTCGAGGCCAGACTATACCAGCGTTACACACCCACATATCTCAGGCCGGCCTAGTCAGCGAACCACTTGCATTGTGGGGATCGTAGGCATAGGTACGGAATAAAAATAGATGAAATAGATTTCTGCAAAGTGTGATAATAGCCTGAGGAAATTCAATCCCCAAATTGCTGCAGTAGTGTGTGGTTCTTGCGTTGACTATTGTATCATTTATTCCACATTAGCTCTTTAATGAAATGATTTTGGATGAAATGAGGGACCTGTGTTTGCTGTTTTTGTAGACCTATGTTTTGATCTCAGGAAGACTTCCAATGAATTAAACATTCCCTGAACCAAAGCTCTTGCCAAAGATTTGAATTTGCTTTCAAACTCCTTTTTCCTCCGAGACAAATCCGCCCGGCCTTCTTTTAACAAACCTCATTCAGCTACAGTTTTCCTGTTCACATTCATCTCGCCGTAGTGCCATCGCGAGCCAAAGAGACCAAGATAATACTTCACGTCGCGTCGCTGTTTGAAAGCCAAGCTCGGGTCCTTTCCACATGTCTGTTTTGGCCAGTGAGCAGCAGGAGCCCGAGCGAAATGTGTAGGTGGTTTCATCGGCCGATGAAGTGTAAATACCACTCAATCTGTTCTCATTAGAGGAGTAAAAACATACCAATCACTTTCGCCTCTATTAAAGATGCCCCAGGGTCCTGGTTAAGTGTGCGAGATTGTGTGTGTGTGTGTGTGTGTGTGTGTGTGTGTGAGAGAGAGAGAGAGAAGGAGGGGATGACAGAATGATGTTTTGGCATTTGTGTCTGCAGACGGGATCTGAAATGCCACCACCATCAACGCTGCTTAATTCTCAGAAACACACTCTTAATGTGAACAGACACTCCGTTCCGACAGCCGCTGTTATGGTTCAAATCAACTCGGAGTGAAGGGTGTGTGCGCGTGCCGTTGTGAGGGAGAGTGTACGTCGTTGTGTTTTGCTACGTGATTAGACGTCCGCGTGTGTGTGTGTGTGTTCGTCTCCGAATGTGTGTGTGTTTGTGTGAGTTTGTGTGAGACCAAGATATCACACACCCATTCCACATTCTCCAATGATAATGTGGATTGATTATGGATATGATAATGAGAGGCCGGCGCGGCGTCGCGACCTTCACAAGGTCTAATTGAAACAAGCGTTGGTCCTCCGAAGCACTTATCAAGTCACACAGCACATCATTAATCACGGAGAATACAAGCTGTCAGCGCGACACACATGCACACACACACACACACGCGTGCACACACTGTCTATTTTTCTGTTTTTCCAACATACACGCACACATGCTGTCTCTTCTTTCTCTCTCTGTCTTTCTCCTAAACACACACACACATGCGCACACCTACACGCGCGCACACACAATGCAAGCTGTCACTACAATATGCCTGGCATTGTCTTCTTTTAAGGCGAGTGGACAGCTAGTCCACCCTCCATCTCTGTTTTCTACAAGAGAAGTTGAAGAACAAACAGTCTGTTGGAGTTAAACCTTTTAAAGAAATAAGGAAGAACAAGAAAGAAAAAAACAAGAAAAAAAACAAGAGGGGGATTGTTAAAACATATTCAACAAACACCAACAGCTGTTCCCTTTGCCCGAACTCGTCCGAAATTGAATTAACTTCAGTTGTTTTACTACCTGCTTTTATTGGCAGACAATTTAACAACTAAATGTGATTCCGAGGTCTGATTAAGGCGGCATATGGTGCCTACCTGTTAAACACAACGCGCTCAACACCAGCTCAACGCCTCAGTGAGCTACTCGAATAAACTAATAAGCCCAATATCATATTAGTCATTACATAGTCCAACACACAAAATTTCAATCTGATAAAAAGGTGGTTTCATTATCATCATAAGGAAAACACAAGGGAGTTTGCACACGCTACGTTGATGCCATCACCAACTTTGTTAATTGTTATTCAATTAACTGCTTTTGTTAATGAAACCGATTAATACTTTAAGGGAGATATATGATTATTATGCATCTATGCAGGAGACAGCTAATTACAACTGTAAATCAATCAATTCTACATTAATCAGCTTGGAAAATGTCCAAAAACAACAAAGTCACCAAAAGACTTTGGAAGTTTTTTTTTTTCTGCATATTTTGATTGCTATGCCATTATCCTGTCTAATGATTGTTAACGATCCTTTAAAGGGTTTATGATCCAATTTCCTTGCTGTGAATTTAATTGGGACCTAAATAGTGTAATCCTACAGTGTTTGAGTGCGGCCTGTATGTGATCAAGGGTGGTGCTTAGGAGTAAGATCTAACAAGGTCACGCTGCTCCTCTCGGGGACGCCTCACAGGCCTGAAGGATGAAGGCTTGATCAGTTACAGAAATATTAATGCATCAATCACTTCCAGAACACAGCCAAGGTATGAAGTCTTCAGGATGTCCACTGATCCAGGGGGTCGATAACTGGATTTCAGGGGATTAATAAAACAATGTTATCTGCTTAGTTAGTTATGTAATTTATTATCAGTGGTACAAACAGTATTCTTACTGCTTAAAGTGAAGTAGAAATAACACAATGTGAAACTAGTCCAGCCTTTGTACTAAAAACAGCATGAAAGAAAAAACGAAAGTAGAAAGGTCTGTTTAAGATCTTGAGGTAACGGCTGGCCGCTGTGGAGCTGCACTTATTCTACACGCCATGGCTAAGTCTGGTGCGTCATGGTGCATCACATTTTATATGCATATTAAGCAGCAAAAATAACTTATTTCATGTTAGAAATTGTCATTTTCATAATGGAGCACGATCATTGGATCAAATTAAAAAATCTGAAGTAAATATTCTTTGTGTGCATGTTCCCAGCTCACGTGGATTTATTAAACTCCAAGAATACTTTGCGAACACTGAAACATCTGTTGGCCAAGAATATAACGACAATTTTAAAAGTTCCCTTCTCAAAACAACACTTAAGGTTTTTTTTCTGTTTGTCCAACCAGAAGAACTAATCCGTAATAAAGTCTTAAAACTTAACATTCCATCCATGAAATTATCATATAATTTGCAATGAAATGGACACAACAAACAAAGCCTTGTCCCTGCAGGGAGACCTACCTGTTTATGGCTAATGGTAATTAGTAACCTAAATATAACTGTGCACATAGAGATCTTTGACTTTTGGTTAAACTCGCCTTCTACTCTACACTCAAGTTGTTTTCATGAGACACTGCTTGTAATTGAGCTTTGTACAAACATCAACAGACCATCTCTCCTTATGCATAAGAAACTTCTAATCAGTCCAGTCTAATTATTTTTCTAATATCCATTGCGCCCACCTGAACCGTAATCTTTCACTTTTAAATGAGACTGCCCTCATTTATCAGAAAAATAATACTCAGCCTGGATAATCATCAGACGTACAAACATAAACACCTTTAGAAGTTCTGAAGTGAGGACCTGCTTAAGCTCATACAGTCATGTGACCTGACCAGTGGCCTAGTTGAACACCTCTTAGATGTTTATGCATATATGGACGCTAATCTCCCAGGCAGGACTGTGGGATTTGAGAATATTTTGTTTTATAGAGATCAAAGTATCTTGCTGGGATCAGGACAAACCCTTCAAACACACCAGAGAGCAATGAATCCTGAACCCCACGCCCACAGTAGCCAATCAAGCCGCGCATAACTCTTTGTAAAAAAAAAAAGAAAGAAAAGGATTCTCAATGTGGGTCTCCCTCCATCAACATCTCCTGCAGCTCGCCCCCCCCACCCCACCCCACCCCCCACGGAGGGCCAGGGGTTGTTTAGGCTCACGAGCGATCAAGGAGAGCCACTGCACCGTATCTGTATGCCTCTCGTACTCGGCTAACACCATGCCGGTATTGAGGAACAGAGAGATACTGTGTTAGGAGATCAAAGCGGCGGTACAGAGATTTAGACTCAGCGCCGTCAGTGGAGATGGCGAGACAAAAGCAGAGGAAGACAGAAATGCTTACACACACACACACACACTCTGAAGCTTTCTCCGTGGTGTGCCTGTGAGGGGTGAGGCGTGACTGTCAGATGGCTCGGGGGGCTACTCATTTGTAGACATCTACAGCGCTGCATGAACACCTAAACTCTCTCTCTCACACGCACACACACACGCATACAAAAGCTACTGATTCGAGCCCTTTCGGATGAGAGGTCGCTCCTAGTCTGTATATTGGCCTGTGGAGGAATGTTCTGTGCTCTCAGCACTTTCCCCTCGTCTGGAAGATGAATAGAGCCATTTCACAGACGGTGGAGAAACAAAACAATGCTGCGTGTGGTTGGACACATGATGTAGGGCCTTCATTTGTGGTTGATCAAAGACACCTTTTTTTTTTTTTTTTAAGTCAAGTTTGCAAGAAATCTCAAATTCTTTTATTTCTTGCGTGTGATAGACACGGAGGGGGTGTGATTTAAGGTCAACAGGACATCCTGCTGTAAAGAATGACCCTTGTTCATGTCTTCTCTTTGTACACGTTGATGCGATCGCCCCGGCATGCTCCGTGTTTGTATCTTTTTCCCCTTCACCTAGTGTGACAGGAAAGATCATTTCCTTTGCACGATCCTTCAGAAAAATTTCAAGTCCCATTTGAAAGCCATTAAGAATTACATCACTGGGAAAAAATGCTTTGTTATATTCTACAATGGGATCAAGGCCGGAGAGAAAATAAGACATAAATAAATGTGGAAAATATGATTTAAAAAGTACCTGATAAAAAACAGCTCTCAAACATCAGGAAAACTATGAGAGCGGAAACTAGCAGTTAACTTCTTATGCCTGATTAGAAAAAAAGAAAGAATAAGAATAAGAAGGACACCACGCCACCTTGTGGTTATTGACGGCAACATTTTAATTTAGACATCAAAAGGATCAAGTTGAAAAATGCATTATGGTTACACAAAATTAAAAAAAACTCAAAGCAAATTATATTTCAAAACATCATAAAAACATTTTCCCATGAAAAGGTGCAACACTAGTAGACCACCAGAAACTAAGTATACTCTCAAATGAAGGCAGTCGATGGTAAAACCACTCGGATCTTCTACTTTTCAAATGGCCGAAACTCGCACACAGATCTGAGGCTGAATGGCGCAGCGTGCTCTAATGTCTGGAGAGGACTCGTGTTTAGGAAGAGGGCTGAGGTTGATTCACCTCCCCCAACCCACACACAAAAGCTCAAGACACAAGTCAAAGCGCAGAACGGGAACAGTTGAGTCACCATGGAGGCGCAGAGGACACAGTGCCAACACACAGGCTAATCTGATTGGCTGGAGATCCCATCGCAGGTACAGATCCAGGAGCGGGACATTAACCCATTCAAGTTCAAACTGAGACGGTCTGGCTGCATCTTCAGTTAGTGCTGTTTTCAGAGGCCTGAAATAGAAAATAAAACATAAATGTGTTATGCCATATTTAATTATGAGATAAAGTTTCTTTTATTAATTACCAAATTACATCTGCTTTATAGGCGGGCTAAAACTGTGCACAGGACATCATTCCATAAATCATAGAAATGCTAAAGTCTGTATGACAGCCATGTTCAAATACACCCATAAGTACTCAAGAGAGGGATACCTCAGTATTGGCATTCAAAGCAATGGCAGAATCTCTGACTCCAGTGGCTTTATGTCATATTGACATCCATGTCCATATAAAACGGGAATAAGATCCTGTACTATGACTTGATTAATCAATCAACAGAAGAAAAAAGAAAGAATAGTCGAACACTTTGCTGCACAATTTAGACATGTGAAGGTTTTCTGCTACTACCCCTGTCACATAACTGCAAATTCAGGATGATTAGTGTAGCAATTTCTCCTTTACATTGGACGTGATTTCTTAGAAAGCACCATAGATCAGCATTTACGGATGTGTGTAAAGACGAACGGGACTTAACCGTCATATATAGTCTCACACATTTTCTCTTTAACGATGTCAGCTGGTTAGATAATCATTTGAAAGTAATAATATAGCTCTTCCGTTTCTATACCTTGAGGGTTTCAGAAGCTTTACGCAGTTCTTTGATGACTGCAGACAAAGCTTCTGGGTTGATGCCTTGCTCGCACAGTCTGACGCATATCGACAGGGACTCCATGTCCAAACCGGTGTTCAGCAACCTGGAGATCTCAAGTAACACTGTTGGAAGAAGACGTCGAGTTACCCAAACATTAGTTTGTTGTTCATTTTCTGGTCTTAAATAAGCCCTGTGCCATTAGTCAGCTGTACGATTACAAGCAAGCTACGAGTTATCAAACAAAAACAGTTGTTCAACAAATAAACGCAGACTACTGCGCGTTTATTAATGTGTATATAACGTTGTATATTTACCGTCCATGGTCTCGCGTACTGCATTTAGGTTGGCGCTTGCTGCACTTGCCATAGTGAAACCTTGGGCTGAATACCGTTAGCCAACGTTTGCTAGCAGGTTGCTAACAACATAAACTAAACTTAAACAAGATCTCAGTTTTTTTTTTAAATAACGTTAAACGTTAATTTTAGATACAAGCAGCCGCAGATTGTAAAGCGCGATCGTTGAAGGACTGTATTAGCAGCTAGTTAGCTACATTGCCTGCTAAGCTAGCTCTCCAAAACCGGTAGTGACGACACGTCGTTGTTGATTGGTTTCCAAGACCTTCCCGCAATGCTCCTATTGGCCAGCGGGCCTTGTGGGTGAAATTGAAATAAACGTTGGTTTGAACGCTCTCGCTGACGATTGTTTGCCGACCACTCAATGCATTTAGCCCCGACTCGCTAACAGCTGGCTGCAGTACCAACGGAGCATCTGCATTTGGCGTAAGTAAATAACAATATGTCTCTTTGATATTTTAGTAAAGTGGCGTGTTTTCCGAAAGAGGAGAGTAAGGATCGTCTTACCGAATTCCGCCAGCTGCCTGTGGCGGCTACAGCGGAACTAATGTAACGTTACCTTAAATAACCTGTCAATTTACCAAAAGCTGTCGTGTGAGAGCAATACTCTTTTAAAAAAAAACAACCGTCCTTTTCCTTCACGCAGACTGTAATATCTGAAGATGGGGGACCGCGTCGAGCTAACGCTCCAGATCACCCCGGAGACTCCGGGCAGGCCTTCGGTAAGGAACCCGTTCGAGAGCCCCAATGACTACCACCAGCTGCGGGAGCCCCTGATGCCGAGCCCCTCCGTCTTCACGTCCAAGCCCTGCAAAGTGGTCAGTGTGAACACGGTGTGTGTGTGCGTGCGCGCGTGGACCTGCCGGCCTGTGGTCTCTCACTGCAACCATCTCAATGCTGTGATACTCATTTGCTCCCCCGTTTGTCCCGCAGACTCCACCCAGGTTTAACTGGTCCATCGATGAGATGGCCAGTCTCCTCCCGGTGCACATAGACCAAGAGGACATCCAGCGACAGTCTTTTTACCTCAGCCAGACCAGGTATGTTCTGGGAGGGGTCGCGGCGGATGTGGAGGTTTAAAGGAGGACAGCCGGGTCATAATGAATGTTTTCTCTCCCCGTCTAGGATGGATTCTGACATTGAGGAAAAGCGACAGAACGCTATTGAACAGGTTTGGGATTCTTATCACAGCGAATGGAGGAGGTGTCATATTCACGATTTATTGATTTCATTTAGTGAATATCTACACCATCTTTCTCCCAATGAAGTTTTTCACCAAAGGAGCCATCGTGCCCTCCCCATGGGCAGCACCCAACACCCGTAAAGGCCCTCAAATGTATATGAAAAGTAAGTTTATTTTATGGGTTAATGCTTTTTCCACTTAAATTAAAGTATTGCATTTAATTCTAAAGTCAGTAACGTTTCCATCACTTTTTGCCTTTTCTTTTGAGTTCTTGACTTTAAGGTCTTCATATTTACGGGTCTGCGTTGCTGTCTTTACTCCTGTAGGTTCTAAGTCTCCAGTGATCGCAGAGGAGCCGGAAAAGATCTCAGGTTGGTGTGTTCCTTGAGACGGTTTTGACGTGACTTTCCTACGGCGGCGTCTTACTTGTGCTTGATTTAATCTTTACTCTTTTTTCAGTTTCGTGCCAGACAACACTTTCATTACCTGCGGCTCTCGATTTGGAGAAAGTGCTGGGTGAGCCTCTGAACAAACGGCAATACATTCAAATCCAGAGCGTATTTGGACCCATGGAGTCACAGTGTCTTTCTCCGCCCTCTCCTCAGGAGATTATTACCGCAACGACGAACCATGCGACGGCGTGCAGGAGAGCCTCAGCTCCTCCTCCTTGAGACGGAAACTCTTCCTCGACGGGCAGGGCGCCTACTGCGGCTCCGACAGCTCCGGCCCACCGAGCCCAGAGAGGGGCCACAGCACGGCGGAGAGGCTCTCGCTGCACCGGGACGAGGGCGCCGCGGGACGAGTCCAGGGCGAAGCCGCCTCGTCCATCTTCTTCTCCCCTCTGTCCTGTGGCGTCTCGGCCGCGACTCCCTCCACGGTGAGCGGCGATGTGATAAGACGTTTTTTTTGTGTTTGAATCGAACCGTTTGAACAAAAATGTGTTTGCCTTGTGTTGTTTTTAAAATATAGGGTCAGTTCTCGTCCAGCCCCATCCAGCGTGGCCGCTTCCGTGACTGCAGCCTGGGCAGCATCGCCAGTCCCCCGTTCCCCGATATGTCCTCTCCTGCTGGCCTCGTCTCGCCCACAATCTCTCCTATAGTTGCGCGCGGAGCACGCACACCCATATGCTCAGGTAGGCCGTTTGGTCACGTGTGCACACAATAGGGCAGAATGGTTTGACTTTGGGGATTATCTTTCTTCAATCTGAATCTTTTTTTGTTCTTTCTTCAGCTGAGAAGAAGCAGCCGAGCCATTTCACTCCACTGGGTGTCTCCCTGGACAACAATCTCACCGCTTGCAACGAGAGCCCGTTAGTCGAGGGCTGCTCGCCCATCCGGAGCTGCTCCCCCCACCAGCTGCACGGCCGCAACGAGCCGCAGCACAACGGCCGTCCCAAGCCCCGGCACAGAGTGCGCTGCCTGGCCTCGCCTCCCCTCATCTCACCGATCCTCGACCCCAAGATGCAGGACGACCACGAGGCCGAGCACCAGCTCCCCTTCTCCTCTCCGTCCTCCTCCTCCTCTTCTTCTTCTTCTCTCCCCCCGATGGAGCTGGATCCCTCTTCCCCCCAGGCCCGCGACGGACGCCTGGAGAGAGTTGCCGCGGATCCCACGGAGCCGGTGAAGATGGACGAGGGCAAGGAGGCAGAAGGGAGGTCGGAGGACGAAGAGGAGGAGGAGGAGGACAGCGCGGCGCTTTCGGGGCGGCTGACCAGCTCTCGTATGGGCAATGTGTCGGCGGCAGAAGGCTCGCGCATGTTCGTGTCTCTCCTGGCGGAGGGAAGCAGCATACGCTACGATTCCAGCATGCAGGTTCGTGCGAGCAGCTGCCGCGGTGCATTTAGGTGGAGTTGTTCGCCTCACTGAAATACGGGCTGCTTTTCGGTGTCCCCTTCAGGTGGACAGCGGTTACAACACTACCTCGGCGGGCACTGCCAGCCTCATAGACGCCCTCGGCTTGGACTGCCACGGCAAAGAGTCCTTCAGCTCAAACCCGGCAGAAGAAGCCTTTCAACTCCCTCGACAGACCAAAGTAAAGGTGAGTCGGCCCTGTACGTGCAAACACACTGGAAAGTCACGAAGACTTTACAGTGTTGTGCCGCTAGTTTTTTTTTTTTTTTTTCCCCTCTGCTTGTTACTAAAATGGAGTTTCTGATTCTACAGGTATTTTATCATCACCACTGAGTCGTCTGACGCATTTTAAGGGGACGCCTCCTCCAGTGGAAGCTTGGCGTGATGAACTCGCAAACAAATCCAACAAAGTTTACACATTGTTTTTGAAGCGTTTTATGTTGCATAGCTTCGATTGGGGTGATTTGTGTGACTTTGAACTCAGGAGTTTCACACCTGGTTATTTGTGTTTTTAAGGTGTAAAGTTCACAAACGATCAACCACAGTATGTTTCATCACCTGTTGGAAGGGAGAAGACTAACTCAGTCGATATTGTAGTTCCAGCGTGAGACTTGTAAGCAATGAGCACAAGTCGGCGGTTCTCTCGGACAGAGGACGGTTCACTGGTGTGATAAATGGGGGAAAAAAAGTCACGTCTGTATCAAATTTGCACAACAGTAAGCTCCTTGAATGCTGTATTGACCTCATTTCACTTGAACTTGTTGCTGATGCGATCAAGCTGAAAGATCCAGATTTTCAGATGAAATCAGATTTGAACTGTTTATCATATTTTTTTATGATTGAGATTTTCTTTTATTAAGAACTGTTAATACAGCTTATTTGTGCAACTCATTTGGATATTTATTCCTGGATAATGCCACTAGAGAACTGATTGAGCCGTTTTTTTATTATATACCTAAAGCACTGGCTGAATCGTTATTGCATTAAATGAACTTGAATATTTATCTGGCTAAAGAGTTTTTCTTTTAGTTGGTATTTTCTAAATGTGTATTTTTCCTTAATGATTAAAAAAAATATAGTAACTCATTGCTAGGGGACTCCTTTTGCAAAAAACATTTAGTAGAGATTAATACTTAAAATCCATCCAAACAAATCTATTATGCTTTTTATGGGTAACTTTATAAAATTACAGAAACAAATGTATTTAAGGATCACCTGCGATCCTCTGAATACAGCTGTTAACAATCACACTTCTGTCTAATGAAACATTTTCCAAGTACTTAACGGATTAAATCAATGGGCTTATGTAACACACTAACGGGTAAAAATAAGACTTTAATGATCGGCGGTACGTTGTTGACAAGTTGCAGCTTCATGTGTTTCCCGTCCTGTAAAGAGCAGAGTGACTTATGAGCTTTTGAAACAGACCCCGTCGCTCAAATTGTATCCGTTCTTAACACACTTAGACGTGCTGAGCTGGCGGTTCGAGTGAACTGCTGCTCTGTTCTCTACCTCAGCGGTCCAGTTTTGGTTTCTTGGCCTGTGGTTCAACATCTGGGGGCGGAACACTCACACCAGCGATCTGAAATAAAAACAATGAAAGCTACCGGTTAAGTGAATTAAACTAATTTACACAACATGTTGACCTTTCTCAGCCAAATCTCCCACTGGTGGTTCCACAATAGAACCTGAGTGTGGTCGGTCCTTACCACGGGCTCAATCAGAGACATGCGGATCTTCTGGTGCTGAATATTGGAGGCGTCCAGGCTGATGGTGACCTTCACCTTGTCAAACAAGCGGAAGGTGTGCTGCTCAACCTTCAGAGTGGGACCCTACAGACATTCATGGAAGACGTCTTTAAAGCGCGCCGCCCTCTGATCGGTTCGGTTTAAACAGCGTTGATCTAACGAGCCACGAGAGAAGGACTTCATACCTCTTCGTCAAAAACAAGGGCTGGGCCCGCCTTGTCCTTGGCATCGAAGAACACCGTTCCCTCCAGGCCGAACTTCGGGATGAGCACGATGATTGCGTTCTTCCTCACAAACAGAACAAACCCGTCTTCGTTCAGTATGCCTCTGCTCTTGAAGAACAACTGGAATGAGAACATTTGCGTTAAAAGCGAGACTTGCCGGCGCAGTGCGGTGAGGTCCGTTGGATTCAAATGTTTTGTGAGAAGTGGGCTCGTTTGCCACATTTCCGTATTGGTTTTACTGTTAACTGTGAAATCATACCAGTGTGTCTATCCGTGCGTTTACCTGTGTGTGGAAGGCCACCGATGCCCTCTGTGCATACTGAGACATTTTGTGCCTGTAGTTGAGGTTGTTGGAGAGGGCCGCCTGCTTCTGTTTATCCATCAGGTCCGGGTAGGTGCTGTCTGCCCCGACGGCCACTGCCAGCAGGCGGTGAACGATGATGTCTGCGTACCTGTAGAAAGGAGCAGACGAAGAGGGTGGAGGAGGTGGAGGTTTAGACAGAACAAGGGGGACAACATGGCGTGAGCAGGTTAGTGAGAACCGTGCTGTTGTGGCGTCTTTGTTATCAACAAGGGGCCCAACACAACATATCTAGTCAGAATATCCGTTTTCAGACCTCCTAATAGGTGACGTGAAGTGGGTATAAATGGGTGAAGCAAGGCCGTAGTGCAGGAAATCGCTGTCCATGCCGGAACAGAAGTAGACCGCCTGCATCATGCAGCGAGTGGCCAAGATGCGCAGCAGCGTGTTAAAGTACGGGAAGCCGTCCACTCTGGCCACGTCGAGGGAGTCCGCCAGCGCCTTGGCCGAGTCCGTGTGGATCTCTACGCCCTGCAGGGAGAAGGTAACGGTAAAGTAGGAACAATCAACATTGTTAGATGTGAGGTCATGAAACAGCTTTCCGGTTTCGCCCACAGGAACGGATGGTTAAAAAGTTTCACTGTTATGTCGAAGAAAATGTCAACTTCATTCACTTCTGTTTGAATAAATCAAAACACCTGAAATGTGGGAAGAGATTAAAGGGTTATATATTCATTTAATTCGCTAAAGCTCAGACCAGCGAGAAACTTAAAAAAAAGAAGACATTCTCTACCTTGGACTTTGAAGCTTTCAGCAGGATGTCGTAGTTAGATGGAGGCGGTGCCGGATGCTTCCTCAGCAAAGCACAGTCTGGAAATTCATCAAAAATCTTCTGGGCCACTGAAATATTGGCCAGCAACATGAACTCCTCCACCATAGAGTTGGTCTCCCTAATCGACAAGAGATGGGCTTATATAAAAACACGCAGCCTGACAGGCTGGAGATAAACAAAAAGTTGCTTTTTGAAGTCTCCTACATGAGTTCTTTGGTCTGGAGGTCGATGGGGTCGTGGGTTTCACTGTCGATGTGGAATCGGACCTCTAAGGATGACAGCGTCAGCGCCCTGAAAGCGATCAAATGCAACACAAAACACGCTTCCTGTTGAATACAACCAGTGCTTTGGGTTACTGTTTCAACCCGTCAGTCCATCAGAACAAAGTAATGCAGCTTCTATCCTTCGGCCTCCATCCCTCCTAACACCCAGCCTTTACCCTTTCTTTATCCTCTGCTTCTTGAGGATTTTGGCCAGTTTGTTGAGACCTCGCAGGCTCTTGGTGACATCATCGTTCTTGGTGGTGTCAATCATCATCTGGGCCTCAGCGTACGTCAAAGACGCCTGTAAGACCAGGAAACAACAAAAAAATGCTTTGTTGTAGATTTGATTCACACATGAACAAAGCATTGGGTATATCTTCTGTCATCGTACATCAGGTGTTGGGTGTTGGCACTGTACCTTGGAGTTAATGACACTTTTGGTGAACCGGGTTTTAATAATTTCGGCCTTGTGGTTCATCTCCCAGATACATGAGAAAGCCAACCTGGCAAAACAAATTGTTAAATAAGAGACAAACATTTGAACAGCCGTTTATTTACTGAATTAGTGAAAAGAAATTGCTTAATATAATATCTACTATTGTAGACACTAATAAGTGTTTGCATCTCCTCACCTTTCCACATTGGAGCGTAGAGAACAGAGATTGGAGCTGAGCAGCTCAGGGACCATGTCTATCCTCTGATGGACACAACATTACAATTATTTTAGTTTGTGTCAAAATCTATTGTTCTAAATCAATCAAAACTATTAGTGGTCAAGGTAAGCTTATTGGTTAGCATAAAATACACAAACGCCAGAAAACTGAAATGATACATAAGATTTAATAAACTTTCAATACCAAGTGTGTTTTGCATCTCACCAGGGAATATCACAGGTAAAAAAGGAATAGTAAAAAGAGATGCAAGACATGTATGTGATTTCATGTTGGTGGACTGTGTCGTGGCAAAAGGTGTCAAATAGTTTACTAATAAACAGGTTTCCCAAACAAGAAGGCTTATCTTTGCAGTGACGTTGGCCTTCTGACGTGGTGAAAACACTCGGGTGCAGTTGGTTTTTACTTACCTTGCCACACAAGTAGACAGTGGTGCCACGGTTCGCAGCCTCTATGTCCATAGCGTTGCCAGGTCTGATGAAGTGACTGACATCAGCAATGTGCACGCCCACCTACAAAACAAACAGATGCAATACTTTAGGCCCATGTGAAATAAAAAAAACGCAGTATTCTCTCTACTCTTGTCACGCATGTGTCCAGTTCGAGCACCTCCAGGTTTCCGTTGTCCAGGTCTCTACAGTGCAGGGCGTCGTCTATGTCTGTGCATCCGGGAGGATCCACACTGCACACGGTCAGATGCCTCAGGTCCTCTCTCCTGGCCATTTCCTGTTCCACAAACATCAACATTAATACACGCACACAACGTAAAACGGACGCTACTTCGAATCGCGGGATGATAAATGATTACCAAAACTGTGACTAGAATACTGCTGCCGTCTTTACCTCTGGTGTGATGACCCACGGCATCTTGGGAAGGAAACTGAGCACAGCCTGAGTGAAGGCCTGGTGGGGGACGTCGTGCTCCAGCAGCAGCACCTCCTGCTCGGTTTCCTTGTCCCCCGCATTCCCCAGACTGCGCACAAAGTGGCCCTAACAAAGAAGAAAAGATGGATTTAATCATTTTATTGCGGCTTCAAATGAATGTAGAAACCCTAAAGACAATTCCATTTTCTGTCAAAACTTTGGCAAAAAGAAAGTTGCAACTTACATTGGGATATCTGGAGTGTCTCGGCCAGCCGTCCATGGCCACCATGATCCTGTGGCCCGCCAGTGTGGATGCCTGACGTGTTTCAATGCGGATGCGGGGGATGCGTCGGTCCGCCGGGGTGAAAAGATGTCGGGTAGACTGAGAGAAAAAGAAAAGAAAAGAGAGTTTGTACAGTATACGGCATTTAAAATGTAAAACTGTGTATGGAATCATAGAGCAGTCGAGACTTACCTCTTTGATTTGGGAGGGATTGAGCATCCCGCAGTATGGCCTCCAGTTCCTTTTGATGATCCCCACCACTTTGCCGGTGGGCTTCCTGGCTGATTCAGCTGCCGACATCCTCAACTGCTCGCACACACAGGAACACAAAGACTATTAAGACACTGTACATAAACAAAAGCCACATTGGGATCTTCATTCACTTGCTAGTCTCTTTTTGGGTAGCACAGCACGGTCATTCTTCCCACGCTGCTGTATTACATTCAGACAATAACACCATAAGTAGGCACATGCACCTCCAGCGGGAAGTTGAAGTCCAAAAACAATTCATTTCAGTCCAACTCACTGATTCCGCCTCCTCGTCTTTGTCCTCCTCATTATCGTCCTTTGCCGCGCCTTCGTCCTGCAGCACGATCGAGGACGGCGCCACCCACTGATTGCGGGGCAACAGCTGCACAGCAACCAGATCTTGGTACACGGCTCTGTTGAGGTTCTGAAGACCTTGGATGAGAACCTGTCAGCGAGACGAAGGGACCGAACAAAGCCTTTACAATTTGCATGTGTTCCTATTTTATATTTTAGAGTGAATTAACTCTTTCTCTTAACAGAAAATCTCAAACATTTCCGATAAATATACACAGACACACACATACCTCTGTGCTGTCTTCCCCCTCTCCCTGAACAAAGACGCTGGCCTCCAGATAGTTGTCCCTGCTGGCCCTGAAGGTGCCCTGGAGGAAAGTGCCACTCTTAATTCCTGCCTGGATCCTTGAGAGGGGGAGGTGCTCCGGGAAAATCATCTTACTGCTTGTGATATCATTCTGAGAAATAAATAAATGAAAGGATCAAAAAAAGCACAAAGAAGAGGCGGAGGGGAAAACAGGAGATGTACAGATACAAATCACGCACAGCGAAATAGTTTTCATTTCTATGCGTACACATTACAGGGAGTTCACCTTGTCATCATTGGACAAAGCCAGACAATCCACAAGCTCAGGGTTCGCTATCAGGCTCTTGATGTACTCTTCACCTACAAGAGAATACACACCTGTGACGATGCTAGTTTACGGTAGGAAAAAATGAGGACGCCCGCTTGCTGAACAGCGCTTACATCTGTACACCAGCAGGCCGCTCTCCTCGGCCTTCCGTTTGTTCCCTTGGTCGTTGGTGAGGAGGACCACCTTGGGTCCGTCGGCCTCGGCCCGGCTCTTCTCCAGGTGCTGGCTGTACCATTTTGCGGCGACGCGGATTGCGCGGTCGTTGCGGTCATTGGCGCTTTCTCCGGGTTCGCGCTCAATGAATGTCTCTCTGGGAGAATAGAAATCATGGGGGAGGAATGTGGAAGAATGAACAAAAAAAAAAGACTAAATCTTCTGCCCCACTTTTTGTTTTTAGTTCTAGGGTTTTAATAAAGAGGTCATAGTGTGAGTGGGGAATACGCAGTTAATTAATGTGCATCTGCACAATGCACTTAGTCCCTGATCTCTTTTTCTCACTTGTGGTGTTCGTTGGTGAAGGTGTAGAAGTGCTTCTCTTTCTCGTGTATGATGTCCTTCAGGCGTTTGTAGACCGGTGCGCTGCGATGGCGAACCTCCTGCAGCACAGTCTGAAGGATGATCACGTTACAGATCACAGGGTTCTCCAACACGTCAATCTGCAGGACAAGAGGAGTAAAGAGTCTTAGAATCTGTGGCGAATGATGGAGTGAATACAAAAAGTGATATAGCTGTAGCTGCACATTCTGGCAGCATGGTCATATAGCTAAAGACACACAAAGAAGATTATACATATGTATTAATGTATATGAAGCAAAATAACCATAAGTTGAGACAATAAAGCTTGGATCATCACAACACATTGGAGACACCAACTTAAATGTATAGAGCACATGTATGAAAGACGGAGACGCTTTTTGTACCTGGTGAAGCACAACATTAGTGTCGGGAATCACGTAATGTAGATAAGAGCACAGGTTGCTCTCGATGAACGGGTCCCTCTGCAGCACCGCGCACTCATGTTTGCACTCAGTGCAGATGTCGCTTCCGCACCAAATATCATCTCTCAGGTAATGCTCCCGCACTATCTTCATCACCCCTCCTGCCCGGGTCTTCTTCACGAACGTTTTGGATTTCAACATGATGACAATTAAATCCTTAAGAGATTTAATTCCGATGTTTCTCTCCTACCATTAGGTGACCAGCAGGGAGTTAGCTGCCCATGTGTAAACTAACGTAAAATCGGTGGGCCGACAAAACTTTTCCGGAGTTTTGACAAACGCGGGTTTTAGATGGCGATGTCAATCTTGTCCGTCAATATCGATTTATAAACCATGTAGGACAATATGACACAATCTGTGCCTTGAGATATACGGTGATTCTACGGTTAAAACATAAAACAATAACAAAACTGTTGCTCGACACTAGTTTTGGTTGACCATCTAACGGTTGTTGAACGAAAACAAAGTAGAAGAAGGCGTAAGACGTACTACTTATCCGAGCTCACAGCGCCCCCTTGATTTAGGAGGAGACACTGCACGCTCTGCGCGACGTAAAAAAGGACACGGGCGGGTGCTCGTTGTATCGGAGGTCCGCCGCCGTTGACGTCGCTGTAGTTCGCGTCACTGGTTCACCGTCGTAGTCGAGCCGGGGATGGCGGTAAGCAGGCGGCTCGGAGCGGGACCGTTTAAAATATAAACACCGCACTCTTGTCAGCTCCGGTGTGTCACTTTAACTCTTGGTTGTACACACGTTTGTAATATTTGCTTATGGACAGTTAGCTGTTTTGAAAACAAACAAACAAACAAACAAACAAACGAGCGGACCAAAACAACCAAAAATGCCTCCGAAGAAGCAACAGCTGAGGCCGACGGCGGCCAACGTCTCCAGCTCCCTGGACCTGGAGTCGGAAGACGTCAGCCTGGAAACCACCGTGCCCACCACGGAGGACGTCTCCTCGTCCGACGAGCAGCGGGACGGATCCCACAAGGTGACCCGCCAGCTGATCGAGAGGAAGGAGCTGCTGCACAACGTCCAGCTGCTGAAGATCGAGCTTTCTCAGAAAACCCTGATCATAGACAACATGAAGGCCGACAACATGTCCAAGGTAGGAGGACGGGGTGGGGGGGAAGTCGGAGCTGCCATTTGCAAAATTGGCCTTTGTTGTAATAGTGGCCTTGTGGTTGTTTCCATGAACGCTTCAGGTCGAGGAGCTGGAGGAGATGCTCAACGATGCTCTGCATCAGAAACAAGTCCTGGCCCTGAGACTGGACAGCCAGCTGAAACTCACTCAAGAGGAGACCAGGTGAGTGAATTTTGAGGGCGCCGATGGACAGGGACAATCTTATCTCAATAGATTTACTCTGATATAAACCTCTTGGTTACAGTGAGCAGACAAACCTGTTCGTTTTGCTTTCGACTATTTCATACAATCGTACAGTAAGGCGGTATCTTGGCCGAGACACGACCGCCTAACCTTATTGCCTCCCAATTAATTCAACTAAGATCGCACACACGCCGAGACGGAAATGTGTGTGTGTGTGTGTGTGTGTGTGTGTGTGTGTGTGTGTGTGTGTGTGTGAGAGGGAACTGTGACCTTGATCTAACCGAATTAGAATTGAAGAGTATGAAGAAAATGTGTGAAATATGGAAAACTCAATCAGTGATGCGTTTGTTTGGAGCAAGAAAAGTGCCTCAGCAGGAAGAAAAAAACCCCACCTGTGTCTTAGCCGATCCCACTGATGATCTGGTAATCACAAATGTGTAAAGTGTGCTAACGAAGGGTGCCGTCGCCAGGAAGCAGCAGGCTCTGCGTAAGCAGGAGATGGAGGCCATCCTGCTCCGGCAGCAGCAGCTGGAGGAGACCAACCGGCAGCTGTGCGAGAAGGCCGGGGAGCTGCGGCGGTCTCTCAGGGATCTGGACATCTCTCGGGACCGATACCAGGAGCTCCGTGACCTCCCCGACGACCAGATCTCCATACAGGAATACGTCGCGGTAAGCAGCGTCTTGGCGCAGCCTTAACGGACCGGACGCGTTGATTTAGAGCGCGCGGTGAAGCTGACGCTGTCCTTGCCCGATTTTAGGTGCGTTTCTACGAGGCGGTGACCCCTCTGCGGGCCCAGCTGGCTGAGCTCAGCGCGAAGAGAGACGGCTTGACTGATGACGCGAATACGCACAGAACCCAGATGAAGGCTCTGATGAAGGTACGGCACACCGACACCGGATCGCACTACACCTCCCTGTTGGATTCTTTCTCATCTTTCAGTACCAAGTTCACTTGTTTTGAAGTGAATTTGGCATGTTTTATTGTATATTGTCTGACAATTTTCCGTCTATTTCCATTTCTCCTTGTATATAATTTAAAGTCACAGTAAACAAAACCGCTAACTTGCTGATCAACATGGCACGGCCTTTTGTGGCCTTTTTTTTGGTGTACAAATAGAAGTCCGTAATGTCAATGAGCTGCATTATTTGCATTGTGTAAAGACTAAAGAACAAGTACACGATGACTCCCTCAGGCGTTGAGTCACACATTTAAAATTCAGAAAGGTTGACGAGTTTCAAATACCTTTTAACCTAAATGTGAGGACAAGGCCCCAATCACCCTGTCAGCATGAATCACGTGTCGTTGAGCTTATGGCGGAACATGCTGGAGGCAGGGAAAGAATTCAGCACATTTAAACCCGCCTTAACCTTCTGGGTGCCTCGGGCTGCTGTGGAGAACCTGCGGAGCAACTTGAGGGTTTGTTGTCTCGCTCAAGGGCACTTTGGCCAATAAAGGACCCCCCGCTCTACCCTCTGAGAACTACCAATCCCCATTAAATGAACATCGCTCGAATGCCACAGAGTATCCAGATATTGTTACTCTTATATTGTCCTTTGTTGTTGCTCTTATATTGTCCTATCTTTGTTGTCACACTTTCTTTTTTACGCTTGGTCGCATCCAGCAGGTAAGTTACCCGTGAGCTCAAGAGGACCATAACATTTTTTTTTTAAAAAGAACCATGATGCTTGTGGACATTTTCAGGAGCTATAATCCTGCTTATTGCGTTGTGTTACTAAATGTTGTGAACACGCCACGTCGACACGGTTGTCTTTTGTACCCACAGAGCTACGAGGAAGAGCGGCGGCTCCCGTACTGAGCTGGAGTTGAGGAGCCAGAGACTTACACTAGAACTGGCCGACACCAAACAGCAGATCCAAGAAGGAGACTATCGCCGTGACAACTACCCTGCCATCAAACGGTGTGTGTGTTTGACATGACAAGAGGAGTAACTTCTCTGTAGACCTCGTCTGATGAGGAGGGGTTAGATGTTAACATTTCACGCCGTGCTTTATAGTGAGCGGGACAACTTTGAGGCCGACCTAAAAGAATTAAAGAGACGATTTGAGACTCTAGACTTGACTCACACAGCAGTGACCAGAGAAAGGAACGCACACAGCAAAGAGGTACTTCACACACCCATCCCACCACTGAACAATTGGTCTTCATACGTCTCACTGGTCCCTTTTTTGAGGGTGCTTTGTTCCGTCAAAATCTACCTTTGTCCTCCAGGTGGCGACGTTGCAGCAGTCAGTGACGCTCCTGCAGAAGGACAAGGAGTATCTGCACAGACAGAACATGGAGCTCAGTGTCCGCTGTGCTCACGGAGAAGATCGCCTGGAGAGGCTGCAGGTTCACACAGTCCATCAGCTGGGAGGCTCATGGAATACAGCAGATATTCAATAAAAGGACAGAGTCTAACGTGCTGCCACTTCTTCTTCATTCTTACTAGGTGCAATTAGAGGACACTAAGAAGGCGAGGGAGGACGCCTATGAAAAATATGTGGCATCCAGGTTAGGGTCTGCTGTTTTTGTATATTCTAGTGTTTTTAAAATGCGTCCAGTTGCTTTATTTAATTTACTACGTATTTCTTTTTACAGAGACCGCTACAAGTCTGAGTACGAGACCAAGTTGAGGGAGGAGCTGGAGAACATCAGGCTGAAAACCAGTCAGGAGATAGACAATCTGCAGAGAACTTCCAGGGAGATGTATGAGAGGGAGAACAGGTAGCCGTCCTTTTATACAAGAAACGGCATATATATGTTGGTAAAAACTATGAAAAATATCATGGACGTTAGACTAGAAGTTGCACATTTTCCTAAACATCATCTAAGCAAAGACAGGAGTAAATGTAGTTCGTTACGTTACTGCAGGAAGCTGTGTCTTTGTTGTTATTTATAAATGGGATCAATGTCACGCTGCGAAGTCACCAACTTACCCAAATACTTAATGAGAGGAAGATCAATGAGCACATCTACTAAAATGAAATGCCAACATAACTTTAAAAGAGTGAAATGCTCTGCGACGTGACATTGTACTTGTTTGGGTTGCCGACCAGAAACTTGCGTGAGGCCAGAGACAATGCCGTGCTGGAGAAGGACCGAGCGGTGGCTTCTGACAGAGACACGCAGTCCAGATACGACCAGCTGCTGGAACAGTGAGTTCTACAGTCATCATCTTGGGTTAATATGTATTGACCGAAAGGTACATCTAGTTTATTTTTCTCCTGTTTTTCTTTTATGACTGTTGTCATTTATTGTACAAATAATACTGAACCACTAGAAAGTGAAAGGTCGTTTGACATTTTTGTTAACCCTTTAACGTTGTCAAAGTGTGTAAACAAGGAAATCACATTGAATCTGTTTCATGACCATCTCACAATCCCCTCACGGAACCCGTTCTGCTTCTCTGTATTCCCCATTTCTCAAATCCTCAGCAGCTACCTGCAGACTCGGTTGCACCTCACCTCTTTTAGGCACTCTGGTGAATGAGTAACTTAATACGAGATGTTGTCCTTTTTAGAAGTTAAAACGGTATAACTGCCGTTTTGTGTTCACTGCCCCAGTGCAGTATCAGGGTGGGAACTTCACCTCAGGGCAACTGTTAAACTGACAAGTTGGTAAAAAAAAAAAGAATTAAGCGCAATGTGTCAATTTGAAATATGGCGACGTAGCATCCCTTCCTCCTCCTTGTCGAGTCGGCGGCCTCTAGCGTGATCCATAAAGAGGGCGTCTTGCTTTGCTCATGCGATGAGCCTCCTTTCGGCTGTAATTCCTCCCTAGTTTCCTCCTCGCTGTGAGCTTGTGGTCGCCGTGACGCGACGACCAGCGAGTGTTGTAACTTGCGGCGTGCGTGGGGGTCACCCGTTCCCCCTAAAGCGATCCTTTGAGGCCTTTCGGGCCATCTGGTTGAGCCGTTTCATCCATTGTACGGTCATTGTAACCCTGGCGGCATCATTTTATTGCGTGCGATTGATATATTTTGCCGCACCAAAAAACAATTTGCAGTCCTCCCTCGGTTGATACGCCAATAAAGAGGTGACAAAGGGGGCTTCTTTTCCCTCTCTCCCCCCCCCCCCCCCCCGCCACCCTCCCTGGTGATTTGTATCCGAGTTGGGTGACCATATCTCGGCCCCCCCCGGCAAACAATGGCCATTCCGGTGTAGCCTCAAAAGATGCCTCACGGTCACGTCCTTGTAGGAAGTTTCAAATCTTGCCTGGAAATTGCAACAGATAATCTGGGGCGTGCACACACACACACACACAGTATCAGAAGTTGTTTCAGTCGGCCTCGTCAACACTTTATTCCTTTCCACTTTATTTATTCCGTTTCTGCTGCATACATCACATTTCCCTCCTGTGAATAAGCCACGTTTTTGGAAATGATGTGTCAGTAGAATCATATTTTAACGTGTTTCAGTACTACGCAGCATTTGTTAATTTGACCTTTTAACGGTATCCGCACGCAGCGAGGCACGCACGTACACAGCAGCAGTGTCTCTTTCCTCGGTTACTACAACATACCAGTCATTTCTCTAGATCCAAGCCACCAGCTGTTGGTCTTTCTATATACACACACGGTTCACTCTCCCTTCCCCGCTCCCGCCCCCGCTCCCGCCCCCCCCCCCCCCCCCCATCCCACCCCTGCGGCTGCGATCACATTCCCCCTCTGCGTCACATCGCAAGCCAGCCACGACAGATGCGATCCTCAAGCCCTTAACCCATAACCCCCCAGGCATGCCCCTATTTTTGGGGGCAACGATATGAGGCGGACGAGCTCGAAATGGCGTCAGATGGTTTGTGGCACGGGGGGCCGGCTCGAGTCTCGGCCCTCTGCCACTGAACACCGTCCAACGGGCGAGTTACGGCCAACAACATGTCCATAACAAAGGAAAAAGTATTCAGAGCGTTTGTTGCTTTTTCTCCCCCCCGGACTTCTACGAAATTGCCACGGAGAGCCCCGCCCCCAAGTCAGGTGTTCTGCAGCTGTAAATGTCGTTTCATTTGAAATCCCTCGCTTTTTTCTCTCAAAATGCTTTGTCCTTGGCCGCCAATAAATAAAAAGAAAGGCCCATGTCGACCACGTGTACATGTCTGTCACCTTGGGCGCTCAGCGCGGAGGATGAAATCCCATCAGGACAGCTGTAATCGAGAGTTCTTAATATTATTCTACCAACCTCCGGGGTTTAATGGATTCGCTGCCGGAAAGCGGCCTGCGCAAGACGACTGGGCTCTCTGTTAGGAGAACTATTGTATTCTATGTGGGGGGTGGAATCAACAAATGTTGGTCTTCTCAATGAAGGACTTCTGACTATGACATCCCAAAGATTGATGGATATTTTATTTCCCCCGAAGGCGAGGTGCTTCTAAGCGACTGTTCTCTTTCCCACCACCAAGAAATCACAAACGCCACAATTCTCTGTATCTCTTTTCTAATTACTGAGCAGCAACTGAGAAGTTGAAACCGGTTTTTCCTCTCGCTGTCAACTACAAACATTGCCAGGAGGGCCGTTAGGAAACACTCGCTTAAGTCTTGTGACTTGTTCGGCACCACAAAAAAAAAATTTGGCCGTGAAATCCCAACGTCGTCTCTTCCTTGCCGGTCTGCACCGAAACTACTGCTTTGTTTTAACGCACCCGCTCCCATCCGCACACGACCCCCCCCCGACGGTCCGAGATCCACCCGCGTGTCTCCGTCCCCGCAGGTTCCGTCAGCTCCAGCTGGGCGCCGACAGCCGCGTGTCGGAGCTGTCCAATCGGGCCAAGCTGCACTCCTTCGAGGCGGAGCGGGCTCAGATAGTAAAGGATGTGACGGCCAAGACGGCTGCCCCAGTCCTATGTGGAGTGTGAGAACCAGCAGAGGAAACTGGAGTTAGTGTGAACGTCAGCCCCCGCCACCCCGCCCCTCCCAAGCCCCCCAACGCCTCGTCGTTCGTTCATAATCACACGTTTGTAATTTATACCCATTTATAATAGTATATGTAAGCGGTTAATTGAGTGCAGCTTGCCCTCGACGTTTGATGCACTTAGCGCAGGTCCACCTCTTCGCCTGTGTTTAACCCCGTCTGGGGGGGGGCGGGGTCGAGGGGGGGCAGAAGGACCAGCAACATGAGACGGCGCTTTGCACATAATAACGTAGGGAAGGTGCAGGTCACAGATATTTTCTCCTAGTGAATAAAGAGCCGGTTTAGCTTCTGGCTTCAGTGTTTGTTGTTGCTTTTTGATTTTGTTCTGCATAATCGTGAGGTTTGGAAATAGTCGTCCTTTCATTTCTTTAAATTCTCTCTCATTTTGTTTACGCTTGTAAAAGGCAACGGTAAAGGTTAGTATCATGTTTCACATTTACCACGGTGGCAACTCTGCAAGCCAGAACAGGGAGTTTCAGCCTGAGAAACTGTGTTACATAAAACCCAACAAAACAATGTAACAACATTGGGGCCTCGCTTTGCAAGTGCAAAAATGGTTAAAAGTAAAAAGATTGGCATTGCAGAATATAATGAAAATAATATTCCTCTTCTATAATTATTTACACATACAAAATGTACAGGGTTTTTTTCCCCAATTTGAAAAAGCCTTTTGTTTTGTATTGTCCCGCCGCGGGCTGATTGACTCCCTATCTCCCCTAACTCCTCTCCCCCTCAGCTCCTCACCCAGGAGTTCTACCGACTGCAGACGTCATCGGAGAAGCGCCTGGCGGAGCTGCAAGCTCAGAACGCCGAGCAGGCGTCTCGCCTGGAGACGTACGAAAAGCTCGAGCAGGAGCTGGACCAAGTCACCATGCAGGCCGCCGAAAGTGAGACTCGGATTAAGAAGTAGTGTGAAGTAATGGAAATACTGGAAGAGAAGTTTAGGAGAAAAAGAAGATGTTGTGTGACACAATGAGATTTTACTACCAGCCTGTGTGGTAGTTTTATAAGATTAAACCACCACGCGGGCTGGTAGTTTTTACTTTGTTGTTATCAGAACGGTCCAGGAGATTATTTGTGTTTCTGTGTGCTGCCAGTTGAGAACGAAGAGGAGGCCGAGAGAGTGCTGTTCTCCTACGGCTACGGAGCCAACGTTCCCACCACGGCTAAGAGGCGACTGAAACAGAGGTACAGCGCGCAGTACAGGAGCACACATAATAATATAGTATTATAATAAGAGATGGAACTAAATGAACACTGGAAGTTTGCTCTCTGACCTGTGTTTGCTTCTTCCTCAATATACTGTGTGTGTCTATATAATAGAATATTATATATATAATATATATAGAATTGAATAATTTGATGTGTGCAGAGGGGGGGGTCCAAGCAAGGCCACCGCCAGTAGGCTGTTAGAACACGGAGAAGCTCTCCGGTCTGATTTGTGATCCTGAGTTGGTCTACAGTTTTGTTTGTTTCTAGATCCAACTAAATACAATTGCATTTTACTTCACGTGAATGTGACGCATGTATGTTCGCAGCCAAAAGCTCAAACTGATCCCAAACATTTGCGGTTGCAATAAGCTGCAGCATAAACGCTGCATTTATGCATGCATACATTTTGAATGTCTGCGACTGTTTGTGTTGTGTGTTTGTGCGTCGTGCAGCGTTCACTTGGCGCGCAGGGTGCTGCAGCTCGAGAGGCAGAACACGTCTCTGACGAGAGAGCTGGAGAGACTCAAGTCCCAGACGGGACACGTATCCGAAGAGGTAAACGCCCCCCTAGACGTTCGCCTGCCAGGGGGCCGTTATTAACGGGCCATTTAGGTTCCATTTAAAGTCTAGAAGGAACAAGTGTGAACAAACGAACCACTCCAAGCAATGCAAGTCGGTGCCGTGCGACGCTGACTGACCGTCACAGAGCTCCTGCAAAGCCTCCTGATTCATTTCAGACCTGACGACACGACCTCGCCGCTGTCACACAGCCCTCTTTCATCCGCCACCATTTACCTCCTCAATGCAGCGCAGCGCTCGCTCAAAGACCACACAAAAGAAGCTGGTGAGGCGGTGGGTCCCCTCGGGATTCCCCCAATGAGAGCGCCCTCATCCGTGCACACGTCACACTGTCCCCGCTCTTCACCCCTCTCCCCCCCCCCCCCCACAACGAACGACCCAGCGGGCCAAGCCTTGCTGCTTTTGAGTGGCGTAGTATGCGCTCGTGTGTACAGTGCGGAGACTTTACCCTTGGGTGTGTGTGTGTGTGTGTATTTACTCCGTGCGTGACTGCGTTTGTACCAAATTTGTCTCCAGTCTACTTCTCATGTCTATAAAAAAAAAAAAAAGCAACGCAAAGAAATTAAGTAATTATCCAGGAACGGTTTTATTCACAAGAGCAGCAGCTCGGTCAACCGATGCGCTCGCCATTATTCTCACTCGTTATTATCTTAATAGGAGAGACTTTACGAGACAGACTAGAGAGGCCAGACCGGTTTGAGACTAAATAAGCCAGCCTTTCAGCTTTTCAGGTGTGACCGACTCTTGTCTTCAATGCCTCGCAAAGCACCGAGCGTGAAAGAAAAGGGTGAAAAATTAGACTATTTATTCACTAAGAAGGGTGTTCCCCGACTTAACCGCCCACACAGTCGCCCTGCCCTCCCACCCAGTTCCACTCACTACTTGCTGGCTGTAAAAGTGGCTTAATGTGTAACACCCTGACTTTATCTTTTGCCTGATACTCGCTGGGTAATGTCTCCGCGCTCATGGGACATTCACACTCGTATATGAAAGATTGTCAGAAAACACTGAAAAGGTGCTTTTCTGACAGTGGTTTCGATAAGAGAAAACCCTTAATTGCTCCCCGGGCAAAAATGTAAAAATCCATGGGTTAAAAATGCTATGCAAGTTGCTTTGGATAAAAGCGTCAGCTAAATGACCTGTAATAAATGAGGTTAACGAGGTTACGAACATTCCCCCGGATCTCAAGTTTATGGCTCCATCTAACTGCTTTTCATAAAAAGGAAACTAATTAGTTTATTTCTTCATTTAAAACTCTAATTTATGGGCATTTAAGTACTTTCTTATCAGAGATAAGGAAGTCTTGCATTTTACAATATTACCCACATGTAAAGTCAGGCTGGGCGATAAATCTACAACCCCAATAAATGTAATTTCTTATCTCACTAACAATATTCATTGTGATGTAGCATGTTTTCAGCTAAATCAATTAACAGTCTGACGGTAAAGTCTAATTATGTTTTCTCCGTTGTGAATTTAACACATACTAAAGTGTACAGAGAGATGAGGTTTAGTCTGATTGAACACATCAGTATGTGCTTAATTCATGCATTCAAGTATCGTCCAGCCTTAGAATGAAATCATTTCGATATTCCTGTTACCACCAAGGCAGTTTTCGTATCGTGTTGACTCATCATGCGTGACTCTCCACAGTTTTGGACACGTGCAAACCACCAAGTCTTTTTTTTAATTTTTTTTTTTGTACACCTCCGTCTCAGGTGTATTATTAAGTCGGGGTTGAAATAACTCAAAGGAAAAAAAGAACATTGACTGGGCGAAGTCATTTTTATTACGATTGCTCAATTGTGTGTGTGTGTGTGTGTGTGTGTGTGTGGGTGTGCACGTGTGCGCGCTGTTCCTCAGTTGTTGGGCTGCCAACCAGCTGTTGCAGCAGGCACAGCAGCTCTATGGCTACCTGATCGAGACCGTGAGACAAAAGGACACGCAGATCACCTCGCTGAAGGAGCGGCCTCGCCTCCCTCGAGGACGATGTCAGGTACACGCGCAGAACATTCGTTTACAAAGCCGAACACGTCCCTCTAAACAAGGAAGGAACTGAACACGTTTAGAACCAAACACACACAATACCTTTTTATAAGTGAAAGCAATCAAGTCGTGTTCCTCGTCTCCTTGTTTAATTTTTTATATATTGTGATTCTCTCATCGCGGCCGCTATCCGTCCCTCCCCACCCTGGGGCGGCTGTGTTTTTGAGCCTGTCTCCCTTTTGTCTGCACGTATACCTGTCACACCTAGCTCATTACGTCCAAGTGCGGCGCCGCACGCGTGCACGACTTCGGCTCTGAGCAAGAAGTGAGTTTTTGCCATCCACGCGCTACAGCTTCACGGCCCTAACCTAGTTCCCTCCCGCCCCTCCTCCTGTAGTTTAACCTGAGAAATATGCAAACCGATGGACTTTTTCAGGCCGACGGGTTTTCTCTTGCTGCGCTCACCCGAGGCGAGCGTCAGAGCGCAAAAAATAAATCCCTTTTAAAATCCCCAGAAGCTTCTTGAACACTCCCAATCTGACAGATGCATTGAAGTCTTCCTGTGGCGACGCCGTGTTATGTGTGCAATTGCTCACACACTCTCACTTCATGTTCCGCAGTCTGTGCGTCTCAAGGATTAATGTTTTCACTTAGTTTAGTGACATCATAGAAACGGACAACGGCGGTCAGTAAGTGAGACTGTCGAGTTCGTCAATCCTCGGTAAACGCTGGTGAAGCCACCGAGCTGCTGTTTAAAAATTTGCAAGATCATTTGTTTTAAAGCAGCACCGCCACAAGCCCCTGCATGTACGTGTCACAGCCCCAGGAAAAAAAACTAACTTTGACAGGACTGACTTTTTTTCTCACAAGATGGAATCCTCACAAACAATTTATTAATACGTACACATCTTTTAGAAAATATTTGATTGGGTGGTTTTATATCCCCTGGATTTATACTCCCAATACAGGTAAACCAAACTGCCCCCATTCAGACTGATGGGTTTATAGCGCTGCATTTAAAGAAAATGAAATGAAAATATACAGTTTACACACAAATGGGCCACATTCAGATTTTAAATATACCTGGTCCCGTTTTGGCCTTTTTCTGACCCAACCCTCGCGCCACAATACAACTAATTCTTAAAAAAAAGAACGATAAATTAGTGATTCACACAACCTTGTAAGCAATTACAATATTGAATTCACTCCTCCCCAATAAGTTCAGTGATATTTTTCTATTAACCCAAGAGCTGTTCTCTCTGCCTGTTTTTGGGTGCAACCCCAGTTCTCTGAGGAAAGAACGGACCGCCCTGCAACAGGTGAAAAACAACATGGCCGCCGACCTGGAGCGACTCCTCAACCACCGAGAGGTACACGCGATGCTTTGTGATGTTTTATGTAGTTTGAGCATTTTGGGCTGGTTCAGAGTGGAAACAGGAAATTCCAGTAAAGTTCCAGTTAGAAAAAAAGTGTTTATGAGTTTGAAAAGGTCAGTGTTGGTGCTGTGACTAATTGTCACCTGTTCTGTGGAAAAACATTCTTCTCTCCTTCTCACACTGTAGCAAAATATAAAAGGTAGTTTTTTATCATTTATAATTTTGGTAATGGCTCAAGAATCAATAAGCTAACAATGACAATTCCATGCAGGTTGGACAGTGATAACATTTCAACTCGACTGGTAGGCAGAAGGGTTCTAGTTATGACCGCAACTAAAGATTATTTACATCATTGGTTCCTCCTTCTAGTCAGTTCAAGACAATTTAATCGGTAATCATTTTTTTTTTAATGAAGCGGTTATCAAAACGATTGCCGATCGTATTTAACTGATTGAGTGGTTCCAACACGGGTTCCTACACTTTTCCACGCCACTTATAGATTACATAATAATGAACGACCAAAAAACGCCCCACTCTCCTCCGGTTGTGGTGTGAAATCAATCAGTTTCACTCACTTTGAGAACCAACCAAACTAATCGATAAATCAACCAACCAATGTGTTGCAACTAGTGTTGCAACGCATCCTTCGGGATCGCGTGGTCGTGCGTGGCCGTGCGCGTGGGTCCCTCCAGCCAAGCCGTTTGCTGTTCGGAGTATGTGTCTCTGTCATAGACAGCTGTTCCTCGGCTCGTCTGTTTTGGAATGCCACAAGTGTGCGTGTGTGCTCGTGCGTGTGCGCTGGTGCGTGTGCATGTGTGACATCCCGGGGCTCATGTCCTCAAGGGTGATAAATAGACCCGTGAAAAGTCCCCCTCTACCCCCCTCCCCCCCCCCCCCCCCCCCCCAAAACCTGAATGAAAGCCTCCAAAGGAAAAAAAAGTTTCCTGTATCTCATTGGAAACAACTTCTGTTGCCCCATCAGTTGGCCTTTCACACCGCGGCCGAGCTCTGTTGGTCAAATGCACGAGTGACAGGTGAACGATTCGCGCCGGGATTGAGCCTTCTGTTTGTGTCCATCTCTGTCCTCAGGCTGCAAGAAAGTCTACACCAAGTCGTCCCACCTGAAAGCCCACCTCAGGACTCACACGGGTAAGACGTTCCTCCAATCAATGGAGCTTTTTAAATTGGGACTCGTCAATAATTTTAAAAATAATTTTAAAAAATTTAAAAAAAGAAGCCGCTGCCCACATGGCTGGTATTTTGGTATCTGCACTGGCACCGTGTTGCTGGGCAGAGTGTTGTGTTCCTGGCATGTGCGTGTAAATGTATCCTACCCCATTCCCATCCTCTGCCCAATATACTATTCCATCAAAGCAGGTGGAAGTGACACACTTCTGCCAGGGGACGACTCTCGGACTACGTGGTCAGCACTGGACGGACGCTGGCGTTTCTCTTAAGTGTTCGGATGCTTTAAAAGCTCCAATACGCTTCGCCACTATAAATAAATAAATCGTGTGTGTGTGTGTGCAGATACAAAAATATCTCCCCAATCGCTCCGCTTCTAATCGTCGTTTGCACCTCGGTGTCCGTTCTCCTCCTTCTTTAGTTTAGTCGTCCTCTTAATCGGTGTCCCTCTTTTTCACATTTCGATCTGAGCTATTTAGTTTTCGATGAGCAAAGGCAACAAACAAGCGCTTAGGTGTTGGCCCCCGCCTCTCTGCAGCTAACAAAACAAAGCTTCTGTTGATATCTACGCATTCCTCACTCATCTGCACGCACGGCAAACTCGTCCGTTCCCTTTACCAATGGGAACTGTTCGTACAGAACATGGTTGCGTGCCTCGCATTTCACTTTTGGGAACATGACACGCCAATTAGATGCGGCGTCATTCATGCTCCAGGCTGTTTGTGGTTATCGCGGATATTGTAGACCGCGAGGCGAGGACGCATGAAGAGGCAGTGTTTCCCCCTAGGTTTACAACTTCAGGGGGGGGTAGTAGACAGGCCTATTCAAATTAAACCTATTTATATATATACATATATATGGGGGGGTGTTATAATGGTGGGGGAAACGCTGAGCGGGATGCAGCAGCCACTTTCTCACCCTCGCTCTCATTCATAGTCATCGTCTTTTCTGCCGTGTGCCAAGCTCCCATCTTCACCCCCCCATTTCTATCTTTGTCTGTTACTCGTTGTACTTCTTATTTAGCTGCTTGAATGCACACACACACACACACACACACACACACACACACACACACCACACACACACCTGTCAGTAATCCGTATGAGATGATGCCTAATGCATTCGGGTGCCTGTGGGAGTTCCCACTCTAATCTCCATCAACATCCATTACCCTGATTGTTTGTGTGTCTGTGTGTGCAGGAGTGCGTGTGTGTTTTCGCTAGCGTAAAATCTGAACATCACTCCCAGTTCCCTTCGCTCTATTTTCCTTCCTTTTCGTTGTGTCTCCTACTTGTGCTCAGTTTCAGGTTGTGTTGTTGTAACCACATTGTGGTTCATTTCGTGACAGGCGCTTACAGTTGTTGTTGTTGTTGTTGTTGTTGTTGTTGTAGCGACGCTGCGTTAGTTGCTGTGCTTGTTTAAAGGGTTGCTTCAGACCGATGAGGAGAAAGCACGTGTTTTCTGTAATGTATCCAGCAGCAGGCAGTTTTAGTTTGTCCAGGTTCTGAGACGCATCCTTTAGACAATCGCTTCTGCTTCCTTGTCATAGAGGTGAATTGAATCATATCCATGCTGCAAAGAGCTTTCCACTGTTGTTTTTTTCTCCTTTTCTTTTTTAAATGGAGACGTGGACTATCTGGAGTTATGGAGCATGTTTCTGGAATGACACAGTTGTTGAATTCTTATTTGGTATTTGCCCCAGAATTACCAATAGCAGACACATACCCCGACGTGTTTTTAATCAAATAAGTTAATAGACAAACGGAGGAAGAAATATCCAAAAGCAGATATTTCCATTTGAGTCCAATGTAATTTGCTTGTAAAGAGCTGTGGCTCCATCGTAAGGTGCTCTTTGATCAACGAAATGAAAAACGTGTTGACTTCAGTAGGAGCTTGTCTCACCTATTCTTTCAAAACGCACCTAAAGAAACAAGGATTAAAAGTGGGCCGATTTGGCCGAGCAAGAATAACGTCCCTGGCCATATTTCATAAAAATCCAGAAATCCCAGCAAGCTAAACACATAAAGAAAATGCGTTGTCAAGACTTGTCTTGGAGGTGTAATCTGCTCTTGTTGTCTAATTGTTTTAGTGTCACAGTAAATTCCATTTGCCTTTGTTATTTTTTGGGCGGCGGCGCAAATGTGACGGAAGAATATCTCGGAACCTGGACCGATGATCTGCATGGGTTGACACCACGAATCCTCTGCGCTCACCAACGGGGCCGCTGAGCGTGTGCACGCGGGGGGGAGAGGGGGGAGGGGGGGGGGGGCTTAAAAGAAACCGGTCACACAAGTTGTTCACAAAGTGCCTCCGGAGCCGCGGCTGCACACCATCAGAATGACGGAGCTTCAGAGAGGCCGGCGATACTCCCCGGCACGGAGAAATGTCGGTGCGACAGGCGAGCCGGCCGTGGGAAACTCCGCGTTGCCGGATGATCTGACAGTTACATGACTGTATATGTTTGTTTTTTTTGAAAACTGAATTTTCTGTAGAGCCTGTTTTGCCGGTACCTCCACCCACCCAGTATGACTCATGTCACTCATTGCAACGTCTGCGTCAATAATGATCAATGACACGCTCGGCCTCACTAAATCCCCACTCTCTCTCTCTCTCTCTCTCTCGTCCCGCAGGCGAGAAGCCGTACAGGTGCACGTGGGACAGCTGCGACTGGCGTTTCGCTCGTTCGGACGAGCTGACGCGTCACTTCCGGAAGCACACGGGCGCCAAACCCTTCCAGTGCGCCGTCTGCTCGCGCTCCTTCTCCCGATCCGACCACCTCGCCCTGCACATGAAGAGACACCAGAACTAGCAGCACGCACACACAAAGCACTCACTCCATGTCCCACAGCAGCGATGATACAAGCTGCCCGATGACGCCACAGCCGCTCCTGGTGCTGCTATCCGGGGCTGAAACGGCCCGACGCGCGTGTTGCTCTTAACCCAAAGTGGGACAAATCTGAGGTTGTAGAAAGTCGTAGAAAGATAATGGGCAGATGAAGTCCCGGCCCCCCTAATCTGCATTTATACTTGATATACATTTTCTTTTGGATGAATAGAAGGGAGAAAATGTTAAAACAAAAAGGAAAACAGTAGCTTAAAAAATGTGTCTCCAGTGCAATTGGACTCTGCAAAAAAAAAAAAACTGCAAACCCGTAAGTCCCTCTAACATAGAACTGGCTTTGTTTTAGTATATTTTTCTTATAAAGGAGAAGCTTTTGTTTGCAAAACTAGTCAAGCCAAATCTTTGTTTAACTCCTTGGTTTGTTCATATAACTGGAATATCCAGGTTTTTTTTTTAACCAAATCCTTTGGTTTGCACTAGAATTGTTGTAAGTCTGAGCTTCCCGTTCTCGTCTCACTCACCACTGGAACGATCGTTATTATCACTACTGGACTGCCTGGGAACGCCACACAAGTCCTCGCTGTTCAGATATTAAAAATTGAAGGCATTTATACTCTGGAGAGAGGGAAGATAGCGCAGGAAAAGAAAAAAAAAAAACGAGGGAGGGTTTGAGTGGAAGAGATTTGAGTTTTTAGCGAGAGGACGTCTGAGGAACAGAGGAAGGTGGACGGCTGCTGGAGAGCAGCAATTAGGTGGTGAATGATTCATGATGGCTTTGGATGGATTTCCACCCTGTGAAGTGTAATAGAACCAGTAGAGGCGCAGAATTCCTTCAGTTTAAACAGAATTGACCGTGTTTCAATTATAATGCTTCGATTACTTTACATCCATCTCATCCAGATTTGTTTTATGTTTATTGTGTTCAAAATGTTTTAACCAAAGCAGCATCTTCCTCACAAAAACCTTATTAAGTGCCTCCTTCTATGATTCACGTGGTTTTGTGGTAGCAGAGCTGTGATCAATTTAGTCCTTTTTTTAAAACACACATGGTGCTGTTTTTTATTTCCTAATCTATTGAAATTTTTATTTCGATTTCTTGTTTTAAATGACAAGGTTTACCCATCATTCATTGTGATTATTCATTTTGTGGGACTCTCTGTGGGGGCTTTCACTCTGTGACACAACTAACTTACAATGGGGCTCAATCAGTCAGTCAAACATGGACGTATATTTTATGAAAGGATAAGATCACATTTTTCCAAGTCTTTCTTAAAAGAACATTCCCACATGGGCATTGCAAGTTATTTGTTGCTGCAAGTGTTCCTCAAGATCCTTGTTTGACATTTGACGAGGATTCGAAGGTGTCATAAGTCTGTAATCCATAAAAGTAGTATTTAATCATTTAAAAAGGTATGCATTGTCAAAGATTTGACTAAAATGTTATTTGACAGCAGATTTGTCTTATATCTTGTTATTGGATATTTAACCAATAATTTGACGAATAATAGTTTTTTTTTCTTTTGTAGAGGCTAAATATCAAGTTGTACTTCTTTTACTCTGTTAACTGGCGGATTACAGCCAAAGCGAGTACACAACTACTGCTGTTTATTCTCTCCAGACCAGTTGACAGAAACGCGCCTCATTTGCATATCTGTTTTGCAACATTTCAAAAAAGCAAAAAATTTGCTTGGCAGTTGCGTGGAAACACGACTGTGTTGATGTTGAGCTGTTGTGTGTGTTTGTGAAAGCACAATGAGGGTGTTCAATTTACTAAAGAGTCAAGACTGACTTTGCAAAGTAATAATTTGAGTTTAGTTTAACTAAGATTCTGCACAACATCGCCAACGGATCTCGTCACAATGATATTAGACATGAGGAACAGTCGCATCAATCAAAAGCTCCGCATGAGAAGAATGTTTCAGGACACACTTGAGAAAAATTCCACATTGTCCTTTTTGATATACATATATATTTGAATGTCCATTTTGATGGTTTGGTTTGGCCTGCACATATAACTGTATTTGTTCCTTCACTGCAGGTAGCATAAAGATAATATATCACTGTAATGTATCATGGTAAATCTGACTATTTATTTGATTGTGTAGAAGTGGGGGTTGTTAGAACAGCCGCCGTTCTCCCCAGCAAAAATGCCTTAATGTAAATATATGCACTGTAAATACCCCCTTCCCTGCCACCCACACCCTCTCTTTTGTTATTGTTTTGTAAACAAAAGGGCAAAACGATAAAAATGCTCTGCATCCAAAAAATATTTGAGCCTTTTTTTCCTTTTTGGTTATGTTTTCTTGATGCCATTGTTTTTATATACTGTCCTTCCAACTTATTTTGTAGATTTGTTCTTTCTTCCTAGTTAAACGTTCCAAAGACAAAAGTTGTTTTCTCTTCAACTGAGTGAAACCGATCCCAATAAAGTCAACTGACACTTTTACAGATGCGCTCTTGTGCTGAAGTTAATGGTTTCATCTTTCACCTTCATTTCAGGGCTTATGTGTGGCAGCAACCAAAATATGTGGTAGTTTCATTTTTTTTTTCTCCATGAGGTTCGTGTTAAAGCCGTTTTTATTTTAAGAGTAAGCCGTGCTGTGCGAGTACAGCGTGTGGTGTTTGTGGTCCATTTAAAAACCAGCTTCGCCAAATGCCTAAATGAGACATAACCACACTTTAATAATACTTAAAAAAAAACACATGGTTTTCTGTGCAAGCGCTAATTGGATTTGGGATTTCCGACAGACTCGAAAGCTCAGTTTTATTTTACCGAAAAGTAGATGAGAAGAGAAGATGTGGAGGAGAGAGAAGCGCTCTGGTTCGAGACCTGCGAGTAACCTGCAGCAGGCCCGCTGGTCAGCAAACAACAGCGCTTTGATGTCCCAGCAAGAGGCAACGGACAAGAAAATAAATTTGACCACCGCTCGGGGACCGGAGGGGAATCCCACAGCATCGAAATGGACATGGAGACAAGTGCACACACACACACACACACACCCCATATGTTCTTGATTTGAGTCATAAATGTGACCCGGGTTCTCTGTTGTAATCCACCTCAGATGTCCAAAAAAATGGGGGCGGTGTGGGAGGAGAGGGGGGGGGGGGGCTGCAAAAAGTGAGTTGCAAAACAATCCAAACAAAAGAATCTCTAGAGGGACCCAATCAACCACTTCCGTCCTCCTACATCTCCCCTCGCTCTCCTCCTCCGCTCCTCCTGATTTAATTTCATTCTCTCTCTCTTTGTCTTTCTGTGCCCCCCCCCCCCTCCACCCCACCCACTCATTCTGGTGGAAAGTATTCTATGAAAGTCCATGGGCGCAGCTTCACGGGTCAGAGTGGAGAGTGTTCTCATAACCTGCTCCGCTCCTCACCCACCTTTTTTTCGTTATATACACACCTCGTCTCTCGGCCCCTCTGCTCCATCTTTTCCTCCAGCTTGGACTCATTTTTATTCTCTCGGCTCTTTTGTTTCTTTTCTCGATGCCCTCTGTCTCCATATTGGACAAATTAAACAGGAGACATCGACTTGCAGGTGTGTTGTGTGGACAATGTTAAAAAGTTAAGACTTTCTCACAAACACACACACACACACACACAGCGGGTATTAGTGAGAGGGAGCTACCGGGTTCATGGTTTGGACCAACTGAATTAATGTCACACATCTGGAAGAAAGCTCCTGCCTGCTCCACCCCTCTGCTGCGCTGTGTGGGTGTGATCCCCAGTTTCCCTTTGTGTGTGTGTGTGTGTGTGTGTGTGTGTGTGTGTGTGTGTGTGTAGGTAGGTGTAGTGTTTCGAGTTCTTCTCTCCCTGAACCAGACCACCCACTCAGAAGACCAATACAAGGACTACGGAGAGCCCGGATAGACACACACACACACACTCACACACATTCACACACACACACATGTAGCTCCCTTCCAAGTCACCCCTCCCCAATATTCTCAGAATAGAACACGTTGTTATCAGAGGCTGAAAGTGATCCCAGACCAGCTGACATGCTATCGAAAAGTTTTAAAAGTTGATATGAGAAAACCCGAAAGGGGGTGTTTGATTCCGAGACGCTACGTTCTTTTTCAAAAATCGCAGTCATCGGTTGAAGAATGTCCGAGTGTTTGAAATCCAAAATGAGAGCCTGGGAGTTCGGCGCTCTGTGTCTGTGACGGCGCCCTGGCGAGGCGCTTTGAGGGAGCTGCCGTGAGAACAAACACGGGAGATCCACCCTGAGCTCCTCCGGGCCCGGGGGGGGGGGGGCGAGGTTGGTAGTTTGATCTCAAAGTGCCATTGAGCAATCTCTAACAGCAAAAAGATACAGGGAAACTGGTTCCAGGACCCCAAATCCCCCAGACACCCCAGAGACCCCAGAGACCTCCGGGAACACTCGGTTTGTTGTGGTTTGATTCATTTCAGACTATTTGACCTCCGTTAAACCACTAAGCCAGATAAAGTAAACTGATCAGGTTGTTAAAGTTTGATGATTTCTACCCAATCATAGTCCTCTGTGGTCAGACAGCTGTTTGAAAAATGTATCAGGACATATTTTAAGTGTGGAATCAGGGAATTTCCACCATTAAAGCTTCTCACAGTGATGGGAAACACAAAGGGGAACGATGTTGCAAGATAACTTAATTATTTCAGATGATATCAAGCTTGGTTCGAATTCCCTAAAAACAACGTGACGTGGCGACCGCAAAACGAAGCGCCATGCGGCCGTCCTCACCGGGTCGGGTTGTATTCCGGGAGCAACCTACAACGGAGTCGTCCACGTGCTCCACACCTGAGAGTGACGCGACGCACAACGACAAAGCACAGGGAGGAAGAAATCGGATTCATTCAGGGACCTCTGGTCCAATTACTTATTGTCTCGTCTGTTATCGCTCGTCTGGATTAGCTTGGGACAAGTAAGAAATTGAAATTCAGTCTGATCATCAGGCTCGGAGAAAGGGGGGAGTTGTTCAGTTGGTTCCTCCCCGACATCAACATCTTCACGTGAAGGTGCAGGCCGCTCGTAATCGATACAGAACCGGCGCTTCGGGGATCACAGAGCGGATCAGAACGGGTTCAGCAGAACCATGTACGCTCTGAAAAATTATTAGATTACCTCTCATTTTGAAACTGAATACTCGGACACCCCAAAGAGCGAAACGATCCTCGGCGGATTCCGCCGCTGCTCTGAAGGCCGAAAGTTCACCGTTTTTCACAAGAGGTTTTCTTGGTGCGCTTTGTCGGAGTGTGAATTCCTGGTCACCGCTTCCCCGTGTGAGACATAGCAATGTATGTCCGTTGTCAGGGAGTATCAACATCACCGCGCAGTGACTAATGAAAACAAGATGATACACCACTGAAACCACAGCGTGATACGACGTGAAGCTGCACACTAAATGGACTCTTTGGTCCGACTCTTGCAGAAATCCCCTCTGGGAGTCTTGAGCAGGCCTGAGTGAGTTGATCCTCCAGTCAGGTTCCTGCGCATGTAAATTTCAGTTCAAAGGACAAACCCATTAGGCTTTTTCCTCCGCATGCAAATACCAATGCACCTGCTCAACACCCACGGCAACTCTGTGCGCGTTGAGAGAATTTGAGCACCTTCGCTTTCACGGAAGTGTGGAAGAAATCCGTTTCTTATCTTGATTTGTGAAATGAGGAACGAGTCAGCCAGCAATGTGCAGTATGTCGCCCACGTACATTTAATCAGAGCCGTTTGCTGACTTAAACCCCTCGAGTGCCGAGCGGCTGGCTTTTGACGACGGAGCCCGTGAGGTCGTGCGCGTCGTTCGTCCCTTTGAGCTCCAATACTCAAAAAAAAATCAAACTTCCTATTGCAGTATACATTCTGTCTTTGGTGGGACAAAGAAAAATGTGCGAGAACGAGAACAACCAACATCTGAATTCATGTATGAGGGGACTTTATATTTTCTCTCCTATTATTTATTTTGGCCCGATTTCACCGGCCAGCATTAATGGATGGAAGAAGAAAATTCACACAATAATACATCTTCAGCTTTGACTGGGAACGGTTCCATCATGTTCAGCACAACAATAAGAGGCAACACATCGTTCTTCGGAGATTGATGCACATCTTGTTATGCAGCAGAGTGACTTGTCTTTCGGCGAGGATTCAAACGTCAGGGCTCGAGCAGCCGATTGAGCCATTTTGAGTTACTCTGGGAATCGATATGTTCGGTTTAAATGTTTATATTCATGGGGAAACCTTTAGTTATTTTCACAACAGAACCCATCGCACACAGACTAATAAAACACAATAGTGTCATTGTTAGGATTTGTCCCAATGACACCATTGAGACTATCTGACTTGAATTTGAATTTGTGTGTTTTCCTATTGAAGCATTGTCCTTATGCAGAACATAAAACAGATGCTATTCACAATTATCCAGAGGAAGCCGAGGTATTTATATATGATAGGAGAGGTGTGTGTGTGTGGGTCGGGGTCGGGATTTTAAGAAAAACATGTGGTATAATGGTGGGCGTTTTTTAATTCTCACCAGAAATGATCCATTGTTTCCCAAAGTGCAAAGATGTGATGTTTTGAATTACAACACATACGGGGAGATGGAAATCCATAAGCCAAAGGTAAAGCATAATATTTGAGCTCATCGGTTTACTTGAACGAGTTGTTCTTTATCTCGTTAGTAACTCAAACTAACTTAAAGGAAAGTTGGTTCGGAGCCAACAAACACAAAGGAAGTGTGACACGAATTGAGCAATGAGCCTCACGTCAGTGGTTGGAATGATGTTCTCCTAGTTTATGGACTTTTCCCCGGCTAAGAGGTGTTTAATTAATTTATTTTTAATTTGAATTGTTTTAAGTACAAGCTTGGACAAGAGGAATAAAATGGAAGCAGTTAAACAAGACCAAAGAATGGTGACTGCATAAAAAAGACGCCATCTAATTGGCTGGCTGCACGCACACACACACACACACACGCACACACACGTGCTACCGACGGATGCATGTGAATAGTTACATAATCTAAAGAACCTCCCAATGCTTGTCCCGGCCTGCCTGACCAGACCCTATGTACACAATGTGTGAGTTCTACACATGTCCAACAGGCTGTTAACTTTTGTGGGTGGACAACCATGAAAACAATCAGCCTTCACTTCCCCCTGTCATTACACCCCCCCCCCCCCCCCCCCACAACTGCTTGCGAATCCGCCCTTCATTAGGTGGAGGAAAACATTGTCCAGCTATAGGACGAAGCCCTCAGCGGTACCTCCATCACCCCCGCTGCATCCCAAATATCCCCTATACGCTAACACCCGGTCCCTGAAACACATGGGGATCACACGTCCCCTACCTCTCGTACCCCTCCCCACCCTCCCCCCTTTGTCTCCCCGTTCTTTTTTCGACAGCTGCGCGTCATTTTAACTGTCCCTGTATGAAAACCTGGTATTCATAACCCGCTGCTCGTGATTCCCACCCTTGGAGCCCTGCAAAACATCGTGACGGTAACAGCTTTGACCCCGAGCTGTTGTTCGGATGTGACCTGAGTGGGTCGACAAGAGGCTCCCTCAGCGCACACACACACACACACACACACAGCTGGGAGCCATTGTCTTCATAAGAAAGCAACAGTCAGTTTGGCATCGTTTAAGACATAAATGAAAATATCCATCATGCACAAAAAAAAATGTTGAGTCATGGGTCAGGAACCACCAGGAAACATGACAGAGAGGTGTTAAACACCTCACACACTCACACACACACGTAGCACCTGACTGGAAAACGACTACACGCAATCTGTAGTTTCTCGACACCTCTGTGTAAAGAAGAACTCATTATTGTAGAGAAGTAATTAGCGTTTGCGCAGCCCGTGTCAAAAGTCCACTGACAGTCTTATCTGTACAGGTTTCTTAAGAAAATCATCATTCACGTCTTAATGAGTGGCTGTCATTTTCCAAACAATCTGGAAAAGCATCTCGAGGAACGTTTGACTGTGACACACACAGAGTAAATAGAACCGTACAGAGCGTGGTTAATCATTGAACATCATCTAGGATCACCTCCTTTCTTCTCTTTTTCAAATAACCACTTGATCAAATAACCACATAACCACCCAAACGACACCAAAAGCTGCCCCAACAAAGTCACGTTGAAAAACGTGTCATGTTATTTCTTTTGTGAACAGTGATGCATATCAGGATGAGGAATCAGGAATCAGGAAACATTGTCTCCCTGAGGACACGGCATTGACCTCCTAGGTTGCGATATTTTTTTTTTTTTAAATCCCATAAAAATAATCATTGTCCCGGTGTCGTTCAGACAACTGATTACAACATAATGATGGCTGTAGAGGCGTGTGTGTGTGTATGTGTGCAGGGTGCAGAGCTCGATTGTGTGGGCTGAGAACGTCATAACCTTGCACACATAGGACGGGTGGAGGCTCCAGACATTGTGGAGACGGAGGTTGTAAACTTTAAAAGACATTTCTCACAAAACCCCATTGTTTGTCGGCCTTTACACTATATTTCAGATGAGCTTTTTTTTCAAAATAAAAGCACCCGAGTGTTGTTTGCATGATGGTGGTTTGTTTAAACGGGACATCTATTATTCGTAAAAGTGAAGTGACGATGAAGTGATGTAACAGTGACAGTCCATTTCATACTGCATTCTCCTGTCTTCCTGTTGGGATGATAGATGAGGTTGAATCAAGGCTACGAGCTGATTTGAGTCACACAAAGCAGTGAAGCTACACTTTACACCACAATAGTTGCTTGATTTTTACCCTTTACAGTATTTCCCTGTAAATGGAAAATATTTTTTCTGAACAAAATCATTTATTTGGAGCGGTGTCTTTGGTTCTAGGATTTATTTGAGAGAGTCAGGACGTTGAAACAAGACATTATAAACTGTAAAAACATTTTTATTTTTGTGTTATTTTGCAGATTTATATTTTGAACTCAATAAACTATTAATTGATGATACGCCACACGTTCAGTCCGTCTGTCTCACGCCCGAGCAGCCCCTCACGTGTCTGTCCGTCCGTCCGTCCCTGGGAGCTGGGTGCTGCTTGTGTGATCTTTGAAGCTGAGGTTTTCTATTGTGCAACTTCTCCACAGGTTTCTGTTCTGTGAAAATCATAACTTTTACCTTCAGATCTGCTTCATTCTCCATCACTAACTCCTTCTCTCTCTCTCTCTCTCTCTCTCTCTCTCTCACACACACACACACACACACACACAGTCAGAGGCAGTGATAATATTTTTTGTGAAAGGTTCTTGAGCTCTGCAGATGAGATAACATCTAACAACTATTTTTGCCAAACCTCTTCCTGCACGTGGCTGTTTACGTAAGTCGCCCCCTGGTTTTAGCAGGTTGGTACTAAAGTGCAACAATAATCAATTGATACAGTCAAACTTTGCTGGTTAACCTCAGCGGTGTGCTTGAGGAGCTGTCAGTGGTATTTTCCATGATGGGTCGCAGTTATGATTTGCTGCCCTCTGCTGCTTTCTTCTCACATTACATTGTTGAAATGTATCCGTGCGTTCAATCTAAATGGTTCCAGTGATACGTCCATAAATAACAACATATTTGCTTTCTCTGTTACCTTACTGATATTTTTGGATTATATACCAAATAAACAGTGGATCATAAATGTGTACTTGGCCATACACAGAGATGGATACCGTTCTATCATTTTGAGAAGGTCTTAAGTGAAACATAATGTTTAGCCGCCTGTCACGCCCCAATAATGTTCATAGAGTATCCAACTATGAACCACAAAACCAAGTGTCTCTGGGGGTCTTTGCTGAATTTAACTCTAAATTGACTAGATTATGTATTGCATAGGAACGTCTTTTAATCATAGGCTCAGTGAATACAGACTCAGCACTCAAGTCAAGTAAATAATGCACTTTTAACACTAAAATCATGGCGATTATAATTCCACCAAATCTTCCACGGAGAACCCTTTTAATGGAGACACATTTACCACCTTGCTCAACTCATTGCAGCACACATTTTTTGAAAAGTTTGGTCCAGCGTACACCATTTATTTTACACACGTTATTTCACCCAACGTTACATGCACATACACACATCCTTCTGTGGAACTAGACGACACGTCAGCCCCACAGCATTCCACCTTCTTCAGCCACTGTCTGAAACCCACAATCATGTTGAAATGGTTAAAGTCTGCTTTGGGCGCCTGGTAACATTAACATTTTTCTGACATGTTATCTGGGAAAAACTTGATTCGACCTCGGCGTTCATTGCTTGGTTGCTGAGCTTCTAACGACAACAAATCTAACTCTACTATTACTGGTACTGTGGTTGGATAGCACCTGATAAGGCTATAGAAGTCCATTTAGTGTACGCGTGTTATTTCAATGGGGGATATATTGTACAGCAGTTAGTCAAGGAGCCCTGAGGTCAGCCGTTTAAATTCTTCATCACATCCACAGATAATGACTTTGATTATTAAATATCTTCACTGACAACCGTCTCCCTCTCTCCGGAAAACAAACACTGACAGACTGTACAGAGATGGCCAACTGGCACATACAGCACACCACGAACATCTGTATTGCGTGACCACAAGACAAACGGGGGGAGGGGGGTCGATTTATTTCATGGAATCTTTTAGCACATTTGTCGACAAGTGATTGAGGGATAATCTTTTGGCTGAGAAAACCTGGATGTAGAGGACAAATCCTCCTGTCATGGCGGCTGAGCAGCTCCCGTCCGTCCGTCTTTGTTTACTCTGATTGGCACATCCGACTTAAACAAATGAGCATGAACAGAAGATATTTTTAAAGGAGACACGGTATAAAAGAACCCCATCAAAATGACATTTCTCCTCTCTCTCTCTCTCTCTCTCCTTCTTAGCGCTTTCCTCCAAAGGTTCCTACATAGTCGTTTACCCAAACAAAAACTATTTGTGAAAAAATAATGAAATTACAGTTTATAAAGAAGTTATATTTGGACATTTATGTTTTCAGATGTGTTAAAATATCATATTGAAGAGTCGCGTTGACTCCAGTGACACCACTCATGTGAAATATTACTTATTAACATTATAGCAAAAAGGTCATAGGGCTGCATGAAATATTTTCTAAACTCTACTGTGATACGGTGAGAGATGTATTTCCCTAGTTTCTATTATTCACACCATGCAGGACTGAAATTTTACCATATTGATTTCATTTTTTTTCTTCAAATCTAACCTGCACATCAACTATTTCAGGACATTAACACTGAACCTCTTACGGAAAAAGGCACTATAGAAATATCCGACTCATCGGCTGGTCAACAGAGCCGGCTGGACAGAATAATCCTTTCAGGTATTAACCTGAGAGTTTAAAATTACGTGGGAGTTTGAAATGAATGAAGAACAACGTTATCGGGGGAGGATGCTGGGGTTTTCTCTCCTGATTGATAATGAAAAGGAGACGACACGAAGCCGCCCAGCCCTCAGTCTGCAGTTGGGAGCAGAGCAATTTTATAATATGGGCAGAGAACTTCAAATATTACCTCTTTTTTCTTTCTCTCACATTCATATACAACTGGTTGCCAAGTAACTACGGCCCGGCACAGTCCCTGGTGCATCCTTTCTGCTCTGAGCCGAGCGACGTCAGCACAGCATAAAAAACTTGGATGCAATATGTGCGTCCCAATTTTGTCAGGCAGTGTAAGGGTTATTTTTTTTAACCTGGCCTGTATTTTTCTGCTTCAGTGATGATTGAATCCTCGGCCCACAGCACGAGTTACGCGTACAGACGCGTGCATCAAGGCCTTTTGAGGTGGTGAAGAAATTGGCATCGAGAAAGCAAGAGGAAAGTAGCCAGCTAGCTAACTAGCGATCCCACGAGTGTGATTGAACAACATAATTGTTCCTTCCTCCTTTCTCAAAGCGTAGGAAAGCCTGTTGATTATTCACCAATCACGGCGCAGCAGGGCGGGATTAGACAAAACATCTGGGGAAAATAAATGAGGCGAATATCCAGAATGGTTACAGGGTTATGAACTAATTTGAATTGACATCAGATGTGTGAGTAATTAGTAAGTATTCAACATTAATATCACGCGTTGACAACTACATGACACGATGACATTGCTGCTTTGCGGTGAAGATTAACAAAACACATTTCGTGCCACAATGAGAACAACAATGCTTTGGATTAGTGAACAAGTAAAAAAAAAAAAAGATCACAATCTTGAGTCTCAGTGACAGTGATTATGGACATATACTCAGTGCAGTCATTTGTAAACAGAATATACACATACGTACTTTACTTTGAAGTCTAAATCTACAGTGGAAATCTTTTCTGTTTTGGTTATAGACATCACTTTTACCTCTTATTTCATTGGCATTTTTTTCACTTAATCTACGTATTTTTACAGAATTTATTCATTTATTCCCACATGTTTTTGATTGGGTTCAAAAGCAAAAAGGACATATCTAGTAAACATATTACCAACTCAACAGCTCCTCAAAGTGCAAGACTGTGATAAGAGAAAGTGCATGAGTCCTGCCACCAAATCACTCCACAAACCAGCTGTACCCGCGCAAAGCCCCCGTCCCGTCCCCGTCCCTCCCCACCACATGTGTCCACGGATCAAACCTCGCTGATTGAGCAAAGCACACAGACACACACACACACACACACACCAAAGCCTTCCACTTAAAGCAGCGGGTCGTTGTTCCAGCGTGGCGGTCACGTGTTAAGCAAAGCAACGTGGACTCGGTAAATCCTTATTAAGCTACAGACAGCAGTGTGGTTTCGTCGCCTGAAGACAGGTGTTCTTTTTAATAAACACTCATTCTTCGCTCACACTCGGCTGGGAGAAAGGTCTAAAATCGAAGCGAGAGACTTTTTCAAACGAGACGTTCTCACAGGATTTGTGCGCTTTTGCTTCTTTTACCAAATATGGTCATGTGATATTATTCCAATCTCCTGCCAGCCTGCTCTCAATATTACACCGGCTACCGACCACTCAACGGAGGAGCTTTTCAACTGGTTGTGGCCTGCAAAGTACAGCTAGCTACACGAGTACTAAAATAGAAAAGATTAGTTTATTCAGCTTTGGGTGCTGGTACCAAAACAGGTTGCATATTTAATTGCATTTATTGTCCCATTTTTTTTTCTTTTTTCAAAGACTGAAAACCTATTTTCTCAATGAGCTTCCTATTGTGAGCGATGTGATCCAATATGAGAAATGTGTACTTTTTTTCCTGTGTTCTTCTCACTACTTCTTCTTACTAATTTTGAATTGAAGTTAACCTGTTTTATGCTTTCAGTTAAATCTGATTAAATAAATCCCACAGTGTCTTTTAAATGTTTTGAAGAAGTCTTAATAAATGAAAACTAATGATGTCATTTCAACCTAACTTTAACGGTTGCCTTTTGCCATCTGTCTGGTCATTGTCGTCTCCTTGGCGCTGCAGGTCGTTGGCACACTGCTGCGTGAGGCTTTACGTCACCTGACAGTCTCCCTCTGGTGATTACAGTCTGCAGCAACACGACACTTCTGGGTCACAATAGCCGCACGTCTATGTCCTCAGGCTCAATGTCGCAGTCGCAAATGGCAGTTCTACTTCTTAACACATGCACACAGACACACACACACACAGACACACACATTTGCAAAACCACACCTGGAGCAAAAATCATTTTCACACCAAACAAAGAAAATACCACGATCCAGATTCTTCATGCATGCAGCGTGTGAACCACACCGGGTCGTCCCGGTTTGCGGCACTTTTGTCACAGGCTCACGGGCTTGTTTTAGCACGGCGTAAATGTCGAGCTACGTGTCGCCTTTTAGCCCGACGAGTACAAGTTTTAACACCCAGATTCAGGCGACACACCGCGGCTCTTTGATTGGCGTCCAAGACTTGACGCGGACATCGTTTTACCGGTGAAATGTGTCCTGCGTTTCGTTGTCCTGCTTGTGAAATGGCCCCTGCTGACGAATCCTTAGTAAATCTACGTGGTTAGAAGGTGCGGTTGAGGCCATGTGAGCGGCCTCGTGATTCTCTAGTGTGTAGAATGCGGTCGTGTGTTAACGGACATCTACAGAAGCACAGAAAACAACTAGAGGGGGAGCGACACAGGCCTGCCACTGCTTCAGCACAATCACATACACACAGACGGCAGTCGCTGTACAATCGTAATGAAGTGTAAATCTGTGAAAATTGTGTGTGTGTGTGTTAGGTTTCGCGGTCTGACTGTCCTCCTCCTCCTCCTCCTCTTCCTCCTCGTCCTCACTGTGTGGGGGAGCAGTCGTCTAGGTCCAGCAGCTCTTTGACCAGTCTCTCTCCAAACTGCGCCCGGCTGTACCGTTTGACCGTGTAAGCGTCGGACATCTTGTAGAGGATGTACGCGTTGTTGATGGCGATGCTGATGCTCAACCAGAACACCTGCTGCCAGGTCTTGTTGGGTTTATGGAAAATAAAGTACCTGTGGGAGGAAAATAGCAACTTGGGTTTCTTAAGATATTCCATCAAACTAATTAATTTGTGTGACGTCTCTGCTAGTCAACCCGAGCCATATTACTCCATGTTTTGCGTTGCTAAAAGTTTTCAATATCGTGGCTGAATATTTAGCGGACAACGTGGGGAAAGCAAGTTAAAGTGTTTGCGTCATCTTGAGCCCACTTGCTCCGTTCGTACATACTTGCTGTACTTGTCGTCGTATTTGCAGATGTAGCTGAGGTGCGCCGCAAAGGCCTCGACGGCCAAAGGACAAGGGATCTCCCCACTTTTCCTCTTAATGATGATACCTGCCACACACACACACACACACACACACACACACACCAGGAAAAATGAGAGTGAACGGCACAAAGAAGAGACTCCCTCTCCCCAGATGATGTGGGATAAGGAAGAGGACATTCTTCGATGTTTGTCTGCTGCCGGGCGGCTTTGTTAATTAGTCTTTTTTTTTCACACTTCAGCGCTGGAGACGCGCAGGTAACAACATTATCGATGTTATCGTTCCATTTAAGTACCGCTGAGCCCGCGCGAAAATGGAAATGCAGTCATTAATAATGTTAATGGTGTGGAACTAAAAACATTTCATGACAACATTTGGGCACCAAATGGATGATGCAGTTGAAAAGTTACGCTTCAGTTACGCAACATGTAGTTAAATGCTGAACACTAAATTCAGAATGTTGTTATCGTATAAAAAACACACTTGCGTCAATCAGTGATTGACGCAAGTGTAGTGTAAATCATATAGAAATCCCCAATCGTGACAACGTTTTATTTTAAATCATAATAGGAACACAATGTTGCTGATGGAATTTGAACTCTACTCAGTTTGAACGAGTTCAGCTGATCTGGTGCAACAAAACGGTTCCAAGGGGAGTGGATTACGCTCAGAAGCGGGATATTATGATCCCGCCGCTCCCTGGAAATGGATTATCATGGATTAGAAGCTCTCATTGACTTTTCCTCACACAAATGCTTATCAACGTGCAAATTTCAACTAATGGTAACGGTAAAGATAATCAGATTTCTGATGAAAAATTGTTATATTCAGGAGTTTTCAAAAATCATGTGTCATTTCCTACAATTACAAAAATGCATGCATTTTGTTCAGCAGTCTATATGATATGCGATTCAAATCTTTATGATTCAACAAGACTACCTTCAGTTTTAATGTACCTTGTTTGGTTGGGGAATAACCGTTGGTGAGGAACCGGAAGTGTCCCTTGTTGTACCAGCTGATCAGGGACATGCTGCCCTTCATCATTACGCGCGATTGGCCGCGCTGCGCCGGTGTGGAGCTGCAGACCAGCATGTTTTGTGGTAAACCCGTACAGTCGCTCTTCCTGGTGCTCAGCAAACCACAGCAGTAGATATCTGGAAAGACATTTGTGTCAATGCCCCCGAAACAGAAAGACATCCAACGAGTACCGTATATACATCAATGTGAGGAAACATACAGCATTTCTTAAAAAAACAAAAAAACAGTTAAAGATTAAATAACAGGATGATTATTCAGTTGTCAAGCTACAGATAGTTTATAAGAATACTGTAGAACGTTTATCTCTTCCACAACTGTCCCAACTGCTCTCATTTGTCTTCGCAGCCATTCCATTCCAATATTTCTTACATGAATGAGCCATTATAAAACTATTAAATGGATGAGGGCTGCTGATTTGTTAATGTTCTTAATCTGGAGAATGAGTTCTATCTGTTAATACATATGTCTGTGTGTGCTGCAGAGTTCATTAACTAATACATTTGAAAGAAAATGTCGGGCATTGCTTTTGCAAGCTCAGAACAAAGAGTTTTTGTTTGGCCGACTGCCTCCTGGTCGCATTGTCCAATTAGGATATTGATCATACCTCTGGATGTTTTTTTGGATTTGCGGTTGTACCGGAGTTTAAAATGTATTTTCCATTATTCTTTAGTCAAGAGGATTTGTGCGGAATGTAAAAACTTTTCAATTTCCATGTCAAAAAAGCCTGATCGGTTTCGCTCAATATTTCTCCGCTGATCTCATTTTCTTAAGTGATTTGCTGTATTTGAGCCTTTTATGGAACGATGAAAACGGCTCACTGAATAGATGTGACTCACTCCAACCACAGCAGGATTATATGCGTTTAATAATAAAGGATGCCTTCGGTGTAATGAACATGGAAATCGGAGCTGTGAAAACTCGCTTCACTGACGGATAATCGGCAAAACGATCTCCTGTAGATTAACTTCTGATAAATGACCACATTAAATAATAATGATAATATGGGCTGTTTTTGTAGAGTGCGACAGAAAGAGTAAAACAACAAAAACTATTTGCAAGCAAGTGTTCTCATTGTCATTTGTTGCACTGTACTTATTGATTTTTGGAGCTCTGGCCAGGCTAAACACTTCCAGGATTTATTGTGCAAGTGAAAAGACAATTAACTGTCTATCGCAGAGCATTGTGGGGCTGTTATGATCAATGTCAGCTGAACAGTGGGAAAAAAACTCCCAGCCATCTTAAAAAGTCATTTTTTAGCAGAAAAGATTAAGAATTTAAAAAGAATTTCAACAACATCAAGCTTTTTCTTCAATAAATTATTATCCTTGGTGGCGAAAAAAGGGCAAAACAAAGACCATTAAATAAACCCACCTGTGTTTTTCATTGATATGTGACATAGACCTGATTCTGCTGATTCTACATTCCACATGTGGTTGAAGAGGTTTCACCCAAGGTGCTCTCTGTGCCGTTTAGCCCGGAGATGCTATCGCTACGGCTAAAAACTAAACAACGCCGATAACATGCAAAGAGGAAGGGAGACGAGATGGAAAAAGCGACGACAGACACACTAATAGACTCTACATCTGCTGGTGCAACAACCTGCGCGTGTACCTTGTTTGCTGAACTCGGTGAAGAGGCTGAGGCTCGTTATGGACGGCCCGGTGAAGACGATGGTATTCTTGCCAGATATGTTCTGGCAGAGCTGCTTGGCCACGAGGCTGTGGAGCTGAGGCTTGTTCTTCAAGGTGGCCAGAGCATCCGTGCCCTCCTTCAGATGGACTGAGATCTGCAGAAAGAGGCATGTAGATAAAAACCAAAAAAACAATAGAGAAACCAAGCGCCAATTATATTTTGGCTCCGACGTCGTTCCCTCTGTCTTTATCTTTCCTCATTTCCTCTCTTTACTCTTGGTGGTCTTACAAGAAGAATTAACCCCCCCACCCCCCGACCTGATGTAGGTGCAATAATAAAGCTCATAAGGATCAAGTTAACTCATTTGGAGCACGTGAATGTGATCTCTTAAAGTCGTGATAATATAATGAATACATTTTGATAAATTAGGCCCGAGCCTCTAAAAATGTCCCAAAATGTAAATATGAATATTTCATGACAATCAGGCCAGTTGCTGTTTAGATATACGTCGCTCTGGATGAAGGCCACATGGCGCCCTCGGAAGTCTCAGCACAAACATGAAGCGGATCTCGTCTTGTGAAAAAAGCCGTTATCACATACATGCAAAGACAAATGTAAACCCACAAGCAGCCCAGTGTCTTTCTTGCACTTAAATACCAGCTGTTGTTCACGAGCCGAGCGGCATTAGCCTGCACAGCCAGCGTCTATCACACTAAGTGGTCCGCACGTTCCTCTGTGTGTGTTTTGTTTGCTTGTCCCTGTGTGCTGCGCTGCTTAATGGAATCTCATTGATTCGCTCCATTAACTTTTAACGTTTTATTTCTTGGACTTTTTTTTTCTCCCTTTCTCTCCCTTTGAGACACTAACCGTTAAGAGAGAGGAGATCTGAGTGCAGAGACATATGGGTGGGCTGGTAAAGGATGAGGCACTGCCAAATACACACAGTGGGTGTGAATGGTAATTCTAATGCTAATTTAAAAATGGATGATGGGATTTGGCTTTAAATCACGGAGAAGCTTCTCGCGCATAACTCGTATTTCACGGGAGATATTAATGAAGGTGATTTTTTTTTCTATACAGAGCCATGAAAACAAAAATGGAAAAAATCTAAATTCTTGATGGTGGTCCGTCCGCTCTCCCCTAACGTCCAGTAATTCTGGAGGACATCCAGGACACAGAAGGAGACGCTTTCCCTGAAGACTTGTTTCTGAAATCTTTGATTCACCGCAGTCACCAAACTTTACTTTGCAACTTAATTGCTGTACTTTTGTAGCGGATTTTTCTGCAGAGGGCTACGTTTTTTCAGCGGAAAGGCTCCTTCCTACACCTGAGGAAAAATGCTATCATGCTTTCATGACATTCTTGTTTTACTGTATCATTTTTTAGTGGCGGGGTAGATATTTGAGGCCTGGTTTGTAGTTTGGTTCAGTCCCTGTTTGGAGAGGGAGACTGGCTCTGAATCAGCCCGTGGGCGGCTGGCTCAGACTTCATAAATAGCGGCGTTACGTAAGGAACAGTACGAGTGGAAGGTTACAGTCGGAGAAAGGCTGCTGGCGAGCAGCAGAACCGACTGAGGCGGAGATCAAAGTCGAGACGTATATTCAAATGAGAGAGAAAAATCTGACAATCAATATTTTCACCCAAAAGGTATTTCTCATTTTAAAACGTTTCTTTATTCTTTGGAATACCGGCAGTGCAATACGATGCATCATCGACGAGCTGAGAATGAGATTTGGGAAACATGGGGAAAGATCAAAGTATTTGATGCCTTTAAAAGCTTTTTTTTGTTGTTTCATTTTTCAATTAAAAATATTAGATTTGTGCCACAAAGTTTAAAAGCAAACACACCAACGCACTCCTTTTCTCCCTCGTCTCTTCACTACATCTCGCTTGCGTTCAGATTTGTAATTGCTGGTGTCGTTTGCTGCTACCTGGCAGATGAATCCCGTGGAGGTGCACTGTCGCACCCACAGGCTGAACTTCCTCTTCTTCCTCTTCCTCAGCTCTCTCTCCATGCAGGTGGTGATGAAGACCGGATCCTCGTCTATAAATGGCTCATGAAGAACCTGGAAAACAAATGGGCAATGCAACTGTGAGTTTGTCTTGATGGATTTTTATATATAACGATGGTGAATGATGTAACAACACAGCTCGAGGTCAGAGAGGGAAGGCGGCCGATTGAAGATCTTCACAAGCCCGAGATACTGCGAAGAATAAAGACTAGAAACACTCTCGGCAGAAACTCTGAAACTGTGCAGAGCTGTCTGACGAAAGACCTCCTCTGCATTTTAATGTTATTCCCTTCGGTACTTCTTCCTCAGTCTGTCTTTCTACAACTTCATGACAAAATAAGAGTTTAGACTGTATTGTCATGGTCTGAAGTATTCTAGCTTTAGACAAAAGCCCATAGAAATACAAATCTAAAAAAGACATAACTAACTTTGTCCTGACTTTCGCCTAATGTATAAATTCGGTGAGCCTTTGACGAATAAAAAGAAACTCACCAGTCCTGCTGCAAATTGATCAAAATTGATCAAAATATATAATATGTATATATATATATAAATGTATATAATACATAATGTTATATATATGTATATAATAAAGAGTTGAAACAATGAGTCTAATCAATGGTAAGAAGATTAATCTGTGACAATTTGGTAAATCTTGATTCAAGCAAAAAAGAAAGAATTGTCTCAATTTCTCAAATATAAATCTGTTTCCCATTATAGTAAACTTAATATCTTTATGTTTTGTTCCCAAAAAGAGCCACTTTCTGGTCATCTAAACTCAAACTAACATTTCCCCGTCTAATAACATTCTCTACTGGTTAGGACCAGAATCAGATGTTAAAACGAAAACTAAATTCTTGCACAAAATAAAAAGATATCTAACCATTCCTTGGACAAATACGCACGCTTGGTACAATCATCTATTCATATTTTCGGTCGAACCTTTCAACCACACACACAACAGATATTTGCATTTCAAATGTTTCGCGGCTCTCTCGTGCTCTCCGCCGCCTCCTCCATCCCGATTTGACTAAAGCTGAAGAGTTGCTGTAAGACAACGAGCAGCGAGTTATTTCCATGTCAAATGAGGAGTTATGGATTAAACAAGTGGAAAATGCTGTGCAGCCTATTAGACGGATGACATCAAACTAACCACAATGGCCTTTTAAGAAACATCCTGTAGCCACTGCAGCACGTTTCCCAGGCACACACACGCACACGAATAATGATACGTTTTATAAGATAAATCCAGGTCACGCAGCCTCACATGTAGAGAAATATTATGTATAGAATTATTACAAATGTTTACAAAGCAGTCATCTCCTCAATTAAAAATAGTACATCAATTTTTTTATTGATTATTTGATCTGCAGCAATTAATCATCCTCTATTTTCATTATGTAAATAAGTCATTCAAATAATAATAATACCCAAACCCTCCTGTTACAGCTCAGTCATGAATATCGGCTGGTTTTCTTCCATTTTATTATACTAAATGCTGGGCTTTGGACTGTTTTTACCAAATACGTCACATCAATTTGTTTGCTATTTTCTGACATTTTATGGACCGAGTGATTAATTAATCTAGACCTTTAACAGATCAATTACTAGTCAAACCAGCTCAATTTATTCAATGGCTGGACGACTTTGCTATTGTCTGCGGAGCGACCGTTTCACTATTGGGACTCGCGTTCTGCCCCTGGCACAGAAAAACAACAGATAAACCCAACTGGCCTAGATACACGCGTGTGCTGCGTGACAGACGGCCTGCCTCCTCCTCCCAGTCATTATCCGAGCAAATGGGATACAGAGCGCTTCATTTCTTCACAATGAAAGAAACTCGTCGACATTTAAACTTTTGATGATGACGTGATATTGGTGTATATTGGCTAAGTGTCTTCTAAGTGTCATCACATTGGAAAATGATTAGCCAACTCTGGCTATAACCAGAATCTAAATACCTCGGTTTATTTGTTATCGTCATGAAAGAACGTGAAGCTGAAAAAGTCCTTAAATGAAGTGGAAGCAACCTTATGTTCTGACTTTCATGGCAACAATTTTTATGAGTAAATGAGAAATAAATATGCAATAACTAAATGCTGTGCTCTCTTTTCCGTCTGCGAATTTCCACAACACCCCATTACTCGATTTTAATCACACATATGATGAGCCTGTTTTTCATTAGGAGCACTGTGGGATGTTTTCTTACAGGAATCGAGTTAATCAAAAGCACAACGCTGATCTAGAAATGCGAATATGCTTTAACAGACGTGATCGGCTCGTTTAGAACCTGTCGTGCTGCTGTTCATCTCGAGAAGATAGTAAAGCAGTATTTGAATAAACTCCAGCCCAACCAAAATAGAGTTGCAGGCCAGGAGCTCCACTGGCCCAGTTGCATAAATGTGGCTTTAATGCAAACTGAGTTTGAAATGAGGTGTGTTAAAGATGACGACATTTCCCAAATAGTTGATATGAGTCCTCAAAAAGCGTATTTTCTCTACCTTCTTATTTTACAAGCTAAATGGGGAACTCCTTCCGTTTTAAAAGTGCATGCATCATCTTGGGTGATTCAACAAATCCATCACCTATTATATCTTAAACGTAAAATCTAAAACTGTGCTATACATGCATACTGTATATACAGTGTAGTATAATGGTGTACACACCTGCGTCTGTGAAGGTTTGAAGGTGCAGCTGAACGACTGCTGCAGCAGGTCCAGGAAGGGCTGGATCTTGTACAGGCCCTGGTTGCTCCCTTGTGACGGCCGGAAGGCCACGATGTGGAAGTACTTGAGGATCTTTTCGAAGCGCGCCTGGCTCATCTTCAAGGCGATGCTCCGGTTGCTGAAAAAGCCCGAGCTCCAGATGCTGAGCACCGACTCGCAGCGTTGCACGCTGGTGGAGGTGACAAAGCCCAGGAAGGCTTTCATCTCCTGGGCCGTGACGGGACGCCAGCCTTCGTCTGAGCCGAAGCGCTCCTGGAACTTCTTGGCGTACATGTTGGTCTGGGTGACCATGTTCTGGATGCAGTTGTCGGGGACGAACAGCTGGAAGAAGTCCAAAGCTGTGGAGGAGGCCGGCATCTTCTGAGCAGGACCTGAATCAGGACAGGAAGGGATAGAATAAACATTTATGATGGAGGAAGACAGACTGAGAGTCCCACGCGGGCGAACTCAACTCTACTTTGTTACGCCTGACGTTTGATTGACTGAATAAAAGGTTCTCTTTTGACGCGTTACAAAGAGATTTTGCTGAGCTGTCACTGTGAAGGCTGCACGCAGACTGTTTGTTGCTTTCATAAAACTCCTCTGGCACAGGGAGAACAATCATTAATATCAGGTAGCTTTGCATCGTATTAAATTGTAATGAAATATCTGTGCTTTTCCATGAATCAGCCACAAAAAGCCTTTGGTGTAAATGTTTGAGGCCGGGGGGGCGGCTTAGATCATCTACTCAACATGACAGCCGCCGCGCTGTGACCCCTGTCACGGCGTGGCGATCCTGCACAGGCGACGGTTTCGATGACTCAGCGCTTTGGTGTCATGGCGGGTGGCATTGAGTCAAAATCTTCTTCTCTCTCCCTCTCGATCTCTCGCACATTCATAGCAAACCTTAAAGCAGTGGACAAACAGCGGAAATGGTTTGTTTAAAGTACAAAAAAAAGGGTGGAGAAGTTAAGATAATGAGTAAACCTTTATTAACGTCAAAGGAAAGAATGAACATAAGATTAGTTACAAGCAGTTATTTTCTGTCCTCGGATAATCCGCCAGTTTACCTCCTATTTGAAAGCTCTTTGTCTGTAAGCTTTTGGGTGTTGCACTGACGTTGCCCAATCACTACACAACGCAGTGACCGGTTCTAGTTAATTAGAAACATTCTCTCGGGTTGTTGGATCCGTGAGCGGGAAGAACAACTTCAGCCTGGATTGAACGACACAATCGCGTTGTTATCTCTGATCAGAGGAGGACAAGGTTTTCACTCTCTATTATTTCTCCAGTCCTGAGCGGCTGCAACCACAAATGATGAGAGAACTTTTGTTTCAGGGCCTTTCAAAGCCCGGGTCAAAGACAACACGCACAAGGCTTAAGCCCAAATGGTGCGTCGCGGAGGAGGAGAAGAGGAAAATCAGACAAGCAGCCCCTCAAAGCTCGAGATCCACTCATTTAAGTTCCAATTAGATTTGAAAGCGGGAATGTAAAATCCAGCAAGACGTCCTCAGAGCGAGACGTCCCTCCGTAAACACATCAGACATTCAGATGTAACGTCCAGCGGGCGTGAGCCAAAAATACGATCAAAGGAAGACCTCATCATTTTTATGCATAATGGGATTGTTCCAATCGATTTCCTTCATTGATCTTCTTCCACGCCGGCTGCAATCAAGCCGACGTCATGCCGGTGAAACCGGATCAGACCCTCAGATGATTCTTTCTTCCGACTACAAATGGGGAAGCTTTGAAATATCAATTTCCCCAAAACTGAGGAGCATAATCCCTCATGATTATCTGCTGTACTATTTCTGTCGGCGAGGGACAAACATCTGCCTGGTACAGCTTTTATAGCCATGGATTTAGGAATGAGAGATTTGTAGTCGGGTGGATAAACCCGTCACGCAGACGAAACATGTTTTACTCTCAGTTTCAGCGGAAATAACGAAAAAAAGAGAACATGAGTTTGAGAAGGATTTCTGAATATTTTCTAATATAGAAATGTCAGCTTTGACAGGGCAATGTGCTGAAATAGATCACATTATTTATACACATTTTTGTCTGGAGGGCACAACAATCCCCTAAAATGATTGGTGTTCTACTGAGCTGCAAAAACACTTCTTTACGTGCACAAAAAAGACTTTTTTTTCCCGTTTTGCTATGAATCATCTATTTTGACAACAACTTCGACGACCCATTGCTTCATGACCGTGGCTGATGATTTATGTACGGGGCGCACGGTCTCCGAGGAGGGTGGCCGTCACATCAGCAGCGTGTCTTCACCGTCACAGCTGGACAGTAGGACACGGAGGGAAAAATGGAAAGAAGAAAGAATAGACTGAAAAATCCAACGACATTTACACCAACTTAGTGGCTTAAGCAGCAGCTCGGCGCGTGTCATGGAAACTGATGGGGTAAATGTATCCACGCTAATGCTCAGTCGATCTGCGCTGTTCGGGCTGATGAAATCCGTGTACGGCTCTTAGCCATCGGAGGTCTGATGTGTGATTATGCTCCAGTCCCGCTTCCATCCAGTCAGGCAGCTCTTAATCATCTCGACCCGGATGCAAGATGGCGGGGGCTACACCCACACTGACCGGGCTTGTGCAAACAAGACGGTGGATGGATCTTTATTAACCAGACTGTGCAAAGCAGACAGACACACCTGCTGATGTCTGTATACCCGGACAGAGCAGGGAGGACAGAATGACACGTAAAACCAACAAAGAAACCACTTATGGTTTGGATTATTTTGCATAACATTGAAATCTGCACCGTTGCATGAATGGTGATGATTACCAAAGTTAGCTGGATTACTGCAGTAATCAATGCTTCAAATCTGGAACAAGGGCGGAAGAAAACAGCGCTCTTCCGTGTTTTATTCTTCATGCTCCTCGGTAATCCAATTTCACAAATGGCACCACATGACACAACACTAGGACTTGTCATGATTTGATTGGGTCTTTTATGTGGCATTCTGTGACACAGCGTTTTTCTGTTGACATTAAAACTTCTTTCTAGACCCTCCTATGTGTGTTTGTCATGTGTGTGAGCTGCTTGGACCATATCTGCTGCAGCCATTTGCTGGTTCACCTCCCAGGGTGCCACAGTGCATCGCGTCACAGTGGACACAGGAGGGCACTTCTACCCATCGCTGTTGCCACAGCCGGACAATGAGAAGCCAAACCCCTCTTCCACACACGCGCTTACAGAGAGAGAGGGTGCAACAGCAATCAAAATGCCTTTAACTTGTACCTCGAGCTAAGAGTGATGAGTTATGTTAAATAACAGAGGCCAGTATGCATTCTGCATACAGTACGCTATGCTTAATGTAATGTGTGTGTAGAACCAAGAGAGACCACATGCAGATTCTCTAAACTGAACAGCAGGTCTCCCTGCACTGAAACATGAACACACACACACACACACACACACACACACACAGGACACCATGTGTGCAACAGCTCCAAGCGGTGAAGTATCAAAGGCCAACCGTTTGCAATCAACTGAACAGCAATTAATGATGCAGTGGCATGATTATCTCTGCCACTCACTCACTGGGATGGACACACACAAACGAAAATGAAACAAGCATCAGTTGTGTCCGAACAATGGCCTATTGTGTTATTTTGGCACCAAACTGAAAGCCAAAGGAACCTCCACCCCCCAAACACACGCACACACACGTTTGCACGAATGACCTTATTCATGCATCACGTCTTACCGTACGTCTCTTTGAACGGCGGCACCGTGACGTCCTGCAGAGTCTCCGTCCAGCCCTCCTCCTCTGCCTGACTACGGGACAGAGAGCCCGGGGGACCGGCTCCGGACCCCCCGCGGTGGCCGCTGCCCTCCTTATCGCCCCGTTTGTGCTGCTGCTGCAGCTGCTCGTCCTCAGCCATGCAGTTGTCCGAGTCCGAGTCCCCGGAGGTGCTGTAGAAGGGATTGTCGCTGCTGTCGTCGCCGGACTCGCCGAACACGTCGTCGGATATCTGCAGGCTCTCGTAGCGGGAGCGGGCCGCTTCCAGGAGAGACAGCGCCTTCCGCCCGCACTCCGCCATCTCTCTCTCCGTAGTGGTGATGCTCTTCTCCCAACCCCTCTCTCTCTCGCGCGCGCTTCTTCCTCCCTCTGTCTCACCCTTCCACCGCGGCTGTGGGCGTGCAGGTGGTCACGATCTCGCCGGCGCCGGGAGGTGTTTGAGTTCAGCGTGGCCGTAAACACTCCCCACTCCCCCTCTCTCTCCCCCCCCCCGCGCTCTGTCTTGGGTGTGAATTGTGATCCTGCAGCGCTCGCCTCTCCGGGGCTCGGATCCGGGAAGAGAGCTGTCGGCTTCAAGGGTACTGGAATATTTCCGCCCCCCCCCCACCACTCCCCACTCCTCGCTCTGCCAACGGTGCTGCAGGATTGTCGATAGCTGTGGCCTCGCATCCGGGTGGATGTGCCAGTGATTTCTCCACAGAGAGAGATAGTGGCCGCCTCGGCATCACCTGACGGCGCAGCCCTGCGCCGCCATCCAATGAGATGCACTTCCTCATTCAATCTCACGAGGAGCAGCTGCTGGAGCTAAAATGTGGAGATATCACGACTATTAATGGTGATGTTATATAATAGGGATATGGGTAGAAGTGATGACAATGCAGTCCTCTAAAAAGCAATTAAAAAAAAAGCCAAACACATAATTGTGCCTATGAATGCTTTATAAGCCCCTATTTACAAAAAAGAAGAAGAATCACACTTGGATGTTGTTATTTGCAACTTTATCACCAGGGGGCTGTTGCACGAAACCAGGATGAGGGATTAAGTCGGGATATTCACGTTATCCTGGATGAATTTATCTTGGACTTGGTAGTGGTAGCGCAGTGTGGGTGAAGTGTAAAAGAAACGCTGCAGTGATGCAAATGAACCACAAGGTGGCAGCAGAGTCCACCAGCAACGACAAAGGAATTAGAGGTGGCCGGAATTAAATGCTCCTATTTCATAAATATTCGTGAATAAAACATTTCCTCTCTCCAGTGTCATCAGCAGGTCATGTAACAGGACGTATTAATTACCCCGAAATCGCTAGTTAACAATGTCATTGTCATGTCTGACATACACAACTTCTATATTCTAAATTAAAAAGCAGCTATAAGGAACCTTGAACCCCTTTGAGTGAACATCCAGTTAGTCTTCACAACAATTTATTATCATTAACTGTCTAAAACTACTACTTGATGGATTTGCATTCCTGTTATTTCTTGACCTGTGGGTGTGTTTGTGTATACTGTATATAATTCCTCTTGGATTGCCAATAAACGAACCGTATACTTTATGAATCATTTTTGGCCAATTACTGAAATCAATAAATAATTGAGAGAATTTAAGTCCCATCCATCCATCTTCAACCGCTTATCCAGGGTCGGGTCGCGGGGGCAACAGCTCCAGCAGGGGACCCCAAACTTCCCTTTCCCGGGCCACATCTACCAGCTCTGACTGGGGGATCCCAAGGCGTTCCCAGGCCAGTGCAGAGATATAATCTCTCCACCTAGTCCTGGGTCTTCCCCGGGGCCTCTTCCCAGCTGGCCGTGCCAGAGAATTTAAGTGTTTTATACTAAAAAGTAGGGCAGTCAACAGATAATGATCTAATTCATCACACATTTGGAAATGTATTAATCGCCATTAGTCACAATTTTAAGTTTGTTTTTCTTCTAAAGAGACTTCTACACCGGGAGGTTTAGCTAGCTAGTTAGCTATATAAATATATTTATACTGTAATATATTTATCCTTTAATATAATATATTTATTATATTTATATTGGATATTTATAATAGTCACGGTAGTTATCATATTCTGAATATTGTTTTATAAGTTATATTTATATATTCATTGATGTACTGAATTGTTTAAGATAAGATGTCCTTATTATGTTAAACTGCAAATTAATTATGTGTATTTGATACCATTTTTTGCATTGAATCATACAGGGATGTTTACTGAAACTGATGGCAAAAAGAAAACCCACCAGCCGCCACTGATACAGATATATATACGTAAGTATATGTATGAAGAAGGCCGTCGAGGCACCAGAGGTGGGGTGTGGTAACTGATGGTCGCTGGAGGGAGGCCTTGTTCTGAGTGCAAACTGGACAAGCGGCCACAAACCCCTCCGTGTCCCTCTCGAGTGATGGCCACCAGAAGCGCTGCCTGAAGAAGCAGACCATCCGCCTGACCTCTGGCCGACATCTGATTTAAGGGGCATGTATCAAGGGCATCCTTTTTTAATTTGGTATAAACAATTTAATAAAGAATAGTTGATAGCTTAAGTAATTAAGTAAAGTAAGTAAAGTCATTTAAGAACCTTTTAGGCTGTCTTGTGGCTGGTGTTTTTTTAACAGGCGGCAAATCACTGTCAAAACTTGAGAGCGCAAATCAGGTTGATGCGCGCGCGTAAATCAAACATCCGCGAGCAAATCTCCTTCTCGCACGAGATATTTGCTCCCTTGCAAAACGTGAACTTCCTCGCTCGCGAGGTTAGTCTCTGCTGGCGCTTGAAGGTGTTTTCTACGCGCTCGCTGTTTTTCTTTTTGACAGTAAGGGGGCGGAGCCAGTGACCATGGTCTCTACATCTGATTGGTTACAAATCGCGTTTTTGGATTGGCTGGAGGATGCATTCACACAACTATAGAAGCCCATTTCCGCACTAAAGAAAGGGGATAGAAAGTCAAAATTATGAGATAAAACGTTGTCAAAAAACAAACGCCCCCCTTCGGTAATCGTAGTGGACCGTAGATGACAACCAGCTACAACCATCATTCGCGATTATTCTAGATTAAGATGAATTAGTGATTTTTTAAAAATATATAGACCATTCTAATATATATAAATATCCCTAATATATGTATAAATATATATATATATATATATATATATATTTATATGTATATAATGTGTATATATAAAACCACACAAGTGGGTTTTGTTGTATTTTGCATTCCGTTGCATGGAGTCCACACCATGCAGTGCAGTTGGATGTTTTAGTATCTGCGATATTTGTCCTTTACAGACTTAAGTAGCTTTTTGGATTCACCACCATTTTTCAAAGGTTACATCGAGTCATTTAGCGACAAATAAAACACCAGTCTTTTTCAAGACTAGCACTGATATTGAGACGTGCTTTCAGACATGAGAGGATGTTTTGGACAGATCAGACCAGCGTGAAGCCATCTCACCATCCCACACATGCTCCGTATGGCACAATCATTTATGAGTGTGTTGTAATTGAAGCCAATGCCAAACCCGACATTCAAACGCACCCAAGAAGACACACCTCAAGAGTTTTCAAATGACCAAAGCGGGGAAAGGACTGTTAGAATTTTCCTGCAGCCGCTTTGATAAGTCACCTTAGTCTTGATCAGAGAATTCTCTATTTCGCAAAATGTTTTACTGTTCGTTTTGTATTTCACTTTGTAATTGTATTCCTTATAACGTTGTTTAGTTATTAAGTACTTTTTGATTTTTTAATTTAAGCAAGCTGACTCTTCAAACTTCATTTCCGGCCGGGACGAGAACAAAGGAGTGAGGCCTCCCTCGGGCTTTCCGAACCCTTAACATGGAAATACTTACCATGCTCCAAATAATTGCCTATGAGAGAAACATGTAATTCAGCAATGAACACATAATCTGTTTAGTGAAACAGTGTATAACTTGAAACTAATCACACTTTTCAACAAAGCAATTGGTTAAAATAATTCATAAGCCTAGTTTATGCTTCTTCGTTTTCAGAGAGGCGCAAGGACACGCAGACGCAAGATTATTAATTATTAAAACGAAGAATGTTTACAAGAGAATCGATAGGATTGGAGAGCTTTTGACGGAAGAAATCCGTAAATATGACCACTTCTACAACCCGTTATTGGCGGACTGTAAGGACGCGCGAGTGGCCTCCGACTCATGGAGGGAGATCTCTGAGATCTCGAGGTGCACAAAGTTCTGGAGGAAAATACGAGACAAATGTGTCCGCGATGAAAAGCAGCAGTGGCGATGCACGGGGCAATAAAGTCTCTGATAAATAAATAAACAAACCAACGACTTCCACACACAAAGACGTGACTCTCTAGATTGTCTTCGACCAAAAAAAACGTACTCCACCTATTGTTCTGACCAGTGCTGTAGTGGTAAAATTAGAGGTGGGTAAACTCTGAATTTTGTGATCATACAGACCTCGACGCGATGCGAAGCAACGCAACACAAAGCGCCGCGACTCTTGTAAGGCTGTCCTGGCTATATTGCATTATGTTATCAGTAAAAGTCATATACAATCAATGACAATGAATACATGTGTATGAACAACATAAGTTAAAGGAGCACTCATGTACTACCTATGTCATCATAAATAGCCCATACAGCATGTTTTTTTCACGTTGAGAACTGACTTGTTTTCTAATCTACGCGTCACCAGGCGTTTTTCTTGTCCTTTTGCCGTGCACGACCAGCGAACACAGAGCGCGGGACTACTCCCCCCCCCCCCCCATCGGTCGTTCCGCCCGCAACGACTACACCCCCCCCGTCGGACCTTCTCGACCGGTCCGCGAAATATTGTCTGACATGAAACCGGTCCGTGAGGTAAGAAAGGTTGGGGACCACTGGGCTGATCCACAACGTGTGTTTACACACCTCCTGGATCCTGATTGGTGTCGCTGCTGCAGCCGCAAGGCACTGATTGGATGCTCACAGACCGTAATACAGCGCAGATGAAAATGATTCAGACTACGGCGTTTATATGTTCAACAATAGGAAACGTAGTCTTAGCTGTTTTAAAATTACACCAAGTTTATTTCGGATTATTCCAAAGGAAGAATACAAGGCGCAGGGAACTTTGAGGTGCGTAAACGCTATTTATAGGTGCGTAAATGCTATTTCCAGAATTATAGAGGTGCGTAAACGGCATTTACGTGCGTTTACCCTCCACTACAGGCCTGGTTATATTATATAGTTTATCACTATATAATCATTTTTACTTGTATGGTGACTAACCATTTAACTTCATGCCCCCTCAACGGTAAAACATATTAATTAATAGATGAATTTAGTATTTAGTAATAGAACATAACAAATAAAAAAGGACAACTAGATGTGTTAATGATTGTCTTGAACATCAACCCCTAGAACAAACCTTCTGATTCGTTGGCTGATTTTAGTCACTAAAGATGGTTGAGATCAAGTTACCATTAACATTGGAGTTAGTAATTTATCCTATTA